GATGGCTGTTGGCATCCGTCGTTGTGATGTTTGGGTTGAAGAAAGCTTTTGAAGCTCCCGAACGAATGATCAGGAGGGAGAGAACATGCCAGTCGGGCATGTGTCTCTACCAGGGTCCTACTCGAGTGTAGGAGGAGCTCCTGACAGTGGCATCCCTGGGCTTCTGATGAGGTCCACAGCCACACAGGGGGCCCACTGCCAAGCCCTGGGACCTCCTGACTCTGTTCTCCTCCTCATTGTCATTGGCTTTTGACCTGCCGTCTCTGTGTGGGCAACCAAGCAGGGACAAGAACGAGGAGACAGGGCAGCACAGGAACACAGGAAGCTGCCCTACGCCACCAAGGTTGTCCACAATGTGTGGCTGCAGTTCTCCAGGGTTTCAGACTGGGGACATTCCCAGCCCTATCTGGAGATGATGGAGATTGAACCTGGGGGAGCAGATGCTTTACTACTGAGCTATGGCCCTTCCTCAAGCACCCTCCACTTGTCTTGCCTTTTCTTCTCTAGGCAGTTGTGTGAATTGAGCCCAAAGGGCAACTCAGTGGATAGTGGAAGCAGCCAGACAGGTGCTCCACTAAGAGCCTCTTGGACAAGAGGCTTCCCAAAGCCTGGAACTGGCACTGCCTGCAATGATCTATATATTCTAGTACCAGAATTTCTCACTAACTCAGTACACATTACAATAAAGTCATATATCTAACCTGAGCCTGTCTTCACATATATATGCAATGCTTGCTTTTTTCTTTTTCTTTTAACTAAGCATCAACAGGTTAAGAAATGGAACATGCAAGCTTTGAGAAACAGTATATATGGATTTACCAACAAGCACCGTCTTGGGGATCAACAGGCTATAATTAGAATTTAATAATATGAGTGGAGGAGTGATCTGCATGCTGTTTGAAAAATTGGAGCTTTTTCTCAACACTTCTGAACATTTTCCTTCCTAGATTGGACTCCAACTTGCCTTGCACAATATCCCTCCAGCTGAGACAAACGTGATACAAATAAGAACAATGAGATCAGCAACACTCTAGCTTTAAACACCATAAACAAAGGGACTAATTGAAACACCTCTAGCTAGTCCTGATGGAATCTGCACAACTGGTTAGCTTGGGGAGGCAGAAAAGCAAACTGGATTCCCAGACTTCAGAGGGATCCTTTCCTTATAGGCCTTGCCCATGATCATAAACATTAGATTCAGTCTAGTCATTTATTTATTTATAACGTATTCACTTAAACAAAGGGTGGCATTGATATTCTGTAAGCGATGCATAGCAGCAGTGGTGGATGGTGCCCATTTGAGCTGGTAGAGAGCAAGGCAGGGTGGCTGCCAGTGGGTGGGCCCACAGTCAATGATGGGCGGGGCCAGAGTGAACAACAGGTGGAGCCAACTCATGTGTCTCCATCCCCTGCTGAGTTCTACAAGGGACAACATTGAGAATGAGGAGGAGGAAACTGACAGGCAGTGCCTCCCTTTGGGCTGGTTGTAAGAAAGTAGGTTGGGATGTGGGTGGCGCTGTGGTCTAAACCAAAGAGCCTAGGGCTTGCCGATCAGAAGGTTGGTGGTTCGAATCCTTGCGACGGGGTGAGCTCCCATTGCTCAGTCCCTGCTCCTGTCAAACTAGCAGTTCAAAAGCACGTCAAAGTGCAAGTAGATAAATAGGTACCGCTCCAGTGGGAAGGTAAATGGCATTTTTGTGTGCTGCTCTGGTTTGCCAGAAGCGGCTTTGTCATGCTGTCCACATGACCCGGAAAAACTGTCTGCAGACAAATGTCGGCTCCCTCGGCCAGAAGAGTGAGAGGAGCGTCGCAACCCCAGAGTCGTTTACGACTAGACTTAACTGCCAGGGGTCCCTTTACCTTTACCCTTTACCTTTAAGAAGGTAGGCAGGCAGGGGCTGGTTGAGGGCAGCGCCCCATTTGCCCTAATGGACAATGGTGGTGATGTGGGGAGCAACAATTCTGTGCACCCTTTCTTGAGAGTAAGCCCAATTGAATACTGTGGTGTTTACTTCTGAATGGACCTACAACTGTAGATTGCATGGTGCACTATAATGGCTGAAATTCCCTTTTCTAGAAGTGTCTTCTTTTGTATCTGACAACTCTGTTATGCTGCAATCCTAAACACAGTTACAGTGAAATCCTATATTTGTCTACCCAGAAGCAAACTACAGTGGTACCTCTGGTTACGTACTTAATTCGTTCCGGAGGTCCGTTCTTAACCTGAAACTGTTCTTAACCTGAAGCACCACTTTAGCTAATGGGGCCTCCTGCTGCTGCCGCGCTGCCAGAGCACAATTTCTGTTCTCATCCTGAAGCAAAGTTCTTAACCTGAAGCACTATTTCTGGGTTAGCAGAGTCTGTAACCTGAAGCGTATGTAACCTGAAGCGTATGTAACCCGAGATACCACTGTAATTGAATTCATACCTCCTGGACTAATACATGGCTTCGAATACAGCCCATAAGATTTTGTACTTCCTTGGATTTTGCAATTTGCTTTTCAGCTCGAGAAACATGCCAAAACATCTTAAGCATGTGCATTTTAGGATCAAATATATACAGAAATGCATATATCCATGAGACAAATATGCATTTAAATATGAATTTGCGTATGCATTTATTTATTTATTTTGCAGATTAATGCAGCAATGGGATGGAATAGGCTTTTGAATAATACATCCATTATTGCCATAGACTGGAAATATTACAGGGCAGTTGAATTGGTTTGTTACGCATATGGCACAAGAAAAGGGGCCCATTCTTTTTTTAATAAAACCCACACCCCTCCAGAGAGTAAGATGAATCTACACACAAACATCCTTATGTGCTATTGTGCGCCTTTAACACACAAGCCGTGTAAAACCAAATTAAAGCTAGGGAATCTTAGACTGATCAGAGAAAGCAATGAATGCTGTTAATTCCAAGTGATGTTAATTGTGATAGTTTCTGGAATATGAGCTTCACTCTCTAATGTGTCATCTCTGGTTAAACTGGTAACGACACAATTAACAGGGCCACTCTTCTAACTTGCAGGGCCAAACTTGAAGAAGATGGTTAGCGGCCATTTGAGTATATTGTAAAAGAAAATATTGACTTGTTGATAGTAATTTTCAGTCAAGCATGCACTATTTGTCTATTTAGAAACTTTTTAGCTTGCCTTTCAGTAAAAGCAAAGTGTTCCCAATGCAGGGAACTGCAATATCAAAGAGCCATAATCCAATTAAGAAAGCCATCCAATAAGCCATAAAAACAAATAAGTTTCAACTGCAGGGAAAAGCAGCAATTACAAGTCTAATTGACATATTCCATAGTCTGTCTGCTTAAACACAATCTGGTTGCTTTATTGTGGGAGATGGTTTCCCTATATTGTGTCTTTAAGCAAAACAGTCTCCCACAGAGCTTGCCCTAGGGATCTGTGATGCACAACAGATGCTGATGGACTACAAACCCCATCACCCCTGACCATTGGCCTTAGGGCTGATGGGAGTTGGAGTCCAAAATAAAAGGAGGGCACCAAGCTGTGGTAGCTTATACAGTGGTACCTTGGGTTACATACGCTTCAGGTTACATACGCTTCAGGTTACAGACTCTGCTAACCCAGAAATAGTGCTTCAGGTTAAGAACTTTGCTTCAGGATAAGAACAGAAATCAGGCTCTGGCGGCGTGGCAGCAGCAGGAGGCCCCATTAGCTAAAGTGGTGCTTCAGGTTAAGAACAGTTTCAGGTTAAGAACGGACCTCTGGAACGAATTAAGTACTTAACCTGAGGTACCACTGTATACAGCAGAGGGTATTCCTGTAAATGTCCTGAACTCAAGCCATGAACGGCTCCAAAGGGTACCAGCACTTTTAATTGGTCCCAGAAACAAACTGGCAGCCAGTGATGCTCATGCAGTTGTACATTTCCTACAACTATAAGCAACAATCACAATGGCGTCTGCATTCTGCACCTGCCAAATCATTTTCGAGAGGGTGTATCATAGTCGTCTAAATGGAGAGCAAAAGGTGCACTTGCAGATTTCCTGTGGTCTAATCTGTGTCTCTCTGGTATTTTGATATCTGAAAGTGTTTGGCTTGATACCTTATTACCTGATCTAATTTAAAGCAAAGTAAAGGTAAGAAAAATGCAGTGCGGGCTATCTGAATAATCTAAATTTGCAAACATATCTGCCAGAGTCAATACTAAGATGGATCAGGGGTGGTTTGGCTCATGAACTAGTCCAGCTTCATAATAATAATGGTATGAGTCGAGCTTGCCCAATTATTGATTGTAGCCAAGGACTTTCCTACAGATACTTGCCTGACATTTTGGAACACCTTTGAACTGTTGAAGTGAAATATCTTAAATGAGGCTTTCCCCACCTTTCCCTAAAAGCCTGGTTTAGCAAATCATGTGTTCCTTGAGTGCCCTCTTGTGGCTCTTTTTACTTAAGTCAAAAAAGGCTGTAAATAGCTGAATGGTGCATGTAGGAATTGCGGAGCATTCCTGACAGGTAAGTTGACTTCCAGGTGGGTACATGGCTGCTGTGCTTTGATTTATGAAGTGGGATGGGCATTATGAATCTTAACATCAAAAAATTATAAAAGGATCCCATGGAGGCAGCAAAAACGATGCATTTACACATTATATAACTTGGTGTCCTATACTGAAGAATGCTTAGAATAATGGATAATCCAGCACAGGTAAAAATCCACGTATTATTCTTTGATCACCATCGATTCTATGCATAACAAGCTAGAGGGAATAATCAATAAGCCAAAGTGAAAAAAACAACCTTGAAAAATACTCTGGTAATAGCTCATCAGTAGTCCTGCAAATTTCCCGTTGTTTCTGTTACACCACCAAACACTGGGTAGCTTCAGTGTAAATGAGGTCAGAATCTGGCCACAATCCACCACAGACTGACCAGTGCCAGGCAATTTATTGTTGTTACTTAACTTTAAATGGTCCATTGGCTTCCTACTATTTGTGGTATGGTTCAGAAGAACTCTCAGTCCCAAATGATTAAATACCAAATAACCGTGAAGCAGACAGGTAGATGAAATGGCTCTCTAATGGAATGGGCCTGCTGAGCTAATCACTTTTGCTCATATAAACATTTGATGATATAGAAGGATATCATCTTTGTCTAATGCAGCAAAGAAATACTTTGGAGTAACCGTAAACAAAACCTATTTTCCTTCTGGGGTACAACTGTTGCACACTTTTGTACAACATTTACTGTACGAAGCTGTCTAAGGCAACTGATGGTAGTTGCTTCACATACGGCAGAGGGAAGCGCATTCCACAGTACAGGGGCAGCAGAAGAAAATGCCCTCTGCAGTGAGCCGAGAAGAATTACCCCATAGGATTGAAGTGATCTTACAGTTCTATGCAGGGCCAGGGGGACTTTCAGGTAACCTGGTCCTGAGTTTTTCAGGGCTTTATATATTGACAATGTGATTCTTTTCATTTTGCCTTGAGAGGGATGTTAAATCAGCGTGCATAGTACTCAAGGTTAGTCAAGTAATGTTGACGTCCATCGGGCAGAAAATCCCACAAATGTCTCTTAACCCCCACTCTGAAATTAATTATTATTATTATTATTATTAAAACCTCCAATGCAAACAAATTAGATGACCAACAATTTATTGCCCTTCTACCAACTTCCTGAAGTGATTGCTTCACTCTCATTAGCCGTGCAAATCAGCTTCCTTTGGAGGCTACCTCAATCTGCCTAATGGTAGGGCTGGACATTGTCCAGGGTTTAATGAGTGAGGCCAGTTTTCTGAGGCCTGGAAAATCTGGTTTCTAGCTTGGGCATTGGGGCAGAGTTGGCTCCAGTTGTCCTGCTAGATTATCTTCACAAATGATGTCCCCAGGCTGCTGGTTCTGATAGACCGCTCCGCAGCTTCCATTACCATCTGCTATGTATCAGGATACATAGAAACAGGTCTCAGAGGCATAGTGTATAGTGGCTCTTGTCAGGGTATGTTTCAGAAGGTCATGCTTGGGGATTCTTCTTCCCCATGGAATTGTGGCACATGAGCTGGGGTATTGTCCCTGTACTACCCTCTTGGCTGTGATGGCACTACTGCTCATCAGGACTAAGATGGGTCAGGGAAGGTGGCGACAAGGGCAGGGGAAACTTTGGGTTGGTGGGAAACTTTGAACTAGAAACTCTTGGGCAAGTCACTATCTCTTAGGCGGCCATTGTAGATATCACATTCCCTGTCCCTCTGTATGGTGACAGTGGACATATAGGTCATGATCACACAATACTTCAAGGACCGCCTCTTTCCATATGAACTTACCTGGAAACTGAGATCATCCTCTGAGGCCCTTCTTTGTGTGCTTCCTCCATGGGAGGTACCAAGTTTGGCAACGTGAGAACGGACCCTTTCTGGTTATCCATTTGTGGAATGCTCTCCCCCAGGAGGTTCGGCTGGTGCCTTCATTTTACACCTTTAGGCACCAGGCAAAACATTGCTCCTTAATCAGGCCTTTGGCTAATTGACATCCGATGCCCTTTTAAATGTTTTGCGGAAGGGGGGGGGATTATTGGGTTGTCTCTGTTTTTGTTTTTATTTGTGTTTTTTATATTGTAATTTTGTGTTATAAACAGCCCTGAGATCTACGGGTATAAGGCAGTATACAAATTTAATAAATAATAATAATATGGGTTGGTCTTAAAGGTCATTAGTTTTAAGCCTTTATGTCAAAAGCAAGCGTATTTCTCTCTTAAGATTGTTAACCTTCTGCATTGGGAATGAATCACGCATCAAGAGTTGGGAGTGTTCCTGCTGTTATTTAAATCCACAAGCACAAACTTGTTCTCTAAGCACCACCAATGCTTGCCAGGTGCTGTAGAGCAGAAATGTGACCTGAGTATGAAGATAGGATTGTGGTGCAATTTGAGGATGAAGTAATGGCATCTCCCTGTTAAGTATAATAGTGGCACAAAACCACCATTCCCATTTGGCTCTTTTAAATGCTACTACAAAACTTGGCATAGTGGGATATGCCCTTGATACTCTAAATGGCATTCCTCAATAAGGCCCATCAATAATTTATCTAAGAGCAATATTTGTAGAAGCATTAAATTAAACAAAGATGCCACAGGGAATTTAAAGATCCTCTTCCGCCAGTTTAAATCGGAAGAAGAAGAAAGCAGTAAACGGATGCCCCATTCCTCTTGAAAGAAAGATTCCCCTGATTAAGCCAGTATCTCAGTGGCTAACATTAACTCTACCCCATACCACACAACTGTCCCATTTCAAGCAAGACATCCCAGATTTACAGAAACTACCCTGGCTTCTGATCCCAACACCAGATGTCCTGTTTGGGCTGTGCCAGAGTGCAGGACCAAAAGACACAGATTTTTTGGTTCCATGCTGTGGAGCAAGTGTAATTTATCTACTAATTTATCCAAAAGAGATAGAAAAAGCAGATTCATGCTATTACGAGTTGTGTGTGAGATTCCTTCTGCCTTCGTTGTGATGTGCTTAGAGCAATCAAAAACAGATTCTTAACCCAGTCAACTCTTCAATACAACTCATTGTTTATTGTTGAATAATTTTCGTATAAAAATCGCTGTATCAATAGAATAGGGGTTTTTTAAGAAAAGAAAAGAATCTAAATTGTTCAAATGCAACCAGCACAGACACATAAAAAATATTTTCCTTTTATTTTCTGGTGCTGTCTAGATCCTGAGAATGGTATATTTCAGTCCTAAACGCACTTATATACCTGTGGAACATATTCCTAAATAAGCAAGTATAGTATTTAAGACCATAAAACCACACTGATAACAACAATATTACAGTCAGCCTAGGATTGTAGCTTATCTTGATGAGATCACCAAATATAATAATAATAATAATAATAATAATAATAATAATAATAATAATTTATTATTTATACCCCGCCCATCTGGCTGGGTTTCCCCAGCCACTTTGGGCAGCTCCCAACAGAATTATATTATATCTAAATGTAAAAGGTTTTCCTTTATGATAACACAAACGCAGTGAGCTTCTTTACTCCATAAAATGCACATCTATTGTTAGTTTAACAACATTCAGCTCCTCCATTTAAGCATTTACAGATGACTTGGTTCAGAGATCCATTTAGATGAATATTTATTAAAGGTAACTGAAAGACACCTTTGGCTGTTTCCACCCTGTTCATTATTTTTCCAGCTCTATGAGAAGTCTAGTTAATTTATATTCAGGATGTAAAGCATAATTCATCACATATAAAAACTGTTCGGGAAAGCATGAATTGTAATTTAAAGGTACTGTGAGATCTATAAAAAAGATCATACTTCTGGGTCAAGTCCTATTTATATCTGTACTATTAAAAAAACTAATATAATTGAACAGAGGCCACCAAAGAGGTAAAAAAGGAATATAATTTAATGGTCTTAAACTAGCGTTGGGTTATGTGAGCTCAAGACCATTGATTTTAGTGTAACGTTAATGTGCATGTGTTGGCTTTTGATCATTTGGAATGCCTTGAAAAGCTACTATCCTGGCCCAGCAATGCCTAATGGAAGATACAATAACCCACCTATTAATATTTCAAGAGAGCAGCAGGCAAGAGCAGGCAAAATAAGAGATGAAAATCAATGTCCATATAAATGAAATGCTGTTGTTTGGTTATTGGCTATGGCTCTGTCACATCTAACCATATGGTTTCAGGTAGTACCATCTGCGCTGGTGGTAATACATAATCTTCACCATAGTAGTCTTATATTGTAAGATGTGAGCCTGGGATAATGGCTCAAAAGATGAAATGGAACAAATAACATGACAATATTGATTTACGTTCCCAGATTTGTCTTAGCATTAATATCTGGTTATTGTGACCACAGGGACACCAAAACATGGAGATAGTGAGTTGCATCAAAGCAATAGCCAATTAGAGTTTGTCCAAATGGTGCATCAATTTAGACTGTATACAAGTTGCACCTGCAACAAAACAGTGATGTGCAGAGTGGTCCTGTTCACATTTCTACCCACTCCAGTTCATTCCCCTTGCCCTGCCCAGTTTCTCATTTTCCTCCCAACAAACTATTGGAATTTGTTTATTATGAATGCATTTGCTTCACCACCACATATCTCCCCCCTTTCTATGTCCTGGCAAGCAGCAGTAGCAGCATGACTGACAGGAGGACAGGCACATGGTGCCACACTACCATGCTATCTGCCACTGCTTCTGCTCTTGATCTCCAGGGCCTGCCAACCTGCCCACTCAGGTCAGTGATCTTGAGGGTGGGGGATTCCTGCAGCTGTTCTTGTCTGATGGAATGCCTCGAGTACAGTGTGGCATGTAGCAAACATTGCCCCCTTTCCTTTTACTCCTTCCCCCAATGAATCACTTAGTGATGGGCAGGAAGGGAAGACTTATAGTATATGTATAAATTATATGGACTTGAAATCTGAGCATTTAATGCTTGGAAGTACAGAGGTTGACTATAATGGAACACCTAAACAACAGCTCATTGATAAAATAATGCAGGGAGAGTTGTTATTGATTATCTAAAAGCCTTTCAGTATCCAAAGAAAGAGCTTTCTAATTTGAACTACTGTGATCCAAGAAAATTAGAAGAACTGCCTGCATTCTAATTTGCACTTATCTGATGGAATAATTGAATTAGGCTTGTCTGCAGTAATCCCCCTCCCCCTATTTCCACAGAATATTTTCATAGCACAACATTTCTGTGTTAGCAAATGAAATAGACTTTTGAAAATGTGTTGGGCTTTACCTTTTATTAGTACAGACCTGAACATGGGGAAGGAGTGCACAGATACCCAGTTTCTTGATCCATGTAGACTGGATCATGCTCAGGAATGGGTCAGGTAGTCTGTGCCCAGTCAGAAGGCTACTCAACATCTTCTTATCCCAACATCAGGATGCTTTCAGGAGCAGATTAAACAATGTTCCAGCAATTTCATGAAAATACTTCTCAGAGATACAACAGCACATAGCAAACAGTGACTGGCAGACTGGTTTGAGAGAAATGAGTAGAATTCCCAGGCCTAGGAATTGAATGTGGTCCTTCAGGCCTCTTCCCAAGTGTCACACTCTCATCCCCAAACACAACAACAGTGGCTCTTAGTTGAGAATAAGAAAGGGATCTTTATTTCGGCTAAAAATGTTACAGGCTCAGCAGCAAGCATAGGGCCCAGAAATCAGGATCCCAAGGTAACACATACAGAACTGAACAGAAGCAATGCAGATGTCCCAACAATTTCCCCTCCCACCAAGCTTTTAAATATGAGTCAGGGTGCGTTAACTTGCAATACTCTCTCACTTATGTGACCATTCAAAGTCATGCTCTGTCTGGGCTAGTGCATCTGATCCAGTCCACAGAGGCAGCACTTGGTTACTGGCAACAAGACGGTGTCCTGCTAACTCTGACTCCTGCTTCTCCTCTACCTCTTCCTGCTCAGCCCCTTCCGCTGGATGGAGTGTATCCAAACTGTCCAGTACCTTGCTGCAAACACTCCATTTGGGGGGTTTAATGTTGCCTACTGCTGGTGGGAGACTGCCTGGAGGAATCTTCTTGTCCACTTGGGTATAGGTTGGGGTTCCATCACAGCAGAGCCCCCCAACTCATCTCTACTCCATAATCCACCCTTCCAGAACACATTTTAAAAGGGCCATCAGCCAAAGGTTAAAGAGGAACATTTTTGCCTGGCACCTAAAGGTGTATAATGAAGGCACTTAAGGCATTCTAATCTGTATATATACACAGGATACTGACCTACAACACAGTCCTAATCCTGTCTACTACTTGAATTCAATGGGGCTTATTTCCAGGTTAGTGGGGTTGTTGTTGTTGTCATCATCATTAGGACTGCAGTCTTAGTGCAGCCAGGATGCACCCAGAAAGCCAGGATGAAAGGGTGGGAGGAATAGCAAAACAGAGTGATATTTTGAATTCCCTGGGAAATAGACATTAATCCATACAATGGCAGAAGCACAGTAGATACTACATCTTCACTCCTTGGGGACACCCCCTGATCATATTCCGATCCATTATCTGTATCCATTATCTATACTCTGCAGTTTGCTTTCTCTTACTGGAAATTTTGTTTCAGTTGTTGCCAGAGGGCAGATCGCAGGAAGTTATACTGCACAGTACCCAAACTATCCCCTTCTTTCAAATATCACGTAACTGTCGGGGAGGCTGTACTGTAGCTTGTCATCTGCATGCATTATAGCTCCGGTGGAAATCAATAGCCATTCTGCACCAAGTATTAACATCTGACAGACGGATATTTCTCAGACATGATTGGTTGCAAGCTCTCTCCAGGCTCCTTTGGGTATTGTGAGGATAACTCCAGTTATAATATCAAGAGCGCTTTAAGCATGGAACAGAAATAGTGTATTCTATTCCTCTTAAGCGGAAGAGGTTTCGCAGGAGTGCTGGAGTCTTCTTGAGTCTGCTTTTGCCGAGACAAAGTTTTGAGAAGATGAAGACAGAACCATCGCCTTCCCAAACAGAGAAAAAGTCCTGCAACCAAGTGTTTTGGACAGTCTTCCCTCATGTCTGCTTCATTTGTTCCTTAGTGATCTACGCATTGCTGGGTGCTCTCATGTTTTCTCACGTTGAAGGCAACAGAGAAAGCAATGAAACAGAAGCATATCAGACTTTCATGCGGCAGCTTTGGAATCTGTCAAAGAATTCATCAGGTATGTGCACAAGTAGCATTGGCAGAGATGTATTAACCCAAGTTCATTTCACAGAGTGGATGTCAATTCTCTTGTCCTTTTGAATGTCTGAATATATTTGGGCACCTGTGACTCTGCAATATACTGTGTTGGGTGGTTGGTTTGTTTTTTGCTTGTTTTAATGTGAAAGGATTTCTCATCCTCGGAGGAATCTCTGCTCCCAGTTTCCGAACATCATACTTATCTCTGGTTTATGAAAACAGCAGCTCCTTAGTTCTTCTTCCCCATTTTATGACTTTACTGTTGTGTAGATCTTTCTCACCCCACAATCTTGGTCATGGGTTGTGGGGCACTGCCCATGAATGGACATTTTGGTGTGAAACAGATTCCTTGGTTCCAGTAAAGCAGTTCATCATTTCGAGGCTTTCTTTCACACCAATTACTGTACCATGAGTGCCCTACAATGCTACAGTCCTAAAGTCAAGTTTTGTACACATTCTAAGAAGCAATAAGTCCTTCTCGAGGAATGTGATTGTTCCAGGATGCATCATTTTAAGAAAGAATGGGTTTGGAGCAACGGTGATAATTTATTGAAAAAATATTTAAGATCCAAATTTGTCAGGAACATTTTGTTAAAATTATGCTTTAAATTCAACCTCAGGTTTAATTTTATGATGTTTTCTTTCTTCTATCACTCCTCAGTATTTTCTCCATGCCTTCGCTCAGTGCTATGGAAAACATGTAAAAGCACACGATTGTGTTACCAAGCAGGTGCTGTTTGCATTTATTTCAACACCTGCTAGAGTGGAAACCCCCACCCCTTTGGATGGCATGCATATCTGTGGTATGATAAGGTCAAAGCACATAAAGCATTTAAAAACCATATTGTCAGGAAAGCATTGTTTAATGTTTGGATAAGATATAAGGATTTATTGGAAAATAAAACCCCAAGGTGGCTGTCACCGATGGAAGCGAAAGCTCTGAAAAGCTCAATATGGAGGTCAAATGGCCGAAATATTGGGAAATTTTGGAACAAGATGGAGATAGATTGAAACTGCAGAGTTTTGAAAAACTAAAAATAAAGTGCGAGACTGGCTTCATTATTATCAGATAATGGAGGCATACAATTTGGACAAGAAAATCGGCTTCCAGGTGGAAAAATCAAAATTAGAAACAGAATTGTTAGAACCCAAAACTAAGATTTTGTCAAAGATGTATAACTTGCTGTTGAAATGGAATACTCAGGATGAAACGGTGAAATCTGCTATGATTAAATGGGCACAAGACGTTGGACATAACATAATGATGGCTGACTGGGAACAGTTGTGGACCACAGGTATGAAGTTTACGGCATGCAATGCCTTAAGAGAGAATATTATGAAAATGATATACAGGTGGTACATAACCCCAGTCAAGCTTGCAAAAATCTACCATTTGCCCGATAATAAATGTTGGAAATGTAAAGAAACTGAAGGTACATTCTTTCACCTTTGGTGGACAAGCCCAAGGATTAAGGTTTTCTGGGAGATGATTTATAATGAATTAAAAATGGTATTTAAATATACCTTCTTGAAGAAACCAGTGGCCTTCCTCCTGGGCATAGTCGGCCAATCGGTGTTAAAGAAGGACAGAACTTTCTTTATGTATGCTACAACAGCAGCAAGAATACTTATTGCAAAGCATTGGAAGACACAAGACCTACCCACACTGGAGGAATGGCAGATGAAAATGATGGACTACATGGAATTGGCGGAAATGACTGGCAGAATCCGAGACCAGGGAGAAGAGTCGGTGGAAGAAGATTGGAAGAAATTTAAAGACTACTTACAGAAATATTGTAAAATTAATGAATGTTAGAATGATGTTGGATTGAAGTTAAGTGGTTTCTAGCTGTAATGGTATAAAAGAATATGGAAAAATTGGATTTTCAATACGTAAAAACCTAATGCTATAATATATTAAGATTAAAGATCAGGATTAAAAAGGAGGGAAAGGAATTGCTGGACTAATAAATTGAACTGGAATACAAAAAAGGGAGGTATGAGGAGGTCCGGGAAACAAGTAAATGAAAGAGAAGTGATGAAAAGATGGAATTGTTTTTAATTGTTTTTGTGTGTGTTTTTTTTTATTTTTCTCTTTCTTATCTATGTATTCTTTTTTTGAAACCTTAATAAATATCATTAAAAAAAAAAAGGGAAACCCCACCCCAACCAGGAATTAAGGGGAGAACAGCTGCCAGATCATAAGCGCCCCCCCGTCCAATCATTTCTTTCCTCTCCATGGAATGATGCACTGGAAGAGAGGCGTGTGTGGACTTGTTTTTAAAAAGCTAAATCTCAATAAAAGCCAGCCAGCCAGTCGGTGCTGAATAACTCAATGGTCCATAACGCTTACTTATTGTCCATCATCCAGGACCATAATTTTCAGTTTGTTTAATACTAAATCCCACTTTCTTATGAACAGGAAATGAGATCTCCTTTGATGAGTTCAAGGAAGAAGCACGTAAGCTGATTGAAACAATTGAATGGGAATGGTTTGGCGACCCTAAAAAGAAATGGTCCTTTCTGGGCTCTCTCTTTTTCTGCTGCACTGTGTTCACAACAGTGGGTAAGTATGAGTTTTTGAAAGTATTTTGCACTTGACTTGTTAAGATAATTGAGCTCATCAGCATGTCTGCAAGAAATATATAAACCCCAGTGGGGACCTGTAGCTTCTTCAGCAACAGCATATGCCACCAGAATCTCAGAGTTGCCTACATTACACCATGAATATAGTCATTTGAGGGTGAATGTCGGTGTCCATGTACATAGGAGTAACTCTTATTGAACTCAGAGAGATTACTTCCAAATATATATATGCATAGGGTTTATGGTTGCAAAGCTACAATCCTGTGCTCATTTATCAGACAGTAAGTCACATTGGATACAGTGGGATTTACTTCTGAGAAAACATGTGATTGTACTGCAAGTTACATCAAGAACCTCTCATAAAGTTTTTACGTACAACGTGTTATAAAAATAGCTGAAACAAACAAGTTAAGTCAAGTCATCATTGGCTGCAGAAACTTCCCATAGAAAGATGGGGTAAAGCTCCCAGGATTATTCATTGGGGCAGCCATATAAGGGAGTACAGGATGTGTGGCTCATGAGGGTCCCCAGGTACACCAAATCTAGAAATCTTCTTACATTTTTGTTTGTAAAAGGTTTAAAGTTATTGATGTTAAAAAAAATAATATTTGCAATATTTGAATATAACTTTATTATGTCAGTTAGTATTATGTGTAAAGACGTGTCTCTAATTTATATACATTCTGAAGATTTGTGCTTCATATTTTAATCCCCAATCAAATCACATCACATCAAATCTTTACTAATCTTGTTGATGAACAACATTTAGAGAACAGGATAAAACACACGTAAAACAAATTCATTTCATATTTAATTATATTCCAACAGAATATTAATACAGTATTAATAATAATAAAGTGATAAAATATCAAACATTAAAAACTTCCCTAAACAGGGCTGCCTTCAGATGTCTTCTAAAAGCCAGATAGTTGTTTATTTCCTTGACATCCAATGGGAGGGTGTTCCACAGGGCGGGCGCCACTACCGAGAAGGCCCTCTGCCTGGTTCCCTGTAACCTCAATTCTCGCAGTGAGGGAACTGCCAGAAGGCCCTTGGAGCTGGACCTCAGCGTCCAGGCAGAACAATGGAGGTGGAGCTGTTCCTTATTAATTTTGTTGGCCTCCATCTATCTTGAGAGACAATGGAGTGTGCCTGGGGGGCAGGCGCAAGTCAAACTGCTGTGCTAGCAGCACTGAAGTGACTCCCCTGGGGCACAAACCAGGGCAGTGTGTATGGAGGTCCAGGGCTGCCAAGATGACAAGACAAGATCCCCCTCTCAGCCTCTCTGTTGTGGTTCAAAGGAAAGCCGAGCAATATGTTTGGCACCAGCATTGCTGCAGGAAGGAGGTGTACAAGATCCTGTTAACTGTCTTAGGGACTCCACTCAGGATTTGTGTAGGGTTTAGTCCTTAGCTTTTTCTTCTCCCAAAGATATCCCACAAGGCAGCAGAGGTTTAGGATCAGAGTTTTCCTTCTCCTAGATGGGCTGCCTTCCCAGGTTGATGAGCCCCATCTGCCCCTCACTTCCCTCTACAGCATGTGCAGAAACCCCCTTCTTAATCGTTGGACCCACCACTGGTCTTGTCCACCCAATCTGGCAGCGCCTGTCTTCAAGTGCAGGAGAAGTCCCTAACTCACCAAGGGTTTGAGACCCATCGGCTACCCTCACCTGGTTTCGCCAGCCAGTTGAAGTCATTCCTGGGATATGGCTGCTGTCACGTGCTGACAGCTTCTAAGAGCCACAGGTGAGAGCTGAGTGCAGGGTGGGGACCAAAGTGGACAAACTACCCCAGAAGGAGAACCACGTGTCCCCCACCACAGGTACTACCCCTCTCTTAACACCCCATTCACCCCTCATATTTAATTCAGCTGCTAATAATATTATTTCATCTCCTGTCAGAATATACTGGTATATAATCAAATTAAATTGGGAGCTCCCCCTCCAGAAAAAAACCCCAATTTTTTCTCAGTGAAATATGATTGCCACTACCTCAAACCAGGAAGAAGAAACCAGGTCAGGAGGACACTAGTCTGAAACCGCCATAGTGTATAATGTATAAATGATGATTTGGTTTCAGTGTCAGAGCATTGATGCCTCTCTTAGTGCTTAGGCTATGTGCACTATGCATATTCTTGTGATGCATGCACCAGAGATAGATTCTCTACCTCTGTATGCACAGATAGCCTGTATGGTATAGTTCTTAGAGTCCCTGGCAGACTGGAGTTCAAATCCCCACTCAGCCATGAAGCTCACTGGTTCACTACCTCTCCACCTAACCTACTTCACAGGGTTGTTGTGAGGATAAATGGGAAGGAAGAGGAAACATGTATGCCACCTTGAGCTTCCTGGAGGAAAGGTGGAGTGTAAATGTAATAAATAAATGAATGAATCTTCAGGTCATCAGTTGGTATACCCCAATTTATTTCCTGAGATTGAGGTAAAGACAATAACTTATAGGGACCACTTCAATGAACATATTATGTGGATAACCAATGATATTCAAGGGGCAAGTAAAATCTCACTTGGAGTTCTCTTAAAGATATATTAGCAAGGAGCAATGTTAGTTTTTAACATTTGCATTTTCCTTCCAGTGTAGTACATGGGGAAAGGTGGGCTTTGGTGAATCTAGTCTTCTTCTGCTAGCTAAGTCATTTAAGATGACTGTTTCAAGAAAGAATCATCTAAGCAACATATGCATACTGAAAGATTCACAGTAACAGGGACATAGCTGTCAACCATCCCTTATTTGGTGGGAAAGTCCCTTATCCCAGCGCCATGTCCCGCTGCTGTCCCTTATTGATGATGTCCCTTAAATTTCCCGGGTTTCAAAGGAAGCAGCTCCTCTCCCTCCCTCCCTGCCAGCCAGGGAGGAGGGAGGCTCCAACTGTGTTGCTTGGCTGCGTTGCTCACCCAATAAGGAGTCTAAGAACGACTGGGGGGTGGAGCTTGCATGCTTTGTGCCGATCAAATCGGCCGCGTTGCCTGGGGACTTGCCTTTGCTCAGTGCTTCCCAGCGGAGAGGTGACAGTGGTTTTCCTTGCTGCATCTCCTTTGCCGGGTTGCTGCCCTGTGGGAACCACCGCTTGAGGCTTCGTTTGGCTGCTGGTTGACTAAAATCCCTTATTTTGGCTGCTGATCCCTTATTTCCGAGGCTGCTGGTCCCTTATTTTCAAATCTGTAAGTTGACAACTATGAATAGGGACCTAATTCGTTTGTGGCTGACAAATGCCATATTGCTATTTTTAGCAATTGAATTTATAGTAAAATAAGAAACAGGGTAGATCCAAAAGGTATCTCATAACAGAAATATTAATACATGACAATTTTTAACAAAAATAAAATATAAAAATTAGTATTGATGTCATTTGATGATTTTCAAAAGCTAAGACGTGATTGACGCTGTTCTGCATTTTCTTCCCCCCTCCTCATTTGTGGCTGCTTGCCATACATTGGCAACCTATTTCTTGATTGTGAGCACTTTGGAACTACACCAACTTTTTGCAATTATCATTTTTGCTATCGTCAACAATTCTGGGATTACAAGACAGTGCATGTCTGATTCATAGTCACTTATGAATCCAGGCAATAAGGATTTGGGAGTTAATGGCCAATTATAGTCTGTCATTGATTTCTGTTTTAAAAAATTTCCCAAACTGTTTAGACAACAGTTTGGGAAAGAGGGGATGTTCACTGAGACCTTTCATGAGCATCAGAGGAGGTACCAACTGGCACAGCCATCCTTTGAAATTCGCACATCTTTGAATTTTTCAAATCACTCCTCCAGGGTAAAATGTGCATGACAATCAACTTATTGTTGAAATATATATATAAAAATACATTATACTCAAGAAAACTGCTTTCCAAAAATGTGTATATAAGGTAAAACTGTGTACAAAAATGTGTATATTAGAAGAAAAGGAATATAAAGGGACAGAAGAGTAGAGACTACTTAGCTAGATGGACCTGATATGTGGCAAATTCCTACTATCTAACTGAGATCCAGTGTGGTATAGCATTTAGAGGGCCAGGTAGTTCCACGTTCAGACACCTGCCCTCTGTCCTTGGGCCAGAAGTTATATCTCAGCCTAGCCTGGACTGCTGTGAGGATTAAAATGGACCATAAGACATTTTATTTTTGACACCATACATTGCAATCCAGCAACAGCATTCCAAGTGAGATGGGCTGAATCAGTTTAACAGCTGGCCCACTGCAGTCAGTGAGGCTGCAACCCGCAACCCACTTGCTAGGGTAGAGCATGACAGGTGTGTTTGGATCTTATGGCCTTTAGGTTGCAGAAAGCTATTGGATCAGATGTCTGTCAAGAGCCATCTGTCCCCGTCCCCTTGTGTAGGCAGAAGCGTGGAAGAGAGAGAATAAAGACAAGGATGGGTGTGGGGGTTAGGTCCACTTTCAGCTCTGGTTATGCCAACTAATGGCATTCAGCCCAGCATAGCTTATTCTCAAAGACAGATGAAAGATTGACCATCCTTGTACTAAGGAGTAAGCCTCTTTAAACTTAGTGAGATTTGCTTCTGTAAGCATGCAAAGGGAGTTTGCAGTGATGCAAGTAGTTCATGCAGAGTGACCTTACTCATTCTGACTTTCCCATGCTGTAGCCTCACAGTTAGAAAAGCCGTAGAAATGTTTCTATAACTGAAGTATCAAAAAGTTGATTGTAAAAAATATTTCCAGTGAAATACTAGTTTTCAAATCCTGTTAGGGGGCAAATGATAAATGAGCAAATAAAGGAATCCAGTTTGAATATGACATTCTTAGCAGCTGCAGCAAAGTCCATTTGTATTAACCTAGAATAAAATCATTATAAAAAATTCATATTTGCCACCTTATATGTTGAACAGAATAGATAACATTGACTATTAAAACTACTGGAAACATACAGGTGTTGTGAATGAGGCAGAAAAATAAGAATCTATCTTTCAGGGAAAGAAAACCTCCAAGAAATTTGAAAATATTTTCGTACAGCAGGTTTTCAACGTTATCTTAAAGCAGCAAACATATAAAAGGATATTTGTCCAGCTGTAGACTTGCATTGGAGATTTCATACTATCATAAAGCTGGAAAGAATAATAATAATAATAAAATAGTTCCCTGCTCCAAAAGAAGGCTTATCCCTCCACCAGTTCTCTTCCCCTTCCTGTTCCAATCCATATACGCAATCCAGACTGTTGTGGCTCATGAACTAGAAGGTGCCTGTAAGGCAAATACCCCTGGACTCAGGAAATCAAGCCAAGCCAGAAAAATCATGAAAGCAATGCCAATCTATTTGCTGAGGGTCTTTTTTGTTTATTTGAGATAGGAAAGGAGGACACTCTCTTTTGCCTGTAACCTCAGGCAGAATTTGTTAGTATTTGGGTAGACTGTATTGTTAAAGTATTTTACAAATAACAACCCCACCCCACCCCCCAAAAAATCCCAGCGTCTGGGCTTAAGCCTTTTCGATTACTATCATTAAGAGATAAAAAGGAAACAAAAAAACCCCACTCCATACATTTAAATTATAGCAATTAACTTCCTCCTCTAGCCAATCCCTGAAGTCTACATTATTAGTTGCTTCCAGGTGGGAAAGTAAGGAGGGAAGGGCCACACATCAAGTTGGCTGTAAAGTTGAGAATGGAATCTAAAGACTGTAGGAACGCTTAGTAGCAAGAATGCATGCAGTATTTGGACGTACTTCTATAAGAACTTTTCTGGGAGTAAGTCCTATTGAACTCAGTGCAACATGCTTTTGAGTAGACACAAGTAAGATATGCTGTTAAACCTTTGGTTTGCTAACGTCTCTTGATGAACTAAGTAGCATATGTAGTGACAGATCTCCTCATAAACTACTATCTTCATATTGTACTTTGTATGCAGTGTGGAATCACTGTACCCCCCCAACCCAATTTTCTATTAGTTCTTAGGAGGAAAGGACTCTGATCATAACATATAGGAATGTTATTAATGCAAGTTGACATTATGTGATTTGATTTGTTGACGCTTTGCCCTTTGCTGCTAGATCTTTAAGGGAGAGTGAGGCTGCTGCCTCAGGCAGCAGATACTAAAGAGAAGGGAGCAGGCAGAACTGTGTGACCCATACAGACTGCCCTGAAAGCCCTAAGGTAGCTTGCTGTCCTCAGATGGGGTGGATAATTTTGTCCCATTGCCAGATGTAAGAGTCAAGTACAAGTTTGATCAACTTCTGTGCATGGAATGGGAGAAGTGCCATCTTTCCCTTTGCCTCAGGCAGCAAAATGTCTTGGTCTAGCCCTGTGTTGTAGTCAACCGGTGTATTACAAAGAGATGAAGCTGAAGTATGCTAACATCTTGCTAAATCACCTACCAGCACTTAAAAAAAGAAAAATCAACCAAGGATTAGCAATAGTCAGCCTTTAGTTGAGCAAAAGATACCCAAGTTAGATACAGTGGTACCTTGGGTTACAGGCGCTTCAGGTTACAGACTCCGCTAACCCAGAAATAGTACCTCGGGTTAAGAACTTTGCTTCAGGATGAGAACAGAAATCACGCGGCGGTGGCACGGCGGCAGAGGGAGGCCCCATTAGCTAAAGTGGTGCTTCAGGTTAAGAACAGTTTCAGGTTAAGTATGGACCTCCAGAACAAATTAAGTACTTAACCCGAGGTACCACTGTACTGGAAGAATGTTGTTATTTGCAGAAAAGCATGAAGAAACTAAGGATAAACTCTACAAAAGGAGGCAACTTTCCAAAAAAAATTTTTAAATGCACAAAAGGGGACTTAAAGAAACCATTTCGTATTGCATTGTAGGTAGGAAAACTAAATTCTGCATAGTATTTGTCACCTGCAATGGAAATACATGAATGTAGTAGAGCTGTCTGTTTTTAGACTTCACGTTCTGGGTGGCAGGGAAGCAATATTGGATAAAGGGAAGAAATTCTTTGCATATTTCATCAGCTTGGATTTAATTGACATACCAGTGAAAAAAACAAATCAAATGGAATTTAAATTGTACTTCTCTGATTCTGTTTGGTTTCAGGTTATGGTCATACCTACCCTGTGACAAGACCTGGGAAATACTTGTGTATGCTGTATGCGTTATTTGGCATCCCTCTAATGTTCTTAGTTCTCACTGATATGGGAGACATCCTCTCATCTATATTATCCACATCTTACAATAAAGGGAGACAACTACAGTCAAAAATATTAGCCAGACTTTCTCTTGCATCCTGCTGGAAGAAGAAGAGAGACTCAAAATCTGGATCCTTAGCCCTCAGGCAAACCAAAGTAGTCCTTCATGAACCTTTAAACATCAAAGAAGTGCTAAGACATCATTCTTCACTGAAAATAAAGCCTTGCCAAAGTCGAAATGTCGAAATATTTGAACAACTTATTGCCAGGGAGAACCAGTTCCTTGCACCACCGAGACCTGGCAAGTTTGAACGATGGAGTTCATGCCCTGAACTGGATTCAGGGGCAATGATGAACCATATGATTGACAATATTGACAATATAGGGAAAAGAGTAGAAAAGCTGGATGTGCCATTTTGGTTGATGATGCTCATTGTCTTTGTATACATTTCCTGCGCTGCCGCCATCCTTCCGCGCTGGGAAAGCCGTTTGAATTTCGAGGGCGCTTTCTATTTCTGCTTCATCACCTTAACAACAATTGGCTTTGGTGACGTTGCCCTGGAACACCCCAACTTCTTTTTGTTTTTGTCATTTTATATTGTGGTCGGCATGGAAATTGTCATCATCGCCTTCAAGCTGGGACAAGACAGGCTCATTTCTCTGTACAAAAAGTTGATCTGCTGCATCGGACGGAAAAATACCCCACCAAAAATGGTATGAAAAATGTCCATCTAACTAAAAGGAGAGGCAGCAACATCAGTTCCAAACTCATGTTGATGGGCAGCTGCTGCAGGCTATTGCAAATGCTTTTGTTTTTCCACCTTTGATTCAGTAACGGAAAATCACGATGGATGATTATTTTCATTGACAGTGGGATCTGCTGTAAACTAGTAGAATGATTATGTAGCAGCTGAACACAAATGATAGTGAGGGCATTCCTCCCCTTTAAGGAGTTAAAACTGATGGAATAAAACTATTCTTTGGAACACTAGGAAATATAGAAGGTGCCTCTCTGTTAAATATGAATATTTACAATTGTGTGGACATATCAACCATTTGGCTCCCCCCACTCCATTGGCAATGACAGCGGTGAGCTAGAATAATTGATAATAACCATGAAATATTTACAATATTAATATACCACATCTTACTGAAATTGGTTCCATGTATGTTTACGCAATTGAAATAACAAAATAAAACAGACAATTGGTAAGATTTCAAAATGTTTAAAATTTAAAAGCCTGGGATAATAAAAGGGGGGTTGTTTGGCACCTAAAATATGATGGTGATGAATCAATCAATCTATATAACACTTGATGCAAAAAAAGGACTTCAACATGGTTTACAGGTATATAAAAAATACAGAATCATTGAAATATAGGCATCCAAAATTAAAATGTGCAATAAAACAATTTCATCAAAATATAGACAACTGAATCTGCAATTAAGGGGTCATCCATAACAGCAAGAACTCCTTGATGGACACTGGCATGGAAGCTGGTTTTCTCTCAGCTGTCCCTGATCTAAGCATGGCAAATGGCTTTGAAAACCACTGAGAAGAAATCCAGAAGAACCCACCATGTTAAATTCCTTCTGTCTCTCCTAGAGATGGTTATCAACCAGGGCAACCAAGGCAGTTTCAGATGGCAACATTACTACCATGTGAACTTCCTGGGGCATGCTATTCCATGAATGAGGCACCATGGCTGAGAAAGCCCCCTCTCCAGTTATCACTCACTTCACTGATGTCACCCAGGTCTATTTTTTTTGTGTCACATCTGAACCAGAAGTGGCTGTATAAGCTCTGGACTGGATGCTGTGGTGGACTGGATGAAGGCTAGGAAACTGAGTGAATCCTGGCATGACAGAGCTTCTGTGGGCAAGTGGTTTCTGTTGTCAGAAGATAGGCCAGCTGTCTGTTCTGGGCAGGGTTGCATGACCTTTGAAAGTGCAGGCATGCAGTCTGGGGGATGCTCCTACAGGTGTCTGTCACTGGAAACTCAGGTATCTTCCTAGGCTTGAAAAATCTGCCAATAAGCCAATATGCTACTGGGTCCAATCTCTTCTTCTTCTTTCTTTGGCAATCACTCATAGCCAAATATGGTCTTAACAGTGTGTCTGTAAGTGACTGTGGAGGCCAATTCTGGACCCACAGATCAAATTTAAGGTGCTGCTGTTAGTATGTATATAAAGCCTTAAACAATTTGGGGCCACTGCCAGGCAAAGCCACCCCCTGAATGGTCGGCAGCAAGAAAGTGGACAGGTGAGAGATGGCTGAGGGCAATCTGAGGTTGGTGGGCCAGCTGCCCATTTGCCCTAACAGATCAACCTCTACCAGTAGCAGCACTGATGTTATGGAACTCCCTGCCAAAGAAGATCAAGCAAGTTCCATCTGTATTAACTTAGAAGCAAAGATCTTTGTTTAATCAAGCTTTCCTAAAATGTGACCAGTTTTGTATTATTAGTTACTTGACTGACAGTACAGTATTCATGTTTGAATTTTATATTGTTTCATGTAATGTTTTGTATCATTCAGCACTTAGGTGGGACTTTCCTTTTGACTGAATGGTGTATAAATTTGCTAAAGAAAATAAAGAATAACAGGAAAGAACCTTAGCTAATGATCTGAGAGTGCAAGCAGGAAGGCACTCCTGCAAGTACTGGGATCCCAAGCTGTTTAGGCTTTAAAAGTCAATGCTAACACTTTGAGTGGGCATAGAAGTGGGCAGCCAGCCAGTTGAGCTCTTTTAATGATATATGACCTGAATAGGCTGTGCCAGTTAAAATCCTGGCAGCTGTAGCAGCGCAAGCTTCCAAACTGCTGCCTTCAAAGGCAGCCCCAGATGGAACACATTATAGGAATCCAATTGGGAGGTTATCAGGGCATGGGCAACTATGGACAGACTAGCCTTGTGCAGGAGAAGCCACAGATAATAAACCAGGCAAAGCTAATGAAAAGCACTATGACAGCCTAGGCTGTAGCTTGCCCCATGAGAGAGGGAAGGAAGGCAACTAAACCAGTCCAACCAACCCCATCTTGGCTACTTCACCACTGTCACCAAGTGGATGTCTTTATTTTTCTCCGGCTTCCTCTGCTAAAAAGCCCTTTTATTGGCACAACTTGCTTCTAATACTGAGCAGTGTGGCATTTAGGGTGCAATCCTAATCCTGGCTGCCAAGCAGCAAGGCTTTATCAAGCAACAGGCCACATCTCCAGCCCCGACACACAAAGCAGCCAACATGGAAGGTGGAGGGAGGCAGCAAAAGTGCTGGAGCTGATGCATCAGCTGGGCCCAGTGTCATCACACAACAGCAGTGGCTCAGGATGAACAGATCCTAGGGCAGCTTCCCTCCTCTACAAAAATACTCCATTTCAGGGTAGAGGAGATCCCGTAGGAAGCACTGCTGCACACCTGCACATTTCGTAGGCAGAAGGATAATAACATCAGTGGAATGAAACCTGCGACATTTCATCAGTGGCAGAAGGCTGGAGGCTAGCTTAGCCAGGAGAGCTGGGTGGAAATGACTGAACACTCCCACCCCTGGGCCTGGTGCAAGAGAGAAGATTGAATTGGTTTGCCAGGCACTGAATGAATAACAAGGTCTCATACCCCCCCCCCCCATGAAGCTTTTCACAATGTGTTCCTTGGAAAATATATGTGGCTGAGAGGGATATGTCAAATTTTCCTGCATATGTCCAATCTTTGTTTGTTACTTTGCAGAGAACACTTGGATAGAGTTTAAGCACTCCTCACACATCCTGATCTTCTTCTTTTTATGGCTCAACTATGTATTATGCATTGCTGATAATGGATGGTGTTCAGAATTGTGTGTGTGTGTGTTACTAATAGCTTTTGTGGAATGTGGAGGTGAAGGGCCAACTGATTCTCATGCTTACAGAGCTCAAGAAATGAAACATGGCTGAGAGCAAAACAACAACAACAACCCAAAACAAACCAAAAATTTCTCAAAATCATCAATACCGCAATTTTTCTTATTAAGCATAGTGAATGCGTTTCTTCTATTTCCTACAGTACTATCACTAGAAACGTTATTTCACAACAATGTACTCCTGTTATTAAAGCACATAATGAAAACTCACCCTGCAAACAGCAAAGATTCCTCCCCCCAGGCATGCACTTGCTTCGAGTTAGCAGTCATTGTGTGCACAACTAATCTGATTTAATGTTCTAGCCGCAGTCACAGTACTATAATATTTTCAGAGAGGCAGAGTTAGGCATGCACTGTCAGTGTTTGTGTAAAACTGCAGTCTGAAAAGCACTTTAAATTCTTATACCAAATTTTGCCAATGATAACTTGGCTGAACAGACTGGTGCCTTCTCACTAACCTCTTTCAGTTTCACAGTGAGATAACCACCATCTCATAGCAGGCCTGTTACAAAGATTAAATCAATGAAACTTAATGTATACCTTGATCAAAGAAAAGCGTTGTCATCCTAATGCATGAATATGTTCCAAATGGTGCTTACACTTGGTCTCGAAAGTGGGTTTGATTCTCTTTGTCACACAAATGCTATATACAGGTACATTTTGATAGTCAGAAAGTTCAGTAGTGCAGAACTAGGTATATAGGTTCTCGTATCAGTGAAGTATTCCTGGTAGGGTCACTGCTCTGACTTTTAAAACCCTGCTTCAATACAAATGGGCAGTTCTTCAGTATGTATCATTTGATTATGCTGGACTCCTTTTACAGTTGACATTTTGATCTGAGCTGATTGTTTTTCCCGTATAAGAAGCAGGAGCACTGCTAGGTACTTAAGAGATTAGCAACACAGGCCCATGCCACAAATTGGCACAACGTGCATATGCTAATTTATATGTATAGATGCAAATTTAGGTTTCTGAGTGAATTAAGATGGTGTGGCCTGGGGTCTCTCTGCCACTGTGCTTCATAGCATCCCCAGCATGCCCTGTAAGCAAAGGCTCCCCCCCTCAACATTGCACTAATTTATTGCCCTGCCAGTGCAAGGATTTCTGCTTGCACAATGGGACTTGCCCCCTCCCCCATGTGTGCCCCTCCCCAAATCTGCCCCAGAGGCTTGGGGATACCCCCAGATCAGATTTAGGGGGCCTGTGAGGGAAGAAAGTCCCACTGCACAAGCAGAAATCCTTGTGCTCATGGGACAGTTCCTTAGCACTACATTCAATGCAAGCCAAAGCAGATTTTTTAAAAGTTTGTTTTTAATGGTAAAGGAGTCCAGAGATCTGGGGCCCAGCATAAAAGATGTGGGTCTTGGAGGGGCTAACCACACCCCTGGTAAGAAGTGAGAAAATAAAAATCCACATTCTGAGTTCCTGATCTTTTTGCAAACTGTTAATGACGTTTGTCCAATAAAAGCAGTTATTTTATGTTTGTTTCCTGCGGTTTAAGCAAAGAGTATTTAAATAAACAGGCTTTCAGTAACCTCAATAATCATGATTGATTGCTAGGAATTAATGAATAATTTATCATATGCTTTAATGTATGCAAAACAATACTAATAAAGGTTATGCCTGCATCACACCATTCTAGGTATTTAATCTTTAGTTTCATTTGGCAGCTGTTGTTCCAAAATAACAGCACTGTTTGGAGTGACTTACAAATTTCTTTTAGGTTGCCTGATATTTACTTATGCTCCACAATGCCTCTAAGCTTGCCCTGATATAACTGAAAAGTAACGCACACAATTTCACCCAAAGCTCAACTAGTGCTTCCAGGAAAACATAGGTAAATATGAAGCTGTCTTGAAATTACTCTGGAGATGTAAATTTGGGTGGCCCCTCTGAAGTGGCACTGAGTATGGACCCTTAAGTCCCCAAAGCAGCACCAAACACACAGAAGAGGACGATATCAACAGACCTGGTGCAACCCCAAGGCTTGCAGATAAACAAAAGAAAACCTTTAGAAAATACCTTAGGCGTGGAAACCCTAAAACAAACTAAACATAGTGGAAAGGGAAAATTGAAAATAGGCGTGGGGGGGGGGGGAGATGGAATGCCATAGGAGCACCAGATGCTGCCTTATTGTCAGACTCACATACCCCAAACACCACCGCTGAATGTCCAGCACTCATTCAGCAATTGGGGTTCTCTCCAGATTGACGTTTGCTGCAATTTAGCATAAAAGAGCAGGTTTTCTCTGGGAAAGGAGCAGGGCAAGGGGGAAAGGCACAGCACAAACAGAAGTGTGGAACACTTAAGAGGTGTTTTTAATATTTCGTTGAGAGCCACCCAGAGCGGCTGGGGCAACCCAGTCAGTTGGGTGGCATATAAATAATAAAATTATTATTATTATTATTAAGCGTAAGAAAGACTAATAGCGGTATAGACTCAGCAGCAAACCTAAGCTCCAGAAGTCTAGATTCTAAGAGATTCATAACCTAATGGAGGCTTCGAAGATGTCCTGACAGGTAACATGTCCCTCCTGCTAAACTTTTAAAGACGAGGCAGGCTGAGCTTTCTCATTACACACTCTTGTTCTGTGGGCCTGCTTTGCAGACATGTGCTCTCTCTGGGTGCATTTGAACCCACCAAAGAAGGTGGCACCTTGTTTTCAGTGACAAGACCGTGTCCTGTCCCTCTGCCTCCAGCACCACTGCCATCTTCTGCTGTTCTGCCCCTCTCTTTGACTGGTTGAAGTCCTGCCCGCTCCCTGATGAGGCTCAGTACTCCCTGAAGGGGCAGGGGAGAGAGCTGGCCCATCTGCTTCTCTCTCTTTGACATCCAGAGGCACAAGCAGAGGACTTCCCTTCTCCATGTCTTTGTGCCAGCCTTCCAGCCCTCCATCGGCTCTTCCGCATGGTCCATCTGGGGTAGCCAAACTATGACACATCCTGATGGAACCACAGGGTCCATGACACCTATTCTGAGCCACACAATTGTTCCATTTAACTCAGTATTATCTAAATTGATGGGCCACAGCTTTTGGGGGTTTCAGGCATGATTGAACCTGGGTCCTTCTGTACATAAATCTGTGCTCTTCCACCGAGCTCTAATGTCAGAAATGTCAAACAAGCATGCTCAACTGTTTGAAGCGTCTCTCACAATAATGTGGAAATGAAAGAGAAAGGAACTTGATCTAATATCAACCCCAATTCTGAGGATAGTTTCTCTGAGGAAGACACCAACAACGTAAAATAGAATTGTTATGTACTGAAGTTCTCACCCTGGGCCAGCAGGGGGATACTGTAGATAGTTATGCAAATGAAGGATCGAAAGTGACGTTCAGTGATTGGATAGTTTTAGAAAGTTGCAACAGTTACAATTGTTCTGGAGCTCTACATAAGCAGGCTGACTGAGCTCCTCAGTTCAGCTTACAAATAAAGAGCTGCTTTGGAAGAATTGCTGTGTCGTCTGATATGTTCGCCCCCAACTTAACAAGATTATATTCTTTGACATAACAGAGCTGTGTCAAAGCCTGATATTGGCTTGGAAAGGAACATTCTCAATAGTGACAGCACTTTTTTTCTGGGGATATGCATTCTTCTAAACATTTTGTGAATCTAAGTTTGGCCTCATTGAGGGGCAGTATTTCAATATGAGTAGGAAAATGAGAGTACCCCTAAACATTTTTTTTTAGAGGAAAAAAACACTGAATAGTGGCATCCCAGTTTGGAATGCCCTCCCCTCCCATGATAATAAAGTGTCAGCTCCACATAAAAATGTGACTATTCACACAGCCATTTGGCTAGACTAGTGCCCTCTCTTGGCTGATGGAGTTACTGTACATTGCTAGCACATTGCTTGGTGTTTGTTTTTTGGTTTTTTATATTAAGTTGTATTTAAATGAAATATTTTTGTTGTTGTATTTTAATGTTGTTCCTTGGCCTGAGATTGTGTGAAGAATAAAGGGCTGCCGCAAACGAACAAATAAAAGTACACTGCGAATGTCTTCATGTAGTGGGAGCAAAATGCTCTTGTAAAGGTAATTGTGTCTTGAGGGGTGGGGGGAGATCATCTGAATGTATCCGTAATTCCATGGAAACAAGATAATCAAGAAAAGCTCTAGCACAGACCTTCTTCTAAAAGCTGGTGATACTTGATTCTCCGCTTCAGCAGAATTGCTTGGCTTTCATGCTATGTTGGCTGTTGGCTGGCTCCATGCTGAGTGCTCTGAAGGAGCAACTTGTTGACTTGCGGAAATAAGAAGTGACTGTTGACACTGCTGCCTATTGCCATATGTGATACAAGGTCTAAAGAAACAATCACATGTTTAGAGGATTGTGGTTCCAGACGGCACATACTACTCTTCCATAAGCTTGCCTTGCTATTCATTTCAAACAATGGGTCAAGTACTGAGAGACTAAAATGCAAACAAGACCAGCAGTGTTAATTCAGGTGAAGGCTTTCACATTTTAGGTGGTTTTGTCCTGCAGAAACATACTTCAATACTGCAAGATGTAACTGATAACTCGGAGTTTCTGATTTGCTCTATATGCCCCGTTTCAACTTCAACTGGTGGAAACTATGCTTCCGCTTTGGGTATGGTTCCAACATTTGATAAACTGGGAGCTGTCTTTAAAAAGTGCATCCTGTCTGCAATAAATTAAACCATTTCCTTCAGTAGTGGCTGTGCATGCAATATGTTTAAAAAGTGAAAAGTGACTGGCCTGAAGTCACCCAGTGAGCTTCACGGCCAAGTTGGCATTTGAACCCTGAAATGCCTTCTCATGAGTGGAAGGCAAGTCATCTCTTTGGGTCCAACCTGCTGAATTATATTTTGTGTTTTCATTTCACATTATTATGGTACAACAGATTCTAAATTGAAAATTATTCCAGGTAGGTTCTTGAAGAAATATTTAAAATTAGTATCCTGTTCAATTCCAAATCTACTGCTACTTAGCTCAAAATTCCTGCAGCATATGCTTTTAAGTGCTTTGTTTTCATTGGCCAAATCTCTACCCCCCCTCAGTTAATTGTACTCTATGCCACATAATGAATTTAAATTTTAAATGAAAGAACTTACATCAAATTTCAAAATGTGGATGTATTCATTTTTTTAAAAAAATCAGCTTGCCCTAATAATTCTTCTAGGGCTGCCACTACAGTATCTATCACATCTACATCATATGTAATGAAAACCTATTTATGGCTTGGTAGCAAATATATTGCAGTCTAGCTTATTAAAGTATGTCCATGTCATAAATTTGGTCAATTTACTAACATAAAAGAGTCTGGTGACATCAGTATTGTTGTCTGTCCATGTCCAAATGACGCAATTAAAAAGCATTGCAAATAAAGCATGTGCAGCATGCAATTGTCCAAATGGAAAGTGTTCCAGCTGTACTGCCTTTATTTTTTCAAATTACATCTTGGAGCATAGCCATTTGACCAGCATTTATAAAAAGGCCAATGTCTTATCAGAGCATTCATTTTTTGTGTGCTTCCATTAATAAATACACATTATGATCATTGTGCAAACACACTGGAGCCTTCCAGCAAGCACCAGGGAAAAGAATGCAAAGGTTTCAAATTATAGCACTTTCCATTATGAACCAGCTATCTTGATCCCTGCAGGAGGGCAGAAGTGGGCTATTTGAAAGGAGCAACAAAGCAGGATTTTTTTTCCCCACTAGCAAGGGAGGAAATAAATATAGTGAGCCTATTTGTGAACAAATATGCAACTTCTGGTATATGGACAAAAGTTGTAGTTGTTTTGTTGTTGTTGCTGTTGCAATGCTCACACTTTTGAAGGACTTTTCAGGCCTGTGCTCACTCGGTTCCATTAAAAAGCAACAACACGCCAACAACAACTTGGGATTTTCATTAGGAAAAACTATATACAGTGGTACCTCAGGTTAAGAACTTAATTCGTTCTGGAGGTCCGTTCTTAACCTGAAACTGTTCTTAACCTGAGACACCACTTTAGCTAATGGGGCCTCCCACTGCCGCCGCACGATTTCTGTTCTCATCCTGAAGTAAAGTTCTTAACCCGAGGTACTATTTCTGGGTTAGCGGAGTCTATAACCTGAAGCATCTGTAACCTGAAGTGTCTGTAACCCGAGGTACCACTGTATGTGCCTTAAAAACATGAAAACATAAAATGGGCCTGCTGGATCAAGCCCATGGCCCATCAGGTCCAGCGTCCTGTTCTCACAGCAGTAGCCAACCAAATGCCCATGGGAAACTTGCAAGCAGGATTCAAGCACAGGAGCCCTCTCTCTTCCTGTGGTTTCCAGCAACTGGTTTCAGAAGCATGACTACCTCTCTGGCCATGGAGGCGGAACACAGCTATCATGGCTAGTAGACTTTGATAGCCCTCTCTCCTCCAGGAGTTTGTCTAATCCTCTTTTAAAGCCACCCAAGGTTGGTACCCACCACTGCCCCGCTGGGAGTAAGTTCCATAGTTTAACTGCACCCAGAATGAAGGAGCACTTTCTGTAATCTGTCCTGAATCTCCCAACATTCATTGGACATCAGACTTGCCTCTTCTTTTCCGTTTCAGTAGAGGGCTTGCTACAAACATTATTCAGAACCTGCTGATTTAAAGGATGAATTGGTGGCATGGTTTGGAAGGCAAACACATCCCCCTCCCCCCTGCTATTTTCATAGTTTGAAAGTAGTGAAGTGACCTGGTCTCCTCCTTCTCCAATCCTGCTACAGAAGGCATGTAAAATTCTTTCTCTTGTTCTTGGTACATGGCCAAATAGTTGAGAGAAGATGGACAGTTGTGAGCGATTTCTGCAGGAACAGCAGCCTCACTATCTCATAGTGATATTTTCTAATTTTGAGAGAAGTTGTTTTCGCACCCAAACAGCAACAACAAACTGCACCGTAATTCCAAAGCTATGGCTTTTGTAAGAGTGCTTTCAGGCCACATCAACCCATTATCTGCTTTCACATCTATAGTAACTGCATCCCTGATGTAATCTCATTGGCTATTCTTGAGGTGCCCAAAGCTGACTCATAAAGTGTGAGCTCAAAAGCCCACATGAAGAAGTGCTAAGTCTTACATATTAGACTATATGCCTGCAGGCAGGTCTATTGTCCATTTTTTTTAAAAAAATCTGTACAGTGAATCACTGTAGGCATAATTTGTTATATGGTGCATTAAGGAACCTCATATCAATATAGTGAATGCACAGTGATAGCAGAATACTCCATCTTCACTGTAAATAGGCAGCACATGGGCGAAGCACCATTTTTTGCTGGCAAAATCTTCCCAGACATTTAGTCAATTTCTGCCCAGACACTTTTTGCAATATTCTGGCTATGTCCAGGAAATTCCAGACATATGGCAACCCTAAAATGGTTTGGACAAAGCAGCTGTTAAGGCACAGGAGCTCTGGAGTGGAGGTGGGGAGGGACCACCCTAGCAATAACTTGCTTTCTTATACATCCTCCCAAGGACTTTTATTGCGTGCTTCCAAATGCCTATCCTTTTGTTTGGAAGGCTGGCCTCTGTTCTACGTGCAATACAAGTTGACTCATCAGACAGACTTAGCAGTGGCCACCAGATGGCATCACTGAAACATATAAATAGTTTTGAAACACAAATTGCTCGTGGACATAAAAAATCAAAAGACACCAAATGGAATCCTCTGACACAAACTGTTATTCTTTGATCCCTTGCTTCAGTATTCTCATTCCATCATTATTTTTGTAAGCATAAAATGTCATGCAAAAACCTTAACTGATTTTAATGTTGTAGGTAAATCCCATGGTGCAGTGATTTACAAAGCCATTACTTGGCGAAAATGAAGTAATAATAAATAATAATAATAATAATAATAATAATAATAATAATAATAGGCCCAGAGCCACAGTGCAGCTCTGTGGCAGCAAAGCCCTCAATTTTCAAAACAATTTGGCTAGTACTTTAGTATACTGTTCTTAATATTAGCACATTTTCATTCAGAATTGTTATTGAGAAACAATGTAGAAGTACCCAGAATATTCTGTCAACTCAAAAGTGCGCACTTATAGTCTAGGTCATAATTAAAATTAGAAGACAATGTGAGGAATAAAAAAAGCAAAAATGCATTTTAGGAGAATTAGAATTTAATCTTCATTAAACTTTTATATACTGATATTGGGGCATCAATATACAGGTCTTAGGCTGCACTCCTATAGACACTTACCTCAGAGTCTCATCAAAGTTAATTGGCATGTATAGGATTGTGCTGTTAGGCTGCAACTCTGTGCAAGTTGAAAGCAGGCTGATCAGGTAAAAAAGAACACAGGGCACCTGCACCTTTAATAGCTGTATAAAAGAGAGAACTTCAGCAACTATTAAAGATACAAGAGCCCTTTCTCCTTTTTTCACCTGGCCACCCTGCTTAGAAGTAATTTAATCCAATGTAACTTATTTCCAAATAAGCACATATATTGTTGTGTTCATATTTCTTTTAGGGAATTAAATATTGTTTGTATTTTGTATGATGTATATAAACAGCATTTATTCAAATATTGTTATATGGCATGTTTCAAAATAGAGAGCCAGCAAGAGCATTTCTGAGCATGTGCAAGGAATACCTCCCTTGCCATTGAATGCTGACTGCCTACATCATCAAGATCTGAGACGAGAGACAGGGGATTCTGGTCAAAGGGTGGGCTTCCAGCCATGCACAGGTATGTTAGATATTTAAGGCACAGCAGCCAGTCAGAATAAAGCAGGCCTATGGTCTCATTGATTTTAATGGGAGGTATTTAAGCTATAACTCTCTTCCACTGAAATGAAATGCTTTGGTTGGATCATGCCAGTAGAGATTAAACACTGATTATATATAACACATGTCATATCTTAAAACAGTTTTAACAAGTGACTTAAATATTGGCTCAGTGCTTGCTCTACAAGGGATGATAAACTCTGATGCATTTAACAAGATGCTTATGATAAAAGCATACTCGACTAATGCCAGGTGTTCAAATGATGGACTGAGAAACATATTTTCACTACTGCCTTTTTGGTTTTGCTCTATGACTATGTGGGTAGCCAGAAAAAGGGCAGGGTTTCAGCAGCTAGGGTTTTTACAACTAATAAAGGGGGTCTGAGAATAGCTCCCTTTCCTACGCAATTAGTGTGGAGAGCCTGTTTGCAAGTCATTGGTCTCTCAGCCTGCTAGCCAAAGCTTCTCCTGTTTCTTGAACTTATTTTGGGTAGGGCAGCCGGAAGCAGCATCTCTGCGCATGCCTCCAATGCAGATGGGCAATGACTGAGAATGGTGTGCCTTTTTGTGAAAAAAGGCCTTCAAGATTGAAGCTGTCATTACTGCCCTGTTCCCTTGCTCCTGCCTGCAGTGCCCTGGGATGCCTTTCAGATCTTTCGTCAAACATCTCGTCAACATCGAACAAGGTAGCAAGTGAGTCACATAATTAAATGTTCATCTTCTGCTTAAGCTTTTCATTCAGCGGTGAATCTCCTCCTTTACTGGTTGCCTGTTTCCTGGAATTTTAAGCCCTGTGCAGGTTTTGATTAGTCCACCCTTTGTCTCAGATGGCAGCATATGATTCACAGTCTTGATGGTACAGCTGATTGCAAGTGTTAGCAGTGCAGCGGGCTTGTGAAATGTCAGCTATTGCACAAAGGTCTAATTGCAGAATGACAATGGCCTCCCCTCCCCTTTAAGTACTACTGTGACCACCACTGAACCCTTCCTGCCCCAAACACTTAAGAAAATACAGGAAGGCCAAAACACCAATGATTTTGCACCTGTGAGACACATACGCTGCCTATTATGGTCTTGACTTCCTGAAAAATGAAACGCTGGAGATTTTTTGCATAACATACTTTCATTAAGAAAAGAAATACGGTCTCTCTTATACAGCTCTGATAAAACAGCTGACAACTTAGCCAGAACCAGGGGCAATGAGAGACAGAGATCTGTACTGAACAGCTCCATATATCCATTCATGTGTCTTTGGGAACCAGCCTTCCCCAACTGGGTGCCCTTCAGAGGTTTTGCACTACAATTCCCATCAGCCCCAGCTAGCAGTTAATAAGTATTTTAAATAAAAGCAATAAAATATTTATATAAAAGGAATAACAGAGTTCACATTCTCCTGGTCATTCTGACCGGTCTGTAGCAACCTGGAGCACGCTCAGGGCTGTAAAATTCTGCAAACATGGGTCAACCATTTTAATGCAACTTGGATTTCTGTAGAGCTTAGTCATATCAGAACTCCTGTTAGTGTCAGCAGGAGACAGATCTGGGCCTCTGTCTCTCGCTTAATTATGGTCTCCTGTACAAAATGTTATGCATTGCAGTAGTTCAGGGTTGTTGAAACAATCCTCTGCTTAGATTCAAACTTTAAAGCTGACTTTCTCAGAAGAACAAAGCGGCAGCAGGATGTAATGAGCATCCAATGATCGTAAATTACTTCTTTTATCTCTAATTTGCCCCTTTATTACTCTGTCTTTGTCCTTCCCCCCCTTTTTTTACAAGGAGGGAATTCATACTAATATTGCAAATTTAAGGATGGAAGCAACAAAGGCAGTCTTTTGAGGGTTGTTTTTTTAGCCCTAGCAGGTCTGTCTGGTTCGAGGAGACTAAAACTGGCATATTTGAAAGGGTCTTATCTGCCAAGATTCAGAACATCAATGTATTTATAAAATATATGATCCAAATACTCTGGATCCACATACTTCACACATACACTGTGCAAGTATTATTATTAAATAAAAATGTGTGCTGTATTATTTAAAGAAGAGGTGGCATGGTTTTCACTTGCTTCAAAGCCCTTCCCAGATGTGCAGAAGTTTGTAGGACTGACTTAGTTGTGAGGAAAAGGTACTCTGTACATGCTCATGGCGTATATCAGTTTTCACATACAAATTATAATAGTTCCAGCTTAACAGGAAATTGAAAACAACAATGCCTGAACATAAAAGAGACTTCAGAAACAGTTGCATTTGTAACATTCTGAAAGTCATATTACATGGTCATAAATAGCTACCTGGTGGACATGCTATGAACATCTGGGTGAGAATTAACCTATACAATGTCCTAAATTCCATCTAAATTCCAGGAAATTTGGAAGCCTCCATCTGAGGTTTATCTCTGTGGTCTCTGCAGTTCCCAAAAAATTGGCTTGACTGGTTATAGCTGTGCCACCCTATGCATGTTTACTTGGAAATACCTGTAAATCCCAGTGGGTTCAGTGGGGTTTACTCCTCTGTAAATGTGCATAGGATTGCAGCCTGTATCCTATTGATGTGATTGCACAGTTTTTAGCTTCTACTAAGCTTTGGCTCAATATTGTTTAGAAGCCATATCGTCTGACCCAGAAGCCCAGTCTCCTGATCCCAGATGTGTGGGAAGTATTGTATTTCTCTCTGTGATGAAAGCAATACATTCTGCACTAGTTCAGAGGCACTTTCCTGTTCATTGCATTTTGCAGGCTGAAGACAACTTCTCTGGCTAAGCCCTGAACCAAATTACATCCCAGTTCTTTTCTTCTTTCTATTTCTCTCTTGGTTCACATTGCATGGCGAGTAGCCAGAAGCAAAATGGCCTTTGCAGTGAGAGAGAGAGAGAGATAAGAAAGCGGAAGCTACAGTTGACTCAGCACTAGCATTGTGGTCCAGTTTGCTAAAGATCTTGATTTATCTATCAAGCCTAAACATGCCATCCGCTTCCCTCAACTCATCTTTATTTTCAATCTCTGCTGCAGGAAGAGGCTTTAAAGGCAGATCTATGAAACTGTTCTAATGGTGTTTCAAATAAATGGTGTTTTGGATGTTTTCCATCTGAGTGGTGGTGGTGGTGGTGGTGGTGATTACCTGCCCTTCGCCCTAAAGTCCCAGGTGGGTTAAAACTATTTAAAATACAACATTAAAAGCAGTCTAAAAATAAAATATTTTTAAAATACAATAACAAAGAACAAGGTGGGTCCTGAAAATATACAGGTCAGGTACATTCCACAACAATGGACATATATCAGGAAATCTAATGAACATTGGTAATTAACACAAGGACAGTGACCCAATGAAAGGGTGTTTAGTTCACAAATCTGTCATTTTAATAAATGAACTGAGTAATCAGTTACAATTAAATGAGTTTGCATATTACCAAACACTGATTATTTGTACCTTTTGTAGATACTGAAGGGAGTATAAGTGGATATACAATTTGTTGAACAAAAACTGCCATCCATTGTTAGTAGAAAGGCCACTGTTATATGTTCTTTACTCCTTTTTACAGCAGAAACAAAATAGCCTCAACATCCCACAAAAAAGAAGTTGAAAGTGCTTAAACTCACAGCTCCAGCAATTAAAACTTTCCCAGGTTGAAAATTGCCCAACCCAATAATTTATTCAATGTAGGTAACTGAGACTGCCATTCCTACGAACACTTAACAAAAAGTAAATGCTGTGGGACACTTCAGAATTTTGGATCTTGCTGCATTCCACTAATAAAACATATTAATTGTTGCAGCCCTAATTATTACTTTCAGCTTCAGAACCCACTGGTATATTTTCACCATGTCTTTAAATCCTCCATCATAGGATATTTTACTTACTGTTCCTTCTCTTTGCAGTAAATGTATAAGGGACAGGAATAGTAAACCTCTGTCCTAAACAGATACTGCTAGACTACCTATCCTAAAGAGCAGCTGTTTGCCTTAGAAAATGCTGCCCATCCATTCCCAGGCAACTTACTTAGGATTTTCTAATAGCAATGTGTACATCATCTGAAAATGTCTGGAAGGTGGAAATTACTTGTACGTGCTGGGGACAATGTTCCATTAGCAGCAATTTATTATCCTTAAGAGCCTCACAGGAGCATTTATTAACACAACAGAACACAGACATTCACAATCTGTTGTAGTATCACATTGCATTTGCCCATCTGTGAATCAGCACTATATTGCTCGTTTTATTCCTAGACCAATTTTTCTATTGCTTAAAATCTGTCCTAAATCCATAGGACCAACTGAGGGAAGGGAGGGCAGTGGGATTAATCCTGTGACAAAATAAATCACCATAATTGAGAAAAAACACAAAGCAGGCACATGACATTACCCTTGGTGTTAGTGCTTATAAAATGGATGCATTTTCCAGCGATATTTTAATTACATTCAACTAAGCTAAGGAACAGTTTTCAATTCTATGTAAAAAGCTTTGAGAACTTGTTTAAAAAGCAATATAAACATTCTGTATGAATAAGACTGCAATCCTACACTTACATCAGTTCAATAGGGTCTGCACTGCAGGTTTCAGGTAGGACTTGCTGCAAGATTATTTGCACCTCCAAACACCAACCACTGGCCTGTGGATGAAAGAGTATCTGTGTGTGAATGCAAGCAATGTGTACATCCAAACATATTGGCTTGGAACCTAAGAAAAGTTAACCTAAGGACATTCAGGGAGGTGAAGTTTCCCATTCCTCCCTCCTAGCTGCAGGCAGCTGCAAGGCTTTTCAGAGGTTGGGGAGCTTGCCTGAACAACATGGCAGGAGGTGTCAGGAAGGGCTGCTGAAGTGCAGAAGGAATGGGAAATGGTCCTTCTGTGACTTAATTTTAGGACTGCAAAGGGGGGGTGGTTTAGCAAACAGGAAAGTTTCATTCTATAAGCTTTCTTAAATTAACTCTGCCCCCCCAACACAACCCTCAGACACCTTCCCTTTGTACTGTCTCCTGTCCCGCCTAATTTTTTATTTTAAAATTTATGGGGTTTGCTTTGCTTTTTCTTTATTTGAAGGGGCTGTCTTCGCATGGGGGGCGGGTTGCCTGCTTTTTTGTCTGGGCTTTATTTGTTTTGGGTGGTTATGTTTTCCCTCTTTTTTGGTGGTTCTGAGCATCACCAGTTGTTATTTTGTGAGATAGGTATTTTGTGGTGCCTTAACAGTTCCTTAGATTTCCTAACAAGTCTCCAAGCCTCTGAAGGTTGGAGACTGCTGGGTTAACTTACCTTAGGATTCAGGCCATTGTCATTATACCAGTTTAACTGATATAACTACCCTGGCTTACCTATAGTCTGAAGAAGGCACTGACAATTTCCTCTTGGAGATACTCTTTCCACCCCCCATAAAGGATTCATTGGAGAGATAATAATGGTTAAACCAACTGCCATCAAGCCAGTTGTCTGTGGGAAGAGCTGTGCGAAAGAACCAGCCCTGACCTAGACATTGATACCTGCTCAACTTCTGGGTCAGGTCTGGGATGCTTTGGGGGAAGGGTTGTTCTTGAGTCCTGAACATCTACATGTGAAAGCCCACATTATCTGACACTCTGCACTTTAGTCAATGTCTTGATGAAGCATGTTTGCAAGCCTCTGTGGACCTACTGACGCCACCTAGAGAACTTTTATATTAAAAAACAGTATATGAACTTCAAAGGAATAAACAAACCAGTCACTAGGAGAGCTCAGCTAGATCTTATATGGGAGAACTGATATTATATCTTTCTACATTGTTTTCTTTTCCTAAAAGCAAACCTTGGGCTGGATTTGAATCAGAACCATGACACAGAAGAGGTGGTTTGAACCCTTCCCTACCACCCACCAGAGCCTCCTATCCAACTCCTTATGTAAGAAAATAACATGTAGGGAGATCCAATAGTAGATCTCCCGTGTTATGTCTGGTTTGGTCCTTAAGTCTATAAATTTGAATGAAATTGGAAAACTCATCAGTTTTAAAAGGGGAAATTCAGTATCTGATTCAAGCGAGCCCCAATTTTCCCCATGGATCTGATCTGATACTTCGTGCATCCAGTTAAGTAGTTTCTTCCCCATGAAAGCTCATGCCACAGCAAATCAATTCATCTCTAAGTTGCCACTGCACTTTCTGCCTTTCTCGATGCTCATGGAAAGTTTGCTTTGTACCTTTCTTTCTACCTCTGTGCTCCTGACGAAAACTGTTTATGGGCTGAAGGCAAGATGTGACATTTTCTTTTCAAAGTTCAGGGCCCAGAGGAGCACAGATGACTGTTTCCCTTTCTTAGCTTGCCCAATGCACAGTTAAGCTACATGTGCTTGTCAAATGAACACAGAGGGGTGCACCCTGATGTAGCCAATATTTAACTCTGAGGAAGCATATTGCTATTTTATTTTTATTTTATTTTTTTAAAATGTGGACCGTTGCACACGGGTCATCATGCAAACATAATCACATTTGAAACATAGATCTATAGTTACATCCATTTGTACTTCCACCATGCCTAGAAGGTGGTATTTACTGCTCGGTGCTTAGAAAACTAAATGCCAAAAGGTTTCAAGAGCAGTGTAAACAGTCAATATAAACACAATTTGCATGTAATGACTGGATTCCTCTAACCTCAAGCGATGGGAAGATTATTTGTCAGATGCCTTTTTGTGAGAGACAAATTTCCAGAAACAAATAATTAGGTTTGTAACACTGCAGTCAGTGTGGCTTCTTATTGATTATGAAGCTAAAGCAAAGTTGCCCTCAAGGCTGTGTCAAGTGTTAACGGAATACTAGGTTTGAAAAGACAGATAAAACAATGTGAGATTTAGCCTGGTTGTTAGCCGGCTTTTATTTTGCTTGACAGAGCCTCTCTTCTTGTTACAGTAACGAGACATGGCAATAGAGGCCTTCCTTTCAGGGTGCAGAATGGGAAGCAGTGTGTGTCTGTGTGTGTATAATGATATAGCCAGCTGCTCCTGAAACCATTGGCCATTAATATTTCCCCATTGAATGGATTGCCTGACAAAGTTTAAATGTTGTGTTTTTAAATTCCATTGAGGTTGTATTGTTAGTGCTTGATATGATTCCTCGGAAGAAAACTTTTTATGGTGTCAAAAGGATGCAATGGAAATAACAAGACTTGGCCGCAGCAGAATTTAACAGGAGAAAAGATTGACACAGGAATCCAGACAAGGAGTAGAGAACAGGGGAAATGATTTGGAAAAGCACTGCACAGGTCAAGAGTCCGTGGAATTAAGACAGTCTCTTAGGAATTATAAATATAACATACAAGAAATCAGTTCTCTGAGTGCTGGTCCTTAGCTAGCCACAATGAAAATCACAAGAGGGGACGTTTTGATAGGGTTGGAGCATCTCCATGGTTTGTATACCTTTTAAATGATACTATCTTACATTTGGCACTTTATTTTATTATATTATTGGACTGGTTAAAGGTGTGTTAATCTTGACATGAACTTGTATGACTGCTCTGTATAGTGTTGTGTTATATTCTTTTAAAAATATTATTATTACAAACCTGAAATGAAAACATTTTCCCCCACCGAGGGGAAAACTATATCTATCTAAAAACAGCCCAGCAGGCAAGTGATGCTGACTTTTTCTAAGGGAAAACAGAGAGGTGCGAGGAAGAGATAATGGAACTTAAACATTCCATGCCACAAACATTCTGTTGCAGATCCCACTAGTTCAATACAACATCTGTAGCGATACAGTTGGGATGAGGAGTGGGATTGCTGACTCCTCATCCTGACTCAGTGGTTTTGCAAGGTCAGTTTTGAAAGTTGTTCTAAAATAACAGGAGACGGAACTGGTAGAATTGTGGGTGGTAGTATGTCAGGCTGCAGGTGGACCCTGTATTTTGAACCCTTCCCTGTGTAAAAAGCTTGCTGAATGCAGTGAACAGTGGCACCTAAACTATTTTGCTTCATGGAAGGAGAAACTATTTTTCTAGATTTTGAAAGGTGGGAGCATTAAAAATGCAAACCTCCCCCAAACCTAATGGTGGCATCTTTATGCCATTTTAATGGAACCATGGAATGAATTGCACATCCACAATAAAGTGTGTGGTATTTGAGAACATTTGTAGAGTTATTAAGGGAAAATAAGTTTAACCCTTTGAAAAATTAAAAACACAGTACTGTAGGGATAATCAGACACACAAAGCCAAAATACAGTGGTACCTCGGGTTACATACGCTTCAGGTTACATATGCTTCAGGTTAGAGACTCCGCTAACCCAGAAATAGTACCTCGGGTTAAGAACTTTGCTTCAGGATGAGAACAGAAATCGTGCTTCGGCGGTGCGGCAGTAGCGGGAGGCCCCATTAGCTAAAGTGGTGCTTCAGGTTAAGAACAGTTTCAGGTTAAGAACAGATCTCCGGAACGAATTTAGTACTTAACCCGAGGTACCACTGTATTTCACAAATCAACAAACATTTTCATAATAACTGATTTGCATTAGCCTTTCCTCAAAAAAGCTTTACAGTCATAGTTCCAGTAGATTAAAACTACATTCTAATGTAAAGGTAAAGGTAAAGGTACCCCTGCCCGTACGGGCCAGTCGTGTCCGACTCTAGGGTTGTGTGCCCATCTCACTTAAGAGGCCGTGGGCCAGCGCTGTCCGGAGACACTTCCGGGTCACGTGGCCAGCGTGACGAAGCTGCTCTGGCGAGCCAGCACCAGCGCAGCACACGGAAACGCCGTTTACCTTCCCGCTATAAAGCGGTACCTATTTATCTACTTGCACTTAGGGGTGCTTTCGAACTGCTAGGTGGGCAGGAGCTGGGACCGAAAGACGGGAGCTCACCCCGCCGCGGGGATTCGAACCACCGACCATACGATCGGCAAGTCCTAGGCACTGAGGTTTTACCCACAGCGCCACCCGCGTCCCAACACGTTCTAATGTAGAGAGAAGCAAATCTGTATTTGTAAATTAATATTAAATGTTCACAAAATGTTCACCTAGATAAGGTGAGGCTTCAAATTCACTACTTTGAAAACAGTAGTAATTCAGTACTTGAATTGTTATGATTAATTTTGACTTAATTTAGGGGGATGCTAGAAAGTGTGATATGTTAGGGATGAATGAAACACACAGGAGGAACGCTGCTGGACCCAAGCAAAATAATCTGATGATTATTCTAAGTTCACTCGTGTTGATCATAACCTGTTCTGCAAGGGCCCAAGACATTATTCAAGGGAAATTTAGCAGTTAGGATCACATGTAGTCACAGTTGGCACAGTCACAGTGCTTCCAAGTTTGAATAACCAGATCAGCACCTGAGAGAGCTCCCAGTGAGCCAAACCTGGAGAAGTTTCTTCCCTCATTGGATAACATGGGAAGATGTTAACACAGCAAGTTGTTGTTCTCCTTGGATATTAATGGTATTTCCAGGCTATAACATTATTACTCCTCTATTCAAATGGTTCATAAATCCTACAACAAGGAGTTGGTGATATATGAGGGCTTATAATCGCAGGCAAGCCCTGTGCTGCTGTAAGATAGTTTCCCCAAAGGCCACTTTCTGCTTGTGCAAAGACTAAAGGCCCCTTGCCTGGTTTTGTATTCTTACGCTTTTGTGAAGCTGAGGAGAGGGGTTGTGCGGTTGGTAGCTCATTCTCTGACAGTGTGGTTATGTATTTTTCCTGGGACAGTGCAAAAGAGGGTCCCAAAGGATCCCACTTTGAGACAACACCCAAACCTTCCGCTTGTCTGCAACATCCTCCATGCCTTGTAAGAACCCAGAGCCAGGGGTCGTGACACACATAAATTACTATAATTTCTCAAAATTCTATTCAGGTTAGACCCTAAATTTTGTTGCACATTCTCAGGGCTGCAGAGTATTATATATATATATATGTGTATATATATATATATATATATATATATATATATATATATATAATGTGTATATATATATATATATATATATATATATGTATATATGTATATATATATATATATATTCTTAAAATTGCTTCACTTTATAATATAATTTCATCTGAAGCCACACTGCATCATGCTTTTTGTAGTTTTGAACTTCCTTTTCCTTTGACTCTGAATGGAGCAGAGGTCACTTGGGAGTATAAACATTCAATATTTTAAGTGTATCTTAAGTGCAAAAATGTGGTGCTGTTGGGATGGACAAAATTATGGGATGGACTCGAGGCAAAGGACTGAAAATATTGCAATAAATATGGCATGCTGGTAGCTCTTATATTGAAAATCCTAAATTACCAAAATCTTCCAGAATGAACATACAGAGTTTCCTCAAAAAACTATGGATTTCAGTAAGGCTACATGAATTTCCAGGCCAGCATACTGATGCAGCCATAGTATTTGAGTATGATTTTACTATTGATGGATTTTGGCTGTATTCGTATTATTTGAAATTTAGTTTATAATTATAATATAAATATTGTGCAGAGAGAATAACAAAATGTTGCCATATTGTTCCACAGATATTGACCTCTGGATAATGAAATGATAACTTTGGAATGATTTCTATAGGTCCCTTACAAGAAAAAGAGAGTGAGATGTGAGTAGCATCCAGGAGCTGATTGGCAGACCTTTGTCTTTTCTGTGAGCAGACATCTATTTTCTTCCTTCTCATTTAAAGATTCTAGTCATGACTGTGACTCAAAGCCTAATGATCTTGGAGATCTTGGCTGAACTGTGCCCATCAGAGGAGGCTGTTAACAGAAGTACTTTAAAATACTTCATCTATATTTCTTTTGTTTTAGCATCAAACGTTAAACGAACCACATCAAATAAGAACAAAATAGCACTTCTGCCCACTTAATGGGCTAACTGCAGTGCAAAGTGCCCAGGGCAGCATGCAGTTACGCTTCAAATACATCTCCACTCACTGATAAGATCCAGACCAGACTATAATGAAATTAACAGTGTATATCACTGACCCTAGCACACATACACACTTCCTAAAGCATCAGATTAAAACAAGGGCAGTATCCAACTAAGTCCTACTTAGAGTAGACCATTGAAATTAATTTACTTACATTAATCATACCCATAGATTTCAGTGAACCTTTTCAGATAATTATTGTCATGTGGGCAGGGCAGGGGGGAAGAGCTATTTTCCCTCAGACTTACAAACAAAACGAATGCACACTATGGAAGGAGAGTGGAGGGAAAAGGTAGAGGAGAGAGATCAATGTGAAAAGATCAGAATTTCAGCAGAAAGTTAAAGTATACGCCCTGACTGGAAATGAAGTTGTATGGCTGCCCCCAAAACCTTTGCAGGCACAAATAATAATAATAACAACAGTAATAATACATTTATTGTCATTGTACAACCTGTGTACAATGAAATGAAATGAAATAATATTGAAAGGGGGATTGTACATGACTGTCCCGATAGTATGCCTTGTGAGCACAGATAACCATGAATGCACAATAAAAAGGACACCCTTAATTCACATGGATACTTGTGAATAAACAGTTTGTCCAAATGTCCATGCATGTTCTGCTGTGGCAATGGAAACCTGTCCAAATTGACCTTTAGATGTTACCACAATGCAAGTATTAATAATATATCTGTGCACAAATAAGTACTCTCAGAAACAATTTCAACCATTTGTGCCTAAGGTACTGACAAGATCCCTTTTAATATATATTGGCTTTTTGTATCTGGTGATGAGAATGTCAGCTCCTTGGAGGCAAGGAGGGCTTGAGAGACTAAGAAAGCCGACGATTTAAACTTGAGCAATACTAAATAGCCATTGTCAACATGGACTGCAGTGAGATGGGGCAAAGAATAGCAGTCTACAGATCAGAAGGCCTTTCATGTCACGATGTTCGCAGTACAGTATTTTCTGTCACAAGCAAATTTGTTCCTCTCCATTCTATCTACAAAACATGTGGAAATACAACTGAAGGCCAATTCTGCTTTGATGTTCTATGAAAGCCCAATTCCTTTTTCTTCTGATGCAATATTTCTATTGATGTTTCATTAAAATGCATTAAAAATGTGATTCCCTATCACCAAAGCATTATCTACACAACTATTCATTTTTTGATGGACTAGGACTTCAAACACAAATGTAATTACACATATGTTTACAGCTAAACCTTCAACTTGAAATGCATGTCTGTCCCTGTCACTCTGGTCAGTTTTTGTACATAAGGAGGTTTCAGAAGGCATTTACATATCATGAGGAGAATTATTTTCTATCCCAGGAAAATATATTAATACACACTTTGATATGACTTCTTACGTATTTTAAAAATGCCTTATTTATGCCTAATGTTTTACAGACCTTTACAGACCTAATGCTTTACATGAGTCTGACCCAAACATGCCATGATAGTTAAGCAATGCCTTTCAGTCTCTTTCATTCTCTCAAGAGCCAATGTGGGATTTAGGTTAGTGTGGTGGGCAAGGATCTGGACCTTGGGGCATTCATCACACCTCAGCCTAACTTAATTCACAAGATTGTTGTGAGAATAAATCGAGAAGATAGAACAACCATGCATGCTACCTTGAGCTTCTTGGAAGAATAAATTAAAAAGAAGTGACCAAAATGGTTAGATAGAAATGTAAAGGTAAAGGGACCCCTGACCATTAGGTTTAGTCGTGGACGACTCTGGGGTTGTGGCGCTCATCTTTTTTTACTGGCCAAGGGAGGCGATGTACAGCTTCTGGGTCATGTGGCCAGCATGACTAAGCCGCTTCTGGTGAACCAAAGCAGCACACGGAAACGTCGTTTACCTTCCTGCCGGAAGCACTTTGACATGCTTTCGAACTGCTAGGTTGGCAGGAGCAGGGACCGAGCAACGGGAGCTCACCCCATCGCGGGGATTCGAACCACTGACCTTCTGATCGGCAAGTCCTAGGCTCTGTGGTTTAACCCACAGCACCACCCACGAAACATATAGAACACTAAAATAAGGACACTTATAGTCCACTACCTTCTGATGGCTAGAAAAATCTGCTCAAGTACTCTTTTCTTGAAACTCATTGTATGAAGTCTGCCTTCTAATGGAGACTTCATCACAGAGCAAACCAAGGCGTAGTTGGCACAAAAATGTTTGGCAATGGAAAATCTGACTTTATGAATTTAAAGCATTTTCAAATTCTGGATGAGAGATTTTTAGTAGCAGCCAAGAATGTAACTCTGCTTACAAAATGCAAGTTGTATATTTACTAGTATGGTCATAGAAACACATTAGGTGGGATCCAGGCTAAGTTAGGTGAAGTTCCTACTGAAACCAGTAAGACTCCATGGCTAACTTGCCTGGATTCCAATGGGACCTAAATTCAGCTAATTTACTGACATTAATGGGATTTACTCTCAGAAAAGTGGGCCCAGGCCTTAGTCTGGTTCCACCCCAGTGATAATAATAATAATAATAATAAATTTTATTTATATCCCGCCCTCCCCAGCCGAAGCCGGGCTCAGGGCAGCTAACAACAATAAAACAGTACAAAAGTACAGCATAAACAACAGTCTAAAATCATTCGTTATAAAATTAATTAAGCATGATCATAATCCATGCTATTTTTCTGTAAAAAGAGGTGCCAGAACTCCTCCCTTGTTCTCTTATCATCATCATCATGGCAATGGTGCCCACCTGAGAGGTGCTTAAACTGAGTTCCGCCAAGTTCCAGCTGAAGAAAAGCTCTGATCATAATTATTATCATAGGTATGCCAATGATAGTGATTATGTTCAAGCAAAGAATAGTGAACTATGTCTACCAATGGCCTGAGAGAATCGGCTGTGAGTCTTGCTGGACCTGCCCCCTTCCTTGTGCTATGTTACTTGTGTGGTGGACAAATTATCAAATCAGCTGTGGAACCTGCTGAAAGAGATTAGTCAAATGTTGACTTCTTTTAGAAATTAGAATTCAATTATTTGTTTGGAGGGGGAAGAATAACCATGAGATTCTCCTTTCCTCACTGCCATCTGAAAACTGTTCCTAAATATATTTTGTTGGGAGTAAAATCAGTATTTTTTCTTTATTATTTTACTTCCAAGGAATTATATGTAGGATTCGGCTGCAACCAGTACCCTGCAAGAGTAAGTGAATTGGGTAAGTGAATATATATAACGGTGTAGAAATAAACTGGCTAGCACATTTGCAAAGCTAAGCAGGGTCTGGTATGGTTTCAAATTGGATTGGAGACTGTGTGTTGAGATTCAGGGGTTGGGCTAGATGACCCTTGGATTCCCTTCTAGCTCTATGACTCAGTGACTCCATATATATTCATTATAATTCAGGCTGATCCCTTATAAAGCATAAAAATAATATATTATTTATACCCCACCCATCTGGTTGGGTTTCCCCAGCCACAATGAATGCCAACAGGGAAACATAGGAGTTTAATTTGTTGTTGCTGCTGCTGCTGTTGTTGTTTAAAAACTTATGCTATTTTAAAGGTCCCTGTGGTTTAACAAAGCTGCTAAAAGACCCATGTCGTTTCTAAATATTTACACATTTGTCTATATCAAAGGAAGGTGCATCTGCTATTAGCAGCAGCGTGGAGGAGGCGAGGAGTGTCAGTATCCTGTTCAATGAGTCCCAGCTGGAGACGCCAGAAAAACCCAGCTGGCTGAGTGAGTTCTTTACACATCGCGCCCCTAGTATTTATCCCTCGCCTCGCAGCTGCAACAGGGACCAAGTGCACGGCAGCAAGCGATGGTTTTGCTGCTTTCTTCCCGGACCTCCAAGCCAGGCGCTTGCCAAAGTCTGGCAGAGCCGCCTGAGTAGAGCATCCTCCGGGAGCTCCTTGCAAGCGGGGAGCATTTGGTCCAAGGCAGCGGCGAGGTGACGCGGGGAGTAAAAGCGGGGGCTGGGTGGAGGTGGGGCTGGGAGAGACGCTTGAGTCGAGTTGGGTGCTGCTTGGAACAAGCAGCGCCCCGGAGGAGTCTGTTGGGAGCGATAAGGATCTGGCGTGACGTCAGAGAGGAGTCTGGTAAGTGCAGCTGCCCAGAGGCGCGGGGAGCTCTTTCGAGTTCTGCTGGAGAGGACGAGGCAGCGTTTTGCTGAGGCGGAGGGCAGCAGGCAAGCAGCGGCGAGCTCGGGGGACCGCGGCTGGGGAAGCCTCGCCCGCCCAGGAGGGTAAGCGAAGCCCCTGGCGCGCGGGGAGGGAATTTAGGCGAGAGAAAAGGCGGGAAAAAAGTGAGGGCGAGCGGCGCGCCCAGAGGGAGAGGCGTGGGGGGCGCTCACGTGGAGAAGTGATGGGGGCGGGCAGGAAAAAAGGGGTCACCAATGTGAGGCATACTTGGGAGGGAAACGTCGAGATTTAGGCCTTGCAAAGCAGGGGTGGGGGGAAGCTGTGCCCATGGCTGGACTGGAACACCCATCTCCCTCGACATTTATTTATTCATTGCGCATATATCCCACCTTTTTCTCCGAGGAGCTCAAGGTGGCGCACGCGGTTCTCTTCCTCCTTCGATCCCCACAACAACCCTGTGAGGCAGGGACTGATCCAGGTTCACTCTGTAACCATTACGCCACACATGCTGGATGGGGTGACTGATGGGTTTTGGAGTCCAGTAGCATCTGTAGGGCTGCAGCTGCCCCACCCCTGCTGTGTGGGATACTGAGATGGAGCAGGGAAAGTATCTAGTTGGGCAATGAAGGTGACAAAATACTCAAATAAGTATTGAAAAAAAGGCAGTAGAAGTGGTCTAGAAGCATTAATCCCGGAAACCTTGGTTGCTGTGGCTGGCTCAAAAATTGATACTGGCACCTGTGGGTTATTAGCTTTGTAAATTGGCTGCTGTTTTTTGAAGTCCTTAAAGTAAGGGGTGAATAGTGTGTTTTCCGCACTAAGATCAGACCTGAAATTGGGTGAGAGTTCTTCTGAGCATGTACAAAGAACATTTGGCTCACTGCTGGACTTTCAACGCATCTAGGTTTAGAAAGCTGCTTGTAGGTTAGAGAGAGTGGCTTCCAAGCTGGTTTAATTGTTGGCAGTTATATTTCAGCACTTTGTAGGAGAGGACAGTGGAGGAAAACAGGGAGCACAAAGGTAGTGCTCTGAAAGTGCACGCTGAGTTCACTTTGTGTCTTGTTGTGTAACACAAGCTGGTTTTTTGGACAGTGCCAAAGATACATTCAGATTCTCTTCTGATGAATGGAGATTTCAGTCATCTACAGTGCACCCACTATATGGCGGGTTCAAAACTAAGGTTTTCTTAGTTAGCAGGACACACAGTAAATCCATGTAATGAACCTCTACCCAAATGCAATTGCAGAAAAAGAGCAGTCTCTGGTGCAAAAACTGCTTTGTCAGTCAGAAGGGAGTGTAATTGTTGGTCAGCGAGAGTGTATAGTGGGGTTTACATGCATTTGGTAGTTCGCACAATAATACCCCTTTGTGTTAATAGCATCCTTACTTTGTGTCCTTTGTGTGATGGACACTTCTCCAACCTGTTGAATCAGACATGATTGTTGAACTACAATTTCCCCTGTTTGCAGGTTAGTAACAGGAGAGACATATTTTTTCTGAGAGGGGAATTTGAGGGATTGATCAAGGTGATACAGGAATCTCGCTTTGAGGCAAATTTGCCCCTTCACCATTGTGCTGAGTATCTTGTCCTCACAGCCCAAGTTGCGGCAGTAATGTAGGGATTCCTGGTCTGGAGTTTCGACTAGGGTTTTGAGAAGTCAGATGTTAGTAATCCATTATTCCTGTCTGATATCCTGTTTGTTTATGGCCAAACTAGATTAAGCAGTGAAGAATTAGAAAGTGAGCATTTTCTAATATGGGAATTGGAACAAAACATAATTCAGGGAGATGTGTTCAGTCCTCTTTGAATGTATATTTTCTTTTTAAAATGTATGTATTTGTAGCATTTGGAGTTCTAGATGTTTATGATTTGAAAGCTAAGCGGAAGATACATACTCATTGGATACTGCTGACCATTCATAGTGCTTTGAGAATATTCTAAATGAAACTGAAGTGCTTGATGTTCTTTGCCTTGGGAAATATGTGTAGAGGGATTAATTAATACAGAAGTGGAAATGAAACCTGCTGGCTAGAGATATCTTCCATTTGTACCAGTTCAGTTAATGCTCATACTGTATTTGAATGCATCTTTATTGCCCTTATTTTAATATGTTTGGGTGCTGGTGGACTTCATTGCTAGTTCTGTCTCCACCCTTCCTCACAACCCCTTTAAATCCTACATAATTGGACTTGGCACAGTTTATTTTTTGGTAGTCAGTTTTATGAAAAGGGCAAGTGGCTTTTGTATAGTAAATTAGAATGGTAATGCTGAAAACCAATGATGAGAGCTTGGCTGGAATTATCATTTGTTTTCATAGTGATCACAGGAAAACATTGATTCACTTGGCTATTATAAGTAGGTCCCAAATGCAGAAGCAGGCTCATTGACCCCTCCCTATTATGCCCAGGAATGGAAGAGAAGCAAACATCTCTTACATTTCTGGTGGCAGACTGGAAATCATGTTCTTCCTTAAGAAGGCTGCCTTGAAAACAAAAGGGGATGATGCATTTTAATTTTGGATTTGTATTAAAATATTATTTTTTATGTTTGTAGTATAAGCCATTACTCAAGGGAAACTAAACCATGGCTTGGAGTGAATTCGGTGTCCTCAGCTGGCTCAGAGAGAGTCGGCAATCCCGGAAACTAATCTTGTTGATTGTCTTCATTGCTCTGCTCTTGGACAACATGTTGCTTACTGTAGTTGGTACGTAGTTGTTTTTTATTCTTTCCTCTTGTTTTTTTAACAACCTTTAAAGAAGGCTAAAATGCTACAATTGCTATGAAAGTGCAATTGATTTCTTTATAAACAAAGCTAGCCATTTGTTAGGACATATCCCTTAACCATTTCCAGTTACAATTATAATAGTATTGCTTCTGTGGATATCTGCAGGAACCGTCAAATAATGCTTTGAATAAAAAAAAATTCATAAGACAAAAATAGCAATGTAATTATTTTTTAAAAAAAATCTACAGTACTTTCCTTTGTGGTTTCACAAACCAAAATGACAGTGAGGATAGGACTTGAGATGCATGTTTCCTTTTGATAGGCTCTTTTTCATCTTTGAGCTTATGAGACTATTTAGCTTTGCAAAGCTACAGCATTTAGTCATCATAGATTATGAATATGGCCACAGATGGAAAAACTTGCACCACTGCTTGTATTTAATAAGAATTGGCCAGAGAAGTAAACACGACACCCACATTATTTGACTTCAGCAAGGTATGATCAATACCAAAATACTGTTAGGTTGGTATTCAACCTAGTTTTACTCAGAGTAGACTTACTAACATTACTAAACCCATAGTGAAATCTTCTTAAGCTGCCCCGCTCTTGTTTTTGCTGGTCAGCTTGTAGGGCCAAGTTTGAAGCAAGTGGTTACTATCGTGGAATAACACAAGTTTCCTGCTTTGACTCAGCCGTGGTGAGCTAATTGCTCTGGGTTGTATGTGTATGCCATTACCGAGATGTTATCTTGTGTAATTAGGCGTCAAAAGGCGGGGAGGAATGCATCCACAGTGCTGTAAAGTGAGGAACCTGAGAAAGCAACATAAGAACATGATGCTTGCTGCAGTACATTGCTACCAAGATAAACCATTGTTTATCTTGCTGTCTGAATGTAGCCAATGAAAAGGCATGAAAAATTTCTTTCTATGGCATTGAATAACACTCTTATGCTCAGTAGTGGACAGCATGGTGGGTGAGTTGCTTCTGCTTGCTGGGAGGGACTAGGTTCCAGGATGCTCCTTGGCAGAATGAAGACTCTCTTTAAATATAGACCCAAGTGTTTTAATTGTTGTTGCAACCAGTTAATAAAGTGCTTAATCAGAAATTATGTGCTGTAGAAACTTTGAAGATTGCTTTATACTTGTCCTTTAAGTTGGCCTCTTTTCTCAGTGGTTTAAATCCACCATGCTCTATACATGATTTCTTCAGCATTTCAAAATATCGTGGAAGTCCATTTTACAAATTCCTTATTGTTGTGCAGTCTAGGTTTACCAAAATAAACTGAAATCCATAAATTATAGAGCTGGTGCTCTTCTGTCTTGTTGTATCTCCCCCACTATAACACACACAAACACATGTGAAACCTTGAGTGTCAACCTGGATTTAATTCTACTATCAAGTCTTGTGTGTTATTGATGTTAAGGAGATTTGCTTTTAAAAAATAATAATCTGACATCTATGGGTTTTTTCCCCTAACTATAAACCTAGCTTTGCCTTCATTATTCAGACTGCCACTTCAACATAGTGAAATAATTTGGAATGGGACTGGCTTCAAAAATGGACTTTCCAAATGTTGATAACATTTGAAGTTGATTATCATATCTTCATTTTCCTGTCTCAGTTGTCTAGATTTCCTAGCTGTTCCAGTTTATACTCCTGCCTTTTCGGTGCTTTGCATCTTCCCCCTCTCCCTGCTTGAAAGCACCATGTAACTGTTTGGGTAGTTATTTGAATAACACCCTTTTATGGCCGTTTGTGCTCTAACGGGAGCAATACAATGTGTCTGAGTGACACTCTGAAGTGTTTATTTTCCTGTGTGTTTGATATATTCTTGCCAGAGTTGCTATTTTGTTCCGAAATTGAAAAACAACCTTTTGCAAATTTGTTGCTGTATCACTTGGCCTTTCACATCTCGACAGAAAGGTTTCCTAAATAAATATAATTGTTGCCACAGTAAACCGATCCAGACATCTGCAAGTCATGATGCACGTAAATGACTGTTGATTTTGTCACTCATATTTCCTGATAAAACATGCTGCCTCACCTGCTTCTACTATTTTTAGTTCTTGTTTCCTTCCTTTCAATACAGTTGGGATGTAATTAGGATTTTAAATTGCATGCAGAAGTTTAATCTTACCTTTCAGAGTTTAGCTTTATGCTTCCTGCATTATATAAAAGGAACGACGTACTAGTGGTGGTGAAGCCAATGTTATATGGGATTCTCCAGCTTTTTTATTGTCAGGAGCATGAGATCACGTAGGAGGCAGGGCCATGGCAAGTTGCTTCTCTGCCTCTTTGGTTACACTTTAAGTCTCTTTGAAATCAATAAAAAATAGCTATGACTTAGCTCCCAATGAAATCAGTGGGACTTAATTGCAAGTGCTGCATTTTAGTCTGTCTATATCCTTTATTCTTTGATGTTCAAGCTTTGTGTAAAACAGTTTGAAGAATAAACAAACTTAATAATAAAATAAAGAACAATGAAATTAAAGAACTCTGGTAAAAGGCCTGCAGAAGAGGAATACAGTGGTACCTTGGGTTAAGTACTTAATCCGTTCCGGAGGTCCGTACCTAACCTGAAACTGTTCTTAACCTGAAGCACCACTTTAGCTAATGGGGCCTCCTGCTGCTGCCGCGCTGCTGGAGCACGATTTCTGTTCTCATCCTGAAGCAAAGTTCTTAACCTGAAGCACTATTTCTGGGTTAGCGGAGTCTGTAACCTGAAGCGTATGTAACTCGAGGTACCACTGTATAGTGTTCCTGATAAAAGATACTGAATGAAACTTGTACTATAAGTACACAATGATCTCTAGATGTTTACTACAACTGGCTGGGGCTGATGGGAATTGTAAATAAAACAATTCTTAGTGTATTAGAACAATTCTTTCGATGTGTTGAAGACAATAGCAATTAGGTGACTTTCAGTATAAACATCTCTTGTTTATATTTTATTCCCCACTCTTGTAATATTAGTGCTTCTTTTGCCTCAGCAAATGAAATATATATGAGACACAGAAGGACAGTTCTTTCCACCGCGTTATGAAAGGGATGTGTGTGCATTGCATGCGTCACTTTCATTCTTGACATTAAATGACTGGAAGTTTATATTGTAATTCAGATCAAAAATATCATTGGAGTCTGCGGGGTATGCTGGTTAAAACTGTTGATTTGTGTTAGATTTAAAAATCAGTTTAGGCATGGCTTCCACTCACAATTTTCCAGCTGTTTGTGCATTCCAAGCCCTATCCATTTAGAAATGCATTTGAGCATAATCCCACTTCTCTTTTCATCAAAACTTATCCCATTGTTATTTTGCAATAATGTATCATCGAGATGCTTATTTATATGCCACTGTTTCAAATTATACTCAAAGCAGTTAATCACAACAGTAAATAAACAATAAATGTGTTCCATAAAAAGCAACAGATTATTAAATACATCTTTCAAAGTATTTTATACCCACATTATCAAACCAAGAAAAAAATTAATTACAGTATTATTATTAGCTACATATTTGCACTAAGGTGTCTCAAAGCAATTTACATAATAAAAATTGAAATACTAAATTTTCCTATTCATATGAAAAACATTCAAATCTGTTTCATCAACTATATGGGTCTTTCCCCTCTCCCTTGACCTGTCCTCTCATACATGTAGTGCCTAATAGCTGGATTACTGGTTGCTGGTGCTCAAGTCTATCCAGAAGCCCTTCCCCCACAATATTTGATAAATTGCCACTCTCTATTTGCCAAACAGAGGAAAAATTTTTGGGAACTTTATAGTTTAGTTTCCTTGCATTTTAGAGAAGTGAACTTTGCATTGAAAATGGATGTCATGCAGAACTTTGTTGAGCCTTGTTGCAAATTCTCTTGACCATATGGAAAAGAGTAGGGGAGAGGGGTTGAATTTCCATCATTTTAGAAAGTAGCGGCACCTATGTTTCCCCCAAAGATGGAGGTAAGATAGGAGGATGCCTAAGGTGTCAGTGTTTCAGTTTGCATGAGAACTTCCTGCACATTTTTTGTAAGGAGCACAGCTTATGATTCAGTGATAACTTATGTACTCTTCCATGATTTCTGGCAATAAGTACTGTATAACCTGAAAGCTTACATAATCTTCTTGTAGTTTGATCCAGCAAAGGTATAACATGTATGTATGTTTTGATAGTGGTATTTGTATATTTCCTTATATAATATTTGTTCTGTTTGCTTTTTCAGTGCCAATTATTCCCAGTTACTTGTACAGCATTACACACCAAAAAAATGCAACAGAAATCCAAACTATTAGGCCGGAGACATCTACATTAAGCCTGAATAGTTTTCAAAGTATCTTCTCCTATTATGACAACTCCACAATGATTACTGGAAATCATTCTGAAGGGACAAGACCAGGAGATTTTTATCACGCTCGGACAGAGCAAATGGTGGTAAATATGACTAAGGCATCACCATCCTCTGACTGCCCCAAGGAAGACAAAGACCTGCTAAATGAAAATGTCCAAGTTGGTTTGTTGTTTGCTTCCAAAGCAACTGTGCAGCTGCTTACTAACCCTTTTATAGGGCCAATGACAAATAGGTATGCTCTATCTCTTACGCACTAAAGTGGCATTTAATACTGATCTGCCAGTTTATATATCAGCATTTCAGAGAGAGGTTTGCCTTTTTCCTTTAATTATTTGCATTGTGTGTATGTTTTCATGAATTGCTTGCATTAATGGATTGCTCTTACCAAAATATATATCTGAATAGTAAATCTCCTCTAAGCCTGCAATATTTTTTAAATAACAGGGGCTTCTATTAGTTACATTAAATAATTTTAACATCTCCTTCCTTCTGTATTCCTTGAATAGCACTTGTTTATGAAGGCTTTTGTAGAAAGAGTGAACCTCTTTTATACCAGGGTAAATACCAGCATGTGTGGAGTAGAAATACATAACAGTGGTTGTTATACTTGTAAATTTTTTGAAGATTGATTTTTGCCTTCATAACTTTTCAGCATTATTTCATACAACTACAAAATATGAAATTATAAGATTGAAGAGCTTCTGAAGGTTTTGGATTTTTACATCTCAGAATAATATATATAAAATCTAAATCTAAATCATGATGATGTTTGTAACCTATCCATCCGACTGGGTTGCCGCGGCCACTCCGGGCAGCTTCCAGCATATTTCAAAACGCAATAAAACAGTATCTCATACAAACAGGCCACCATCTTGCTTGGTTAATTAAAAACTAGTTGGAAGTCTGGGAGTGAGGGACCAAGACCCCCAATTTCAGCAGGTGCCAATGTCCTCAGCCTAAGGGAATTTATATCGCAGGTCATAGGCTGGTCAACTCAGTAGCAGAAATTGGTTGCAGGCTGTGCAGCTATCTATTCTGCTAAGGCCAATTGTGTTGCCACAGTAAGTTACTTTATGGATTCAGAGGCAATAGGCATGCTTGAGTGAGGAAAGCAGGTTTTATTAAAGCACACAAAGCATATAACTGAAGAATGCACATTTACCATAATGGATCACAGTTTAAACAGACTAAATAAGGCATATTACTGATAGCTAAGCAGAGCTAAAAATCTATAATAGCATATCTCATGCCCTTTCTGCTGCTGGGGAAATCCTTGCACTCACAGAACATTCTCCTTAGCATTATGTTGGATTCCACCCAGTGTCACAATCCTATGTTTCCAAACATCAAAGTCAAAAGCACAAAAAATAGGGGTAGAAGCAAAAGCTAACAACAATATTGTGATCCACTCCCACAGAGTGCTTAGCAATTGTTTCACCTACTGATTATGGTGACATTTGCTGGTGATACATCCACATTAGCCATGCATGGAAGACGCCAATAAACAAAGAGCAATGAGTGGAATTCCAGGATGATGTTCCACTCACACATACTATCATACACAATGCACTATCATGTTATGAGGAAAAGGCCATAACATGTCTGTCAGAGCTTCAGCTGGCCCATTAATTAGGAGATCTGCATGTAATACCTTTATGGAACCATCATCTTCCTTTCCCAAGAAGGATTCAAGTCCTGATGCAATACCAAGGATCTTCACACAGACAGCATGAAGAACATTGCATACATCACATTTGTATTGGTATCCATGTGAAGTTGTTCTGAAACAGAGAACTGTAAAGATCTGGGATGAAAAGAACTATCAATCTGCCCTACTCTGCTTTTCTTTTTGTTTTTTACACACACTACATTTAAAGCACATTCAAAGTGCATTCTTTTCATCAAAGAATTCTGGGCACTGTTGTTTGTTAAAGTTGGTGGAAATGTAACTCTTAGGGGTAATCTGCAATGCCCAGAATTTTTTGAGTGAAAATGTACTTTGAATGCGCTTCCCTGCTGTAGTGTGTACAGTACACAACTTTAGTCTGGCAGCCAGATCCACGGAACATGTGGGGTTTGCTCATCATATGTATGCATGTTCTTCCATGTTGTGAAACTGTCCAGACTGCTGATGATTGCAAATGGAAAAGGGCACATGGCTCAACCATTTAATAGTTGTTTAGAAGATATAGTTTCAACAGGTGTTGCTTGAATGACAAGCTGTGCCTGCCTCTACAACTATTAAAGGTGAAGAAGTCCTATCCTCTTTCACCTGACCACCCTATGTGCAGATAGAACTCTTGGAACATTGAGTCTGTGTTTAATTTTTATAATACTGTTCTACTTTTTAAATGTATCTTTGTAGAAGAGATTTCAAAATATTAATCTGTTTAGAAGTGCTTTTAAGTAAATATGATGCAAGTGAAACAGATTGTTAGTGTTTCTGCAAATGGAAAATGTGTGATAGGTAAAGGTAAAGGTAAAGGGTAAAGGGACCCCTGACTGTTAGTTGTGGATGACTCTGGGGTTGTGGCGCTCATCTCGCTTTACTGGCCAAGGGAGCCGGCGTACAGCTTCCGGGTCATGTGGCCAGCATGACTAAGCTGCTTCTGGCAAACCAGAGCAGCGCATGGGAATGCCATTTACCTTCCTGCCGGAGCAGTACCTATTTATCTACTTGCACTTTGACGTGCTTTCGAACTGCTAGGTTGGCAGGAGCAGGGACTGAACAATGAACCGCCAACCTTCTGATCGGCAAGCCCTAGGCTCTGTGGTTTAGACCACAGTGCCACTCGCATGTGATAGGTGTACAGTAAATGAGATTTTTGGAACAATGTGATATCTGAGCTGCAAAGCTGGCTTTCACTTATAGACCACTTGGAGGATTGTATTGTGTAACAGCTGTGCAGCTAACTGTGCACAAATAATAGCACTGTGCTATTACCATGTGCTAATACCATGTGGTATTATAAAGTAGAATTAGACAATTGTAGCAAGTATATTATTTTTCCACATTATTTCATTGCAACAAAATAAATCTATAAATGGCTTAACGTTTAAACCATTCTTTTTAATGAACATTCTCATCACCAGCCAGTTCTGTGATACTGGATCCATCTTTTCACACAGTCTTGGCCATTTATACATACATTGCTAGTCACTGCCTGCTTTCTGTCAGACTAACAATGCACACTTTTCCAGAGAGCAGTACTTTCTTTTAGCTGGAGACATACCTTTTTAAACATGTTGGATTCTGAGCTGCTCCATTTTTGCACCTCCTGAACGACAAACTAAGCATTGTATCAGAGCATAATGAAGAGAAATGTGCTGATCCAAAGCCTCCAATCTACCAGAATAATTGGTGGCTTAGGGTGGAAGTAGCCATTACCCAAAACAGATGCTGCCAAGAAATCAACCAAGCCAGTGTGGTGCACTGGTTAATGTGTTGGACTAGGACTTGGGAGATCACCGTTCATATCCCAGCTCAGCCATAAAGCTTACTGGGTGACCTTGGTCCTGTCATAAGGTTGTTGTGAGGATGAAAGGTACATCATATAGTGCATCTTAGAGGAAAGGTGGGATATAAATTTAATATAACAGATAAAATGAAATCTAAACATAATTTTCTGCCTCTTGCTCCACAATATATGACAGTTGTGGTTGGCATGGTGGGGCAGAGATACTTACCTGATCTAGAAGGTAACTTGCTGCTGCTTGCCAGGCAAGATTGGCACAGTGCAAATGCACCAGCAGAGTCAATTTGGTGCTCCTGCTGGTGCATTTGCCCTGCAACGCCCTTCTCAGTGCCTCATCCCACCCCGCCTCTCCTAGTAAGCAGTGGTGACTTGCCTGCTGGGAGATCAGGTAAGTGTCTCTACCCCTTGACACCATCTGCCCAGGCCCAGCGGAAAGACCACAGAGAGGTCCATGTAACTGAATTTTCTAAAGCAGCTTTCTAGTGAAAGAAGTCTTTTAAAGTATTTTAAGATGCAGGAAAGCATAAACAGCAAGCCAAAATATTGTGTTGGTTTTGTTTTCCAGAATAGGCTATCAGATTCCCATGTTTGCTGGCTTCTGCATCATGTTTGTCTCAACAATTAGTAAGTGCTTTTCCTCCCCTGCCTATGTCACCAAAAATTATTATATTATACTGGAGATGAAGGGGTGGACGGATAGGAAATACACAAATGAGGATACTAGTTTAAAGCATGCATGAGTGTACTGAGGAACTTCCCTCCTTATATTGTTCCATAACAGTATAGTATGGACATGATCATTCCTTGCTTCAATTTGGGTGGTGTTGCTTGGTGCCTAAAATATTTGCTTTTCTTGTCCAGTCCAAAATGTTGAATCAGCAGCACTATTTACAACCTACACAGTCAGTGGGAAGAGAAGGCTGCCATTTCCACTTTGCCTGCCTTCCTTTGCTAGTTTACAAGCAGCCGCAGAATAGTTAAAGAGGAAACTCTATGCTCTTCTGCTCATCCATCTGAATGTTTCCTTGTGCTGTATCCATGTTCTCATGGAGGCTTGACGTTAGCTTGGCTCTCCCTGTGCTATTTTCAGCAAAGCATTTCTGCCAGCAAGTGTGAACTGTATCTGGTTTGGGACACTTCCTGTGGTGTTTTTTATGGTAAATGCATTGTGAAATGCCTTTACAAGATCCTGGATCAATCTAGTTCAGTTTAATACAGTTGTGTTGGTGTGTTCTGTCTTTTCCACAGTGTTTGCCTTTTCAGAAAGCTATAAGTTACTTTTTATAGCAAGATCTCTTCAAGGAGTCGGATCTTCTTGTTCTTCTGTAGCTGGTAGGTATTCATATGCACTACATGATATAGATTGGTGGTTGCTAGATCCGTCATTTTGAGCAACCAACATATTCTTGACTGTCGTTTTAGCTAAGTATTTCTTTAGTTAAAATAATTTTTACTTTTCATTTACTTCCTCTATTTAATCAGATAAATTTTTTCCATCTAGCTTTTTGCTGTTTACAGATGAGCCGAAATGGTCTAATGACCCCATTATTGTTGCTTTTTAAAAGAATTATTGCATCATTTTCTTTTGCTTTCAAAGTTTTAAAATTCAGTTTTATAGGTCAGATGATATTAATATATTCTGTGTGAGGTAGGATACAATTTACTGCAGGTCTTCTTGGCTCTTGGGATTCCTTTTCCTTCTCATTTGGGTGTTCTATTTTCAACAAGCTTGCTAAGTTTAGCTTTTTTTGTGAACAAATGAAACATGTTCTTATGTTTCATATGCACCTTGCTATTCATATCACTGTGTGATTTCCTGCCTGATTTTCACACTGAGAACAACCATCAGTACTGACTTGTCCTTTTTCGTTTACCTCTTATGCAGGTATGGGTATGCTGGCCAGTGTGTATACTGATGATGAAGAAAGAGGCAATGCAATGGGGATTGCCTTGGGAGGCATGGCTATGGGGGTATTAGGTTAGTATGAGGAAATTCATTGAAAAAGAATGTGTGGTTCCCCCCCCCAAAGAAAAGGTCTATCTCTTTCATACACTGATGCCTTTATGTACCTACACTGCAATAAATGCATGCTTTAAAATGTTTTAATCAATAGCAGCTAATGGGGGTGGTGGTGGTGGTGGAGGCAATCCCCATCCCAGCAGGGGTAGTGCTGCTGCCATCAGGACACCACTGCCTTCTTGTGAGTGACTGCTGTTTCTAACAAATTAGTATGAGTTTCCATATTGGTACAGATTGGAGAAGATATACCTGTGGCGCTGTGTAATCTTAATTATTTCTGCTGTATATCATTTAATTGAGTTATTTGCCTCAGGGTTGTTCCTTTCTGCTAAGTGTCAAATATTTCAATTATTAATATACAGGTATCTCTTTGTCCAACCTCTGTTTCATAAACGCATTTTAGTGACAGAGCTAAAATATGCTAGAACAAGATCTGCTTATTCAGTGCCACTTCCCCTCTCTCCTCTTCTGTGCCCCTGGAGGAGGGTTGAGTGAACTCCCAAAACAGGTTTGGTGGAGGGGGGCAGAATACAGAATACGTATCTTGGTTGTTGAATGCCCTGGAACTCGGACATTTTGGCTTCCGAATGATCAACACCCAGAAGTGACTGTTCCAGTTTTCAAACGTTCTTTTGGAAGCCGAACGTACGACAGGGCTTCTACAGCTTCTGATTGGTTGCAGGCGCTTCCTGCAGCCGATCGGAAGCTGCGCTTTGGAAGTCGAACGGACTTCTGGAATGGATTCCATTCGACTTCCAAGGTACAACTGTAGTCCTGTTGCATGAGTGGCCCTCATTCATTGTGTACGTACCCCACCTAGAACTATGTTGAATTCCACCCTAAGAAATGTGTAAATGACTTTTTTTTGTGTAGTGGGACCGCCTTTTGGAAGTGTAATGTATGAATTTGTTGGGAAGACAGCACCTTTCCTGGTGTTAGCAGCATTGGCTCTTTTAGATGGTGGTAAGTAAAATTCCCATATCTATGACATGACCAATAGCTTTGAATTGTGACATTGTCACCTACATTTATTTTTGAAAAATACCCCAACATTATGATTTCTTTTCCTGCAGCAATACAATTGCTAATTCTGCAACCATCCAGGATACAACCAGAAGTAAGTAGTTCAACAATTGTTTTTTTTAAAAATGCTTGTATTACACTTTCCCTAAAACTGAGGTTATTTATCTGTTGATAGAGTCAGAAAGGAGCATCGCTGCTGACACTCTTGAGGGATCCATACATCATAATTGCTGCAGGTATTTGCAGTTATTGCACACTTGCATTTATTTGTTGTGGTCATTTTTGATCTGTATTTGGTAGTCTGTGGGAAGGATCACTTAGTCCGACTAAGGAAGGAGCACTTGAGCTGCACGCACCAGCATGCAGCTTGTGCACATTATGGTTAAAACTATAATGTGAGCAAACAGCCGGTGTTGTTTTCAGGTATTCAATTGTGATAGAAAGACAAATCTACTACCTTGTGCTCATAGACATATGAGTTTTTCAGGTGGAGATTATAGTGGAAAGATTACATTAGACATAACATTTTATCTTTGTAAGAACAGTCCTGAACTATTGCTTCTTGCCCTCAGGACCACAGCACTAGTGAGACCACAATATTGTTTTAGGGATTCTTCATACAGAGTCTAATGCAACTTGGCATATTTGAACAAAGAATGACAGCAGTGGTCATTTTTTTGCTGAACTGTGTTACAAGAGGAGAGCCTTTCCCAGGAGAAATAATTTATCCGTGATTTAAAACAAATTAGACTTGAATTTTAAAGATAACAAGCTCCTTTAGCTGTAAATGGCTGCAGCATGAGTCTGTTGTATTTTTTTATCGTGATCGAAAGGGTATAAACATGTTTTGAAGGTACATTCAGCACTGAATGTGCTGTTCGACAAAGTGGAGTGGCAGTTTGTAGATTCAGGGCTTCATTACATAAGACAAACATCCTAGATTTCCAGGTAGGAAAAATTGCGTGAAGATAGTGTGTGCATGATGATTCCACACTGCCTGCTTTGTCACATGTACATATTGTAATCCAGAATGATGGTGCATTAGTATGATATATTGCTATGGCAAAATAAACCCATGTGCGTTTTGTTGCACACGGCATAGTACATCAAGAATATATCAAATAGTCCAAAGTTGAAATTCAGATATGTATTGACAAATGCTGTTTAGCCCATGTCCCTTACATGGAATATCACATTTTCTTTTGAATATATTAGATGCACTCAATATATTGGGACATTGTCCTGTTAAACATTTGATTAGCTGGGATCTGGCATCCTGTTAAATTAGTGGTGACCATTTCATCACAGGCTAAGCAGCAGAGAGTAAGGCAGCCCACATATATGCATCATCATATATATAGAATTAGTGTGATCTTTGTCAGCTTTTTATGATGAAGATTAATCCTTAATTAAGATGAATTTGGGTGTGTACTTACAGTACTGACAATGGAGTCCTATTCATGTTTTCTGTGGAAGTAAGTCCTCCTGTCTTGAATATGGTTTACTCCCTAGTAAGTATGTTTAGGACTGCATCCTGAATCTGCTTATGTTTTGCACGCATGCAAGTTCATAGTATACCATATGGTGAATGCCATCCACAAGTATATGCACATGTACCAAAATGTGCATTTGAATCCACTCTTAGTTCTCATTAGCTTTATCTCTCCAGGCAACAATTCTATTTTATTACAAGTGATCAATTCGCTGGAGCCTGTCTTTGCATGCAGGGGAAGTCCCTAACTGCCAGATGTATCACTCTGATTTCCTTTGGACCACATTAGTGAGGCTGGGGGGGTATTGTCATCTGGGCAGCCCAGGACCTCCATACACACTGCCCAGATTTGCACCCTGGGAAGGTCACTTTGGTCTGACTTCACCCCTGGAGGTGCACTCCATTGTCTCTTGAGACAAATGGATGCCAACAAGTGATCAACGCTTCAGTTCCCATAGGGACGAAAGGGACAAAAGGCAATTCAACTAACTAAATGTCCTGGTGGATGGATTAATGTTAGCACAATAAGACTTTCCCCCCTTATCAACCTCAAATCTTCTCCAGAGAATTAGTGGGACCCCAATAACAGATTTAGGAGACGCATGAGGGGGAGCATGTTCCATTGCAAATGAGCTGACAAAAAGTTCACATTACCACTACATTGAATACAACTGAAAGTCTTCAGTGTTCTTCTTTTATTCTGCTTCAAGTACCTGAGGAATAGGTTTTAAACAAATCTGTGTCCAACAAAGTGAACTGTTTCTGAACAAAATTAGAAGTATATTTTCAGATTAATTATTTTGTTACAACCGGAGCATGTGAACCAGGTGCAATAGAATTATTGGCAAATCTCCTATTGATAACTGTGTTGCTCCTACTAGAGTTCACAGTATCATCACATGCTGAAATATTTTGTCTTTCTACTCTGAAATGCAATGAAAATAGGGAAATCTTTTGGGGTTTTTTTTGGGGGGGGGGGATAACTGGAGTATATATGAAATTATGGATTAAATGACTTTCCTCCCACACTAGTAATTTAGAAGTAATCAGTGTTGTATTATTTGACAAGCAAGTCTTCAAAAGACGTTTTGTTTCTTTAAGTGTTGCTTTTTCGAGCTGTTGATTGGAATTTAAGTGAAACAATTCCAGCAATTTGTTTTCCATCTCTTTTCAAGGATCAATATGTTTTTCAAATATGGCAATTGCTATGCTGGAACCAGCTTTGCCCATCTGGATGATGGAGACAATGTGTTCGAGAAAATGGCAACTCGGTAAAGTGTTTTCTTTCATTTATTGTATTTCTGATCCTGAGAAAGTTTGTGATTGCCATCTCAGATCATATGACAAATGGTAACATTTTTTAAAAAATGTGTCTCTAGACAATTGAGTGAATACTGTAGATTGCTGGTATGCCATTATATAGTTTATATTGCACATAATCAAGGGACACTTTGGTACCTATTTATTGGGGAGGCAGTGGAAGACAGGAGTGCCTGGCGTGCTCTGGTCCATGGGGTCATGAAGAGTCGGACATGACTAAACAACAACAACATCCTGACTTCAATGAGAGGTTATATGATGCTGTCATTGAGCATTCATTTTGGTTGGTTTGTTATGCATTGTTGCATCAAGCAATTATTAACCTACACAAAATGTTCCATACCCTTTTATATCTGTGTGTCTTTCTCCCTTCCTTTCCCCAAGTAACTCCTTTACATTCCACCTGTTTTTCAGCACACCCCACCCCTGGTTGTGTCAGCTTTCTGTGTGCACTGAGCATGTTCATTCTTCATTGGGCTGGTTTATTCCCCTTCCCTACTTTAGTGTTTGTTCCAAAGTTTTTTTGGGGGGGGGGGTTGTACTTCTGTAGATCTCTAGATATCCTGTTCTTGTGCATGAGTGATATAGTTTTGGCTACAGAAAGGTGAACCGCTGAAGTCTTTTGAGTTTGGTGTTGGTATATATGGTATTTTACATTTATCATAACCCAAGTTCAGTATAGGAAAAGAGAATATGCGTGATCAAAGTTATTACATATGTATCCTGTCTTTTCTCCAAGAAGCTCAGGGCAATGTGTTGGGAGTTTTACCCATTTCATCCTTATAAATAACCTGTTGTTTTCTGGGGGTGAGGAAGGAGAGGGGCTGAGCCTCACTGCCATTACATGATGACATGGGACCTCATTGCTGTTCCACCTCCAGGCTGTCAGATGTTTGCCTGCCTTCTGCCCCCTCCCCTTCACTCTGGCTGGCATGAGCAGCAGGGCTGCAGATGCAATTTGTCCCCTCTGTTTGAATAAATTCTGCCCCTGTCCAGGTCTGGATTGCAGCCTTGGATTGCGATACTCTTAATCTTAATTCATCTCCTTTTAACACAGTTTATCATTGTGTTTAATTTGGAAGCTACCTTTCTTTTGTTTTATACACATACACACTACTTCACTTATGCACAGATACTGGTGTCCGATAGCAAGTATTATTTTTTAAATATAACAATGGTCTAAATTTGATGGATAATCTTGCTAGATCAAACAAAAGGCTTGAAACAAACCGGATATTAATTTTTTTTGGCTCAGGCTGAAGACCTTCATTAGATATGTTCTAATCAAAACTGCTGTGTCTGAACTTATTGCTTTTCCCGATGCTTCACTGAAACCAGTGTTGATAAGATAACCTGTTCATATTTTTCAGGCGTTGCTTTTATTCCTGCCAGTGTCTCTTATCTGATTGGAACTAATATTTTTGGGGTCCTTGCACACAAAATGGGACGGTATGCTGAATTTAAACATTATCTAATTCCTTAACACAGTTGTACAGTATTTTCTGTTCTTACAGTGTTCCTTCAGGTAGTCGCATTATGAGAAACAAACTGCAGCTTTCATGATAAATAAATTAACCTGCTGCTTTATTTTAAAGTTAATATTTTAGTAGTAATTGTAGTAGAAATGCTGAAGTAAAACACATGTTTAGTGCCTACATTTCTTGGTGTCTAAAATATAATGTTCTTTTTTCATAGGTGGCTTTGTGCTCTAATTGGGATGGTAATAGTGGGAATAAGCATTTTGTGTGTGAGTAAAAGTTGATACTTTGAAGAGCAAATTCTGTTATTTCTATAATTTCTATAATTTACTGATGGTTCTATCCTTTTGGTGTGGGTATTTGTAGATGTAAATTGGGGAAGGGTACTTGGGATTCAGTGATGACACAAACTTTCTTCAATCTTATTTTGAATTTAATCCCCTGAAGGGTGCTGTAGCATTCGTACTTTCTTGGTTTCATGCATAAGACTATGGAGAAGAGAGCTGCGGGAAGATTCTATTATATTTGTTTTTTATCTGGGCTGTCTTTATTTGTTGTTGCACACAGTCTCCTCATTTACAGCAGCGTCACTGTGGCTGATTAGCTTCTTTTAACTTGAACCTAAACTGTTATGGGTTATTAGATGTTTCATGTTTGATGCTAGTAGGGAGCAATCATATGCTGCTTGGGAGGGCAGCTGAAGGGCCCTAATGAACTGTGGACCTCTGTGGGTGGGTGGAATGAATGGTGTGGCATGATGTCCCTGGTGTGGCAGGAAAAAGCTGCCAGTGGTGGGGCCAGGATCAGGACACGTTTGGGGAGTGCCACGTGAGGCTGTGAATCTTCATGATCCAATTCCCTCTTGTTTCCCCAAAATCCCACTTTTAAAAGGCTCGACTAAACTAGTCCAAAGCTGGAGCTGGCATACTTAATTCCCTTCCATTGCCCATAATATGAAGAGTGCAGGAAAAGGATACCCTGGCCACTGCACCCTTCTCCTTGCACCCTGCCCTTTGATCGCTGTATGTCAGAACTTACTGACTACAGAGCATAATAATAATAATATTTTATTATTTATGCCCCGCCCATCTGGCTTGGTTTCCCCAGCCACTCTGGGCGGCTTACAGAATCTATAAAACATAATAAAGCATCAAACATTAAAAACTTTCCGATACAGGGCTGCCTTCAGGTGTCTTCTAAACATTGTATAGTTCTATTATCTCCTTGACACCTGAAGGGAGGGTGTTCCACAGGGAGGGCGCCATTACTGAGAAGGCCCTCTGCCTGGTTCCCTGTAACTTCGCTTCTCGCAGTAAAGGAACCAGCAGAAGACCTTTAAAGGGGGACTTCAGTGTCTGGACTGAGTGATGGGGGTGGAGATGCTCCTTTGGGTATACTGGACCGAGGCCGTTTTCAGTGAAAGCAGTATGATAAACATTAGCAGAAATCTAATAGATCAGAAAGCTAATAGATCAGATTAAAGCTAATAGATCAGATCACTCACCAGTAATTAAATGAAGGTCATATGATACAATCTAGTAAGCAGCTTGATGTTTGATTTTGAATGCTTGCTTTTCTTTTTTTCAGGTGCCACTTGCTAGAAATATATATGGACTCATAGCACCAAATTTTGGGGTTGGTTTTGCCATTGGTAAGGAAAACACAAAATACTTGTTTCTGTTTTTTGATGTATTCTAATTTTTTTGTGAGTCGCTCAGAGACTCAAGTAAAACAATAGAAATAACTAACCAATCACATTGGTTCTGCTCTCCAACAAAGACCTGCCCTCCCCCACAAAAATCCTGGCTCCACCCATGCTAATAGGGCTATTTGTTAATAGATAGGACCCAGTTTAGATTTCTCTAGATGGGGTGAATGTCCACCTGTGTGATAACTGGGGAGTAGTAGTCCTGCCAGGTGTGCATTCATGTTCTCGCATTTCAAGTAAGGGCTGGTTCATATGCACCAGGCTAGTGACTGATGGGGAAAGGGAAGGAAGGGGAAAGTGCTCCGTTAACTTATGGGGATTGCCTCCCATGCTCTGCTGTGTTCTAGAGTTTAATGATTATGTTGCAGCATATCATCCTAAACAGTAAGGCCCATAAGCAGACTTTCATGTGTGGCTTTGCTTACCAAACTCCGTATGGATGTATGTGCTTAAAAAATCAAGGGAAGCTGTGGACTGTGGATGTGTTGATCCTTTCTGAATTGGGCCTGCTTGTGTGCATTTCCTAAGAGATGGTTGCTTTTGGGGGGATGTTGGCTCTGAATCCAGAACCCTTCCCAGCTTCCACTGCTAATGGGTGATCAGCACTGCCACAGCTGACTTTATCTGCCACTCACAGCAGTGGGTGTGGCCCACAGCTACAGGTGAATAATTCTGGCTTGGGCTTTAGCTTCTGGGGGGCAGGTGGGGGGCGGGTCAGAAAACTTAAAATTCTTTGTAATTTATATGACATAAATTTTCAGATAGTTTTTTTAATGTAAATTCCCTACTGTTCCTTTCCTTTCAAATAGCAATTTATGTATTGCTTGAAATGCAACAGGTGAACAGATTCAAGTTTAAGTAATTCAACCAGGCATATTAGCAATCTCATCTTATTTCAAGCAAGTGTGTTTAGACTGTGCTGAGAGTAGTAAAGTCATGTAAGTGTCTTTATTATACAGTGAAGGACAGGTGATGAAATAATTAGATATTTAGAAGTTTAGCTTCTTTTGAAGGTCTTAAAAATTCTCTGAATATCATGTTTTCCAATTCTGGAGAAAAGGGTCAGAGGGCTGTGCAAGATTATAACTGTATTAGGTTTTGTGAAGAGGGTGGTTTTGCATTTGCTGGCAGATCTTGTGTTTAGGACAATGGCACCATCTTAAAATGAAAAAAACCTCATACATTCAAAAATGGTATAAGGAAAATTGAACACAATGTATTGGCCATAAAAATGAGCAATTATCTCACCATTATGTTTTTTCATATATTCATGCTTTAAAGTAAGTTTTCTAAACTGTGGAAAGAGAAAAAATGAAAGGTCTTTCTCAAAATAGCATTTGTTTTCTCCCTATCTTATAACCAGGGATGGTGGATTCTTCGATGATGCCTATTATGGGTTACCTTGTTGATCTGCGCCATGTTTCAGTCTATGGAAGTGTCTATGCAATTGCAGATGTTGCATTTTGTATGGGATTTGCTTTAGGTAAGAGCTGAATTTGCTTCTTGAAATGCATCTAACAGTACCAAAAGGATATTACAAAGGCCTTGGAGCAAATGCTGGCAATGCCAGCTGCCTGGTAGGCTGCAGCAATAGTGGGGTTTGCTGCATAGAATATGCAGGTGATAAGGCTGTAGAAGAAGGTAAGAAATATCCCTTTCCCATTGGCACTATTAGCTGTATCACACAGAGGCTGTAGTCACGCTGTTCAGTCTCCACACTATTGGGGTAAATATCTACCCAAGTCTCTGTTAGGACAAGGCAACTGCATTGAAAACTCCATCAGCTAGACTCTCTTCTGAACTGATCAATAAGAGTGTTCTGCTTACATACAGAGATAACAGCTTTTAACAGGGATGACAAAGTTGTCACAACCTGGTCAGTAAGGAACAGCAAGAAACTAGCTAGGCTGAAGTCAAAACCCCTGACATTCCATTCATCTACATTCATTTTCTCTCCCACCTTCACACTTACTTTCTGTTTACTCTCCAAGAGAGATGTGGCCTTAAGATCTTAGCTGGCCCAGGCCTCTTATAGGCCCAGGCCCTTGCAGACTTCAGACCCATACATTCTGCTTCCACAGATTACAGAAAAAGAGAGGACTCATGAACTTGTATTAATTTGGCCTCAACTAGAGCCAGGGCTTTCTCGGCTGCGGCTCCAATCTGGTGGAACGCTCTGTCACAAGAGACTAGGGCCCTGCGGGACCTGACATCTTTCCGCAAGGCCTGCAAGACAGAGTTGTTCCACCAGGCCTTTGGTCAGGGCCCAGCCTGACTCCCACCTCCGGCAACCTGCACAGAACTTTGCTTAACGGTTGCCATTAATTTGATTTTAATTAATTTTTATAATGAAATGTTTTAGAATGTTGGATTATTTGATTGTTTGATTATTTGTTTGTTGTTAGCCGCCCTGAGCCTGGCTTTGGCTGGGGAGGGCGGGATATAAATAAAAATTTATTATTATTATTATTATTAATTTGTGGCTACTGGTGGTGGGGGGGGGGAGGAGAATAGAGGGAAGGCAGAATACCTTTCTTTCCCTTCCATTTCTGTAATTATGGGAACTGTTGTCAAGCCTTTTGCTTGGTAATGAAACAAAAGCACTGAACTAGTGGGTAGTTTTAAAATCCATGTTGAATTTGTACTATTTTCACTGGCTTTAAAAGGCATTTAAAAAATCAATAATTTTCCAACACACAGGTTTTCAAGCATACTGTATATTTGTTAATTCTGCTCATACAGTATATTATGTTAGGACTTATTTTTTTCTTGCTCACAGATTCTTTTAGGCTAGTTCTTGTTTTTCTTATGTATGTACCCTAATACTTTTTCTTTCTTTTCTTTTTTTAAAAAATGTGTTTCCCAAAGGTCCATCTGCTGGTGGTGCCATTGCAAAGGCAATTGGATTCCCATGGCTCATGACCATTATAGGAATCGTTGACATCCTCTTCGCTCCTCTGTGTTTGTTTTTGCGCAGCCCTCCTGCCAAGGAAGAAAAAATAGTAAGCACAAACTTTTTCTCGCTTTGCTGTATTTGAATTCTGATATATTTTAGTACATAAGCAAATAGAGAAACAAACTATTTTGTAATGTTCTGTTTCATTAGCTGAAATCAGTATTTTGTATTGAGTGGGGTAACTTGGTTTGCACAAGACAAAAAAAAATTACAAGGCTGGCTTATCTTTGGAAACCAGCAGTAACAAAGTTACTATATTTTGGGTGAAGTTTGAATTTACAGTGCATGTTAGACATCTGGTTTTCTTTGATGTGTGAGGCTTTGCCACATTGATGCTGGAATTCAAGTAACTGTGAAGAGTTCACATGGAAGGGTATTTGAGACTAACACCTTCTCTGAACCCTCATGCTAACAAATTGTGTCAAAAACCTGAGGCAACTTTAGGAACAGTGGAATGTCTTGAAGAACCTTCAGGCATCTGATTTCAGTGTGAGAGCCCTCAGGGTTGCTGCAGTGCATGCACAGAAGCTAGGAGATACTTGATTCCAATTCTAAGCCATCTCTTGCTGAAAGCAATAAAATGCTTAACAGATATACTAATGCACAACTCTGTTCTTTTTCAGGCAATACTTATGGACCATAACTGTCACTATAAAACCAAAATGTATACGCAGAACAACATCCAGTCACATCCAATAGGCGATAATGAAGAAGAATCAGAGAGTGATGAGTAATTTCTGAAAGCCATATCAAGTAGTTTAATGTATACAAGTGTTTCCTGTGGAACATCTCATCAAGACGTTTTAGTTGTACTGTACTTTTAATGGTAAAATAGTAAACAAGAAAAAGCCAAAGGTAGCTTTATTTATTGCCCTTGATTATGAAGCAGATTACCTACTGCCTTATAAAAGGAGAAGGGAAGCTTTTATAGGAGTTTGCTACAGTGTCAAGAATTTGTGCATTTCACATTGTGCACTATATTTTTGATTAAATGAGTAGTGTAAAGCTAAATCCAGATCTATGCCTTTAAAATGTCCATTCATTAACACTTTGCTTATTCCACCATTTTCTCTATTTGACTGATCAGCAGCAGAGAGTGCCTGAAACTAACAATGATAAATTATCTGATTGTACACTATATAAAAAAATGAAAATGTTGCATTTGTCAAATAGCTTTCCTTGAAACCATGAAATAGAATACATAATTCCCCTAATTATATGCATTTCCCCATTATTCCTAGAGGAAAAAATCATTGAAAAATAAAATATGGAAATTGTGAAGGATACATTTAACTGAACCCCTTCTTGGTTCATCTCTAACTACTATTTACAGATAGTAGGTACTACACCAAAAATGGCTGTATATTATGCTTTCCAACACATTTGTGCAACTTAGGTGGGGGAAAAACTATCTGTATAGAAATATTGATTCACAGTGTATTATATGATTTAAATTTTAGACAAGTGTTACTAGGTGCACACCACAAATTAAATCCAATTTGTGTCAGACACTTACAGATGCATAATACTTGCAGATGGACAATCCCTCCCATATAACACAAGAGAAGACAGTTTAGACAAATATATGACACTAGAAGCAAGACTGGTCAATGTCTGAACAGTTTCACCTAGTTGATTTGAAACTTCTCAACAATTCAGATGAAATTGTTTTTTTCTTTCTTTATTTTTATTTCTTAAAGCTTTATTTTGATTTTTAATTAAGAGAGTTGCAAGACACAAATGTCTCCTGGGGGACCTGTGTGTCTGCCCAAATAATATAAATCTAAGAGCTATCAATTAGGTAGTCAAATTTTCACTCTTGGCTGGCCCTCGGGCATGAGGAGACTACAGAACCACAGCCTTAGAAAGTATTCCTGCTCTGGGCAGAGTAACTTGCAGCAAGGGGATTTGGAGAGACGAGGACTGTGTAGATTGCTATAAGGGAGGAATGTAATACCCCTGCCTCTTCTAATTGATAGGCAACTCAGCAGTCCATTGAGCCCTACAAGTGTTGTCCTTCATTTGGACCTGAGCTCATGAAAGGATGTGCGGTGCCCTTAGTTGTGAAAATAGAATTCCAACAAATGATAGACCATGTATCAATATCACATATTTAGTGTCATGTACTTGTCATGCTGTTTGTAAAACATGATCTCTGTGCCTTCTTTCATTTATCAACAGATGGTTTGTGTCTTAAAGCAGACACTTTGTTTACATATTTTTGTAAGTGTATATATTGGTCAAAATTAGAGATGCTGTAGATTAATTATTGTTGTTAATTATGCAGAAAAGTAACAACTTGGAATGTTATCATTTCTTGGAAAACCCCCAAAATAAACGGTGGACAATTTGATGTTGTTTTGCTACAAGTGATGTACAGATTAGTAGAATGACTCCAACATTGTCTTCTAGGAAGAAAATAGGCTTATGATTTCATCATGCTGTTGCACTCTTGCTGTAACAGCTCTTGATATGATCATACGAGAGCTTAGGGGAAGCTGTTTCAAACCACACTTGTTCCTGCATGCTGTTTCCATATCCTTAAGTCAGCATCATTCCTGTAGCACAGGACAATATAGTGACTGATAACAAGAGAGTACTCTGTTGTGTGTATTTTGCAAAGGGTGCTTCTATAGCTGTAGTTGCAACTTCTGCTGCAAAGTCACTTAAGAGTACAGGATTTGGTCATATACAAATTCAGACTGCTTGACTTAACTTCCAGATAAATGTTTGTGCTTTAAACAGATTTTCACTTGCAAAAACAGAACGTCTGTCTCTGTTCCCCCTGTGGAACAGATGGGGGCACAGGGAGAGAAGATGAAGAAGCCCTATTTATTGCAGGAGCAGAATGCTGCTCAGAGTTTTGGATATAAGCCTGTTTTATTTTGTTATATAGTCCAGGGGTGGCCAACTCCCAAGAGACTGCGATCTACTCAGAGTTTAAAACTGGCAGTTCAGGTTGAGCTTTTAGGGAAGAGGAAAGCCCCATTTTTTAGGGGTTCAGGTCAAAGTTGTTGAGCTTCTTTGGGGAGGGGAGCCAGTGATCTACCAGAGACGTCCAGTGATCTTCCCGTTGGACATGCCTGTACACTATCAAAATGCTTCTGAATGGTTCAAATTATAAATCAAATATCCTGTGATAACTATTCAAACATGTTTTTAAGTTTTTTCTAATGGAAACAGTACTAATGCGAATAATACATGGTTTCAGTAGAACCTTGAATAATATAATATACCTCACCCATCAGACTGGATTGCCCTAGCCACTGTGGAAGTGAGATCTATGTCATAATGTGTGTATCTGAAGAAGTGTGCATGCACACAAAAGCTCATACCAATAACAAACTTAGTTGGTCTCTAAGGTGCTACTGGAGGGCATTTTATTTTGTTTCGACCACGTCAGACCAACACAGCTACCTGTAACTAGAACTATGTCATAATGGTTGCATTTGTTTCAAAACTTATCTGAAAATGCTGTAGTCTGCATATTGTTTTTCTATCAGACTAAACTTCAGAAACATCCCTTCAAGTGGCGTCAGTATAACTTGGGTCAGAGGAGATGGTTAACTTTATTATTTTAAAATGAAAATTAATACTAAATCTGAAGTACTTTATGACTGAAGCTTTAATTTCATGGTAAAATGAATTTCAAAATGTTTTTTATATACCCACAAGCATTAGACAATATGCCATAGCTGTTTCACAAAAAGAGCATCATTGTGGAAATTCTCTTCTGAACACATTGCACTGCAATTTTGTACCTGTAGGCCCACATCCATATGAAGATTTGTCAGTTTTTGCATGTGAAAAAGACATTGGTCCTGTCACTTTGATGCATGTTTCTGGAAGGAGGAGAAAGGCTCTGTAGTGTGCAGCTACAAAGGGATGTGCTCTTGGACTCAGGTTAAACCCACACAAAATGAAATATAGGCCCTAAAGCAACTTTCCAAGGTTGCATTGCCAGTTTCAGGATATGTGAGACTGAAACATTCCCCTCGCAAAAAATCAAAATACTGTGAAGTTTAGGTCTGCAAATGCCAAAGTGCATTTAAGGAATTTATACTAATTTGATGTAGTAGATTTTTATCTATGCAGCTTTGCAACGGAATGGATCCTGATAGGCAGCCTACAATACTTTCAATCCCCTGCACTTGTTGAGGCCCCCAAATGCAGGAGAAATTTAGCATGCTACCTAGAATGTATCATTGAATCCTCTGTGCGGATGTGAAAGATGTTCCTTAGCTAACAAGTCAATGGAAAGGAACAGTGAAAGCCGTCTATACCACTAGCCCATCAAGCTCAGTAGTGTCTACAGCGAGTAGAAGTGACTCTCAAGGGCTTTAGGCAGGTGCCTTTCCAACTCTATCTGGAGACGTCAGGGAGTAAAGATGGGGCCATCTGCAGACAAAGCATGTTCTCTATCACTGAGTTGTTTTCCAGGGCATCACTGAAAGGATTCACTTGAAGATAAAAACTTTGGATGTCAATCCTCTACAACATGGATAAGATAATATTTGCAGATAAGTACTGAAAATATCCTATACATATAACAGCTTGCAACAGAGAAACTGAGAACTTATTTTAAAAAATTTATTAAAGCTTGTTTTCATGATAAAATCATGTCTGACAATCATCTTGGGCAGACTTTCTATAAATATGTGCAAGTGTCAAGTAGTTACATACCACTACATCAAGATATCCTTGCTTTCAGTGGCATTTTTTATTTTCAGCTATGTACAGTAAAGCACAGAAGCAAAGAATATAATAGGAATGTATTAATACAGCTTGCCTCTCAAGATCAGTGTTTGTTATAATTATGTTTTCCCTTGCTACCATACAATTATTTTGCCACCATTCTCACGCAACATTTAGAATATTGCACTACATTTAATTTATTATACAATCATCATAGCAGAGTATTGATACCAAACTTTTCATGCCCGTTTCATTAACTGATAAACTATAAGGTATTATTTTGAAAAAACCTAATGCCTATATTATTTTTGCAGCTGTTTTCTCAAATGAGCAAGTGTTTCAAGGCAGTACCTGGACTCAAGCGAAAAACTAATGGAGAATTATTCCAAACCACCTCAGTTGGTAAGCAACCCAGAAAATAAATTGAGAGATAAAATTCATTAAACACAATGTTGAACTCTTTTGGAGGGGTTTATTTTTTGGAAGTATCTAGTATAAGTTATGAAGCAAATTTTTTAAAAGAGCAGAACTGTTTTTTACTAGTATGGATTGTATTCTAATATTCGGCTCAGTTACCGGTATGTTTTTTAAAAAGCAAAAGGTTATTCTTAAGGCCAAAAAGATGTGAAGAGGTTGTTATCACTCCTATACAAACTGAAAAGCAGATTCAACATAATAGGATATCTGATTGCTTGTCTGTCAAAATAAGAGGCTTTAGGTGTGCTAGCTTTGCCAGTTTCTACAGGTGTTTGTATATATAGCACAGGGCCTAAAATAATGATATGGAAAACAAAGCCTTATGACACATAAATGTCAACCCCCCCCAAATATATTTCTTAGCAGACCAGCTGGGGCTTTTAAAAAAGAAATTTAAAAAAGGTCCCCAATTTCTGTTGGGCCCAGGAACCAGTAAGGAAACTCACATGCTATATTAAAAAGCTGGGTATCTAACTAGCATTTTTCTGTTCACGATGGCATTACAACCAGTGGAAGTAAATTATTTTAGCATTTCATTTACCCTTTAAACATTAACACACAAAAGTCATACATTTTGTGGAAAAATCAATGCTTAGGTAAACAGAAAAAGCTACAACTCAACTTAAAAATAGGTCTTTATGCATTATAATATTACAGTGATATGTTCTATAAGGCTTCCACCTATTTTTACATTAACATATCTTTTGCTGGTACATTTCCAAGAAATTGCTATACAATATTGGTACAGCTTATGATCAGGCGAAATTGAATGTTTGTGGTCTTTAAGGAAGGAGAGAGGGGGAGATGAGCACCTACTGATAATTATTTGAGCTTTGAACTAGACATGTTTTAGAATTCTCTCCCAGCTTACAATTCTGCTAAACCCATAAAGGAAAAAGGTATTCAAGTGTCAATTAAGCTTCAAAAATCTGTGACTGAAAAAAATTATGGAAAGTAAGCATCATGATATGTAGTAACACCTTTACTAAATAACTGAAAATAAAGCCTGTGTTGGCTATGATGCATGATTGGCAAAAAAACAAAACACCCCTGCTCTGAAATAAATCAAAGAGCCAAATAATGAGACACAATCAAAATCTTCAGAACCTGGTCCCCATGGCTGTAAATTTCAGCATGCAGTTAAAAATCAAAACATTAAACTTAATAATGGAACGGAACAAAAAATAAAACAACTGTATTAGCATGAAACTTTAGAAAAAGTTCAAATAAATTAATCTTCCAGTATAAACTTCCAAAATGTTCTTTAAACACAAATTGGACCAGCTATGTCAACAAAAAACAAGAAAGGGGAACTGTACTTGTAAAGAAAACTCTAACTATACTCTTACAGAGATTTAAAAAAACACCTGTGGAAAAGCAGCTTGTATACATTTTACCAGTGTTTAATTACATTTTAATGTATCTGGTGTGGTTTTGATTAAGTGCAAAGTATTTTCCCAGTTTATCATTCTCAAGGCCAAATGTGCAACATCAATCTACTAAGTCATCAGATCTTTCAAGCTCTCCTTCTTTTAGTAGTTGTTCGAGTACTGGCTCCATTACTAGAGCACTTTCAACTTCATTATCCATTTCTTCGTCTTCATATTTATCCTCTTTTCTGGATTCCAGGTCTAAAGCTTCTATATCTTCAATGCCTGCTCTGTAGTGAATCATAAGAAGTGTTAGGGCTTGCAGTCGTTCACCTGATTTAGCCAATGCAGTAGACAATAGCATTTTTTTCCTTGTATCTGTTGTTTCTTTCTTTTCTCTTATTAAAGAATTGTTATTTTCCAGTTCCTGGTCTATTTCATACTGTAGCTTTTCCAACATAACCTCTAATTTTAGGATTCTTTCTTCTGTAGGCAAACCTCTATAAAGGTCTCGACCAATTTCTTTAACAGCAATGTAGACACTATCATCTAATCCACCTTCTTTTCTTGCTAACTTTATCCCTGTACTTGCTTGCTTGGAAGGGCTACTTGGACCACCAGTTTCTGTGTCACTACCTTCATTATCGGAACCATGTGGCGTGTGCTTTGGCGAAGGTTCTACTACATCAGCCCCTGGCTCACTAACACGAACTTTAGGAACTTGACGAAGATTTAACAACCGGGAGCTAGTGTTGATGATATGTCTTGTTAAACCTGTTGTTCTGTTTGCAGTTTTCAATTCTGTATCGGCACGAGATGCTGGTACGCTTAGAGAATCAGGGCTATCAAATTTAAAAGTGCGAAGGTCTCGTTCAAGCCGTCTTGTGGCTCCTAAACAAAATGGGCTTTCCGTTAGACATTTTTCTTGACATTTTTTGTGACAAACGTATGCACAAACAACACACTGTGATGCTGCTTTAGTCCAAACTTTTTTTTTGCAGTAATCACACCAAGTTGGATTCTGAAACTGGGTGTCCTGAAAATTATGCTTGTTTTCAGTGTAGATAATCTGTCCCAAATAAGGATCCTCTTTGGGAAGAATGGGAGCAGACTCATCTTCTGAAATATTTTCTTTTTCTTTTTCCAGGAGAAAACTGGAGTCTTCTGGTTCACCCTCTTTTAAATATTTAAAATGTATAGTAATATCACCGTAACAAAAATTTTCATTGAAACCTTTGTGAGAAATCAAATTACGCAATGCAGTTCTAGTTACTGAAGCTTTAGGTGCAGGAGGATTTAATCTAAATTGTCTAATGAATTCCATGGAGGATGTAGCTATACAATCTAAAGCTATTTCTTCAAGTTTTATGCTTTCATATCCTAAACAGAGAAGCCCACCTAATTTGAAAGGATCCCTACACCAAACAGCAACATTTAGGTACTTGTGCTCTTTTTCTACTTCAAATATGTAGGAAGAGGTCTTTGTCCTTGTCCATTTACCTAATCGTTTGCGATAAGGAATTTCTGGTGTTTCCCATGAATTATGGTTTTCTGTAGCTGATCTAGAACTTTGTGAAGATTCTGAAGGTTCTTTTACCGTTTCTAATTTGTTTGTAACTGCTTTGTTTGTAACTGCTTTGGGACTCTGTAATGATTCTGAAGCGTCCTTTATTAATTCTAGTTTGTTTGCAGCTGGTTTGTTTGTAACTGCTTTAACATTCAGTGTGGAATCGGAAGGCTCCTTAACTGCTTCTGGTTTATTTACAACTAATTTGGATCCTGTAGGTTCTTCTTCTATGTCAGTATTTTTTGTTAGCTTTACTGAATTTTTATCTCCATTACTTGCAGGAAGTGGCTGCTTCTCTGGTTTCTCAGCAGATAAGTCACCAGTTTCTAGTGTATTTTGAACTTCATTAGGAAGTGGTGTGATTTTAAACTGTGGCCTGGGTGGGACAGGAGGTTTACTTGTCTGTTTGTTTGTTTGGTGGGTTGCATCTATATTTTCAGAACTTTTTTGTACCACTTGTTTGGCTGCCTCTCTGAAAAGTGCCTTTCCAGTTGCCTGAGGACTTCCAAAATGTCCCTTGCGGCTTGGTAGCGGTGATACAGTTCCAGGTGGTTTTGCTGTAGATGACACTGTGGTATGCTTGGGGCTGGTTGAAGAATCATCTCCGGGTTCATATGACTTTAATTCATTTGCCAAATCCTCAAATTGTAAATCTAGTTCTTTGTTTTCTAGATCTGCTGATGTCTCCTCATCTGGAAACACTGAGTTTACAAATGGTGCAAGACTATCTTGCGGTACTGAATTCTGTTGGTTATAGCCAACAGGCCTCTCATAATGTACGATGACTCTGTCACCAGCCTGTCTGATGAGCTTTAGCACTTGTATTGTTGATGTAATTTTCACTCCTGTCAAAAAAGAGAAAAAAATCCAAGAATCAACAGTAATGAAAAAAAAATATATAGCTGACTTTATAAAACATTCATGCCCTGTTTCAATGAGGACAATGGTCATACCAAACACCAGATTCTGCTGACTGGGAACTGTGTGCACAGAAAGGGCCCGACACATGGAGATCTTGGCAGCACTTTGACCGGAATATCTTGTTTCCATGATGAACAAGACAATCAGATTTGACAGCATACATGTGAAATGGAACTCTGGCCCCTCCTAGTGGTAGGGTGGTAGGCACCTGAATTCAGTTCCTTACTGATCCTAAAGGGGATTGGTACCATCAAACATGGCAGCGTGAAACACTTTGTTCAGTAGCTAACCATGTCAACCATTCCTGATTCAAGGAAGAAGACACAAGATATTAACACAAACCGGAGCCATGGAGAATATTTTCATTATTGTCACTCCAACTGATGATGAAGAAATAAATATGAACTTACAGAAGTAAGTTGCTAATATACCAGAATACCACATATAGAAAAATGTTCAGGAATCTGTTTCGTGAACTCCGAATTACTGGATATTGTTGCACAAGAACCCAAAATACTTCCTCAATTTCAGAATGGTTGGTGCCTAATCATGTGATATGGGCCAAATTATTTATATATTTTTCAGGTCTCTAGGTAATAATTTATCAATAATTATTGTTGCATCAGCCCATAGTGCCTGCAAAAACCATGATCCATGTTTAGGTACAGCTGGAATCTACGCACAGGCAATAGCCAGGGAAGTGAAACTGCGAAGCAACAGCTGCTGGGGAAAAAACCACCCTGTAGTTCTGCCAGGTAAGAAACATTGTGATACCATCTAGAAGATTTTAACAAAAGGTGGTTTCAGATGAACCCCATTCACATTTAAAATATCCAAGAGGGTGATGTGCTATACCTCTAATGTACCTTCCAACCTTCTAGAATGGTGCTGGGGTAAAATCTGCCTTCCCCACCCCCCTGCCACATGAGTGAAGTCTAGGTTCAAGGTCACCCTTTGCCAAATGCAAATTTGAATCTGCATTATCCACACATACTCTAGCAGCTGCATCACACTGGTACACTACATACCAGGAACAGTGTCAGTGCCTTTTGCTTTTGATTTGCAGGCACTGGGGTAGGTAAATTTCTTTCCAACACAGCAATTCCACGGGTCCATCAAGGAGGGGTGGGGACTGAAATTAGTGGACCCTCAGATTCCAAAGTTCTATTGGGTGTGAAGTGGCAGGGCAGAAGGAAGGAAGGGAGCAGCGCCCCCCCCCGTCTTTCCTTCTGGTTCCTCCACCTTTTTTATGATCCCTCCCCTACTGTTTTTGAATGGTGGGGGGCAGGCGAGAAATGTCATGTCCAGGACTGGCATAGTTTGTTCCATACTTCAGTTGTGAGCTGGAGAATGGGAGGGCTTCCTCTGGCACATTTTCCTTGCCCCCCTTATGTCTCTACTGACCAGGGGTGCCAACTTGAATAAAATATTGGGAGGGCCCAGGTAAGCTCCACCCCACTTAATCAATCACATGACGCAGTGCACGCACACCATTTGAATGGCAAAACCCCCTCGGCCCCTCTAGGAGCTGGCTCCTATACTACTGACATCTGCAATGCAAGGGTGCTATAGTTTCATAATGGTTAGGAGACAGCTCACAAGATCAATCTCACTCACCCAAGAGTGGGCCTCTCTCTTTTTCTCTACCCGGGAAAGAGATTCTCTAAACATCCTCTAGGATCCCATCTCAGGGATCATAGGATTGAAGTGTAAATAAACTTTAAAAAAAATGTATTCATGAAAAAGAAAAACACAATTGCACGTAAACAAAGAAATGTCTAATGAGTGGAGAAAACATGCCTGAATAGGAACAATTTAAATGTGTTTATATTGATCTTCAGATGCTTTCAGTGCAATTATGGAAGTCAGGTGTTAAGGAAGCTTTAAATCTACAGTAATGCATTACAGCAAGTAACAGCAAGAGGCACAAAAACACAGTTTTGGATTAGAACAAACTGTAGGTGTAACCTAGAACCACAGAACTGAAAAAAGATTTTACTGTGTCTGTTTTTCCAAGGGTAGGTAAAACTAACAGCTTAGGGCTGACAGGATTGGAACCTCATACACAGGCAGGCTTGGAACTGGGAAGAGGTTTTACGATGTCAAAACAAAACAAAAACCTGAGGGAAAGAAAGCCAAGAAGAGTTTGGATTTGATATCCTGCTTTATCACTACCCTAAGGAGTCTCAAAGCGGCTAACAATCTCCTTTTCCCTTCCTCCCCCACAACAAACACTCTGTGGGGTGAGTGAGGTTGAGAGAGAGAGAAGAGTGACTAGCCCAAGGTCACCCAGCAGCTGCATGTGGGACGCGAACCCGGTTCACCAGATTACAAGTCCACCGCTCTTAACCACAACAGCACACTGGCTCTAGGAGGGTGAAGCAGCAGGACAAAGTATGGATTGAAATGAGCCCAAAGAAAATGTAGAGAGAGAGTAGGGCTTGAGGAAAAGGAGTTACAACTGGAAAAGAAAGCAAGAAGAGCTTATAAATAAACCTCAGGTCACTTAAGTACAGGACAGGAGTGAACAACAACAACAATATGCTATGTGTGGAAGAAGGGACTAGTATAGTATTAGGGAAGCTGGTCCAGAGAGGATAGCTAAAGATGGATCTGACACAGTTTTATCCAAGTTGTTTTACTACTTACCTCCAATAGCTATAAGCCTATCCCCTCTCTGAAGATCAGCAGCTGCTGCAGCTGAGTTTGGTGTGATAGTTTCAATGACAACATGCCCTGTTTCACCTTCCTTAACTTGTATTTGGCGAAGAGTGAGTCCAACACTTGGTGAATTTCCTTTTATTAGTTCTGCCTGGGAAGAAATAAATTGTAAAATGAAATGACATTTAATCTGGTATCTAATAAAGATTTAATGCATAAGGTTGCTATGTTTTCTCTAGACAAATCTGTCTTACAAAATGTGGTATGTTTAAAACAGGACTGATCAATAATGAACAATGTCATTTTCTATCCATGTTTGCAAAAATGAATGTTTTTTATCAAATAAAGTTGAATATAAGCATGTTACGTGAACTATAGCATACTCCAACTCAGCAGAACACTATGTGATCAATGACTTTAATCAAGCCAGTTAACAGAAAAAGAAAACCAAATTAAGATCAGCTCTACAGATATCATATGCTGTATTCAAAACCATGTGGCAAACAATTTGCTTCTTTCAGTACAAGTAGTGCTCAGGGTCTCAAGCAGAAGTTAATCTGAAATGCTGCAAATCAACATATTTTGCATTCAAAAATCTTATTTTACTAAAGATGAAGTGATTTGAAATCACAGAGCATTTATTGCTGTAAGGGATAAACTAAGCTCAAACTATTTCCCATTTCCTTTTTTCAAAAAACATCATATGGGCATCAGGTAAATACATCTGTCTCCCTTCTCAGAGGAACAGTAAGTTTTTTCCAGGTACAGTCTGAAGCAAACAAAAAGCCTGCAAAACCAGGGACAGAAAAACTTATACATTTATGATGGACACTGACAGGTGGGAACACCCAGGTTAACTCATTTAAGAGAAATCACTTAGAAGTGTACCTGCACATTTTGCTTCATAACTACTTTTCTAGGACTACTTTTTAAAAATAAATAAAAGCTCAGTGTCTGGGCATGCCAATGAAGGCATTTGTGGGTATGATGGCACCTGGCAGCCCCCAACAGACATCTAAAACTGATTTATTAACAATATGAAACACATACCAATAAAATCGCAACAGCAGCTGCAAAATGAGGCTCTCTCAACAGAAGTTATAGAAGTCATAGAGCTGGAAGGGACCCCAAGAAATCATCTAGTCCAATAGCCTGCAATGAGGAATCCTGCCCACAGCTGTCATTGGGTGGACCTGAACCACTAACCTTCTGGTTAAAAGCCAGATGCACTGACCCGTTCAGCCACCTGGCACCACCACCCCTCCCCAAAGGCTTGGGCAAAAAGGTACATATTTTTTCCTGCTGACGAAACAAAAAAACATGCTGGAGTGTGACACACCTCAGAGGGGAGTTCATTCAACAGGTGTGGAGCCCCCACAAGGAAAAACCTTTCATGGGCCCCTACACCATGGACCTCATTAAGTGCAGTTATTACCCAGATTCCTCTAAGCAAGGGTTACAACTCCTTACTGTGGTCGTGTGGCTGCAATGGTGGCTTTTGCAGAGATCTTGGGAGAGTTCTGTGAGATCTTGCTGGAAGCTGCCATTGCATGACCCTAGTAAGCAGAGCTTTGGCAGGGGTGGAAGGGTGGGGGACACCTCAGGCAACACAAGAGAACAGGCCATCCCTGGCATATGTTTTGCATGCAGAGGGGTCAATCCCTGCCATCTAGTAAAGGAAAGCAATTAGTGGAGCTAGAAAAGTTAAACTGCCTGAGAAGTTGGAGAGCCACTGACAGTTTGAGTAATACAGGGCTAGATGGACCAACGTCTGACAACTTCATATGTACAAATGCTCATATTTTCCCAACTTAGAAAACATTCTCTACTGTTAGAATATATGATTTATATAAAAGGGGGCTTTTCTGGGCATACTTGTAATAGCTTATGTTTACCTTCGAATTGCAAAGCAGTAATTTTTCAGAACACTCAGAAATAACCAGTTTCTGTGACATGCAAGACGCAATCTCTTTAGCGATTAGCATGAATTGCCCAGGTATTCCAAGCAATGGCAATTATGGAAGCAGCAGATACAAACAACTACAACAGGGTAACCAGCATTTAGGAGGACAATGTCTGCACCATGTAAAAAGGAAGCCATTGGTTTTACATGCAATTCTGTTCCTCTTCTAAAGAAAGCAATTTAGAAAAAGATGCTAGTGTAACTCATGCTGAATGGTTATTACTCATTGACTTTTAGTTCTTGCTAAATGCAGTTGTGATGTTCTCTCAGTCCTGAAAAAATGGAAAACAATTGATTTTTCATATTTCAATTCTGACAGCCACGGATAGAAAAGATTCCTCTAATATAGCACTTGAGCATGGATCAGTTATTGCAAAATGTTGTACAATCTCACATTAACTGACTCATAAAGTCAATTTTCAAATACTGCAAGAAGAGCTGGGGGGGGGGGGAGAGAATCAAGAGGGTTTGGGGGCCAGAAATGAGTCCCAATCTCTCCACGCCATCAGCACTGCCTTTAGAAATCGCAGTTGACTTGGCAGAATAGCTGGGATTAAAATGTCTATTCTTCCAAATTTTTCATATTTTTTCCAGGTTTTGCCCATCCATATTTCCTCCTCTTTTCTTAAAAAAATGGCAATGACAGCTAATTCTATTTCTATGAATAGAAATTCTAATTCTATTCATCTAGTGGGAAAATATAGAATAAATTATAAAACATTATTTAGGCATAGATCTAAGGGAGGTCTCAGAATGCCCAATCTAGGACTCTATTATGCAGCATTTCAAATTAAATCTCTGATCCCCTTGATTAGAGGACAATATGACATTCCATTGGTGCAGACCAAGGCCCCTCCCTCTTCACCATCAGTAAGGGCATTTCATTTCCAAAAACTGTCCCAGGCTGAGTAGAGCAAGATTCAAAACTATTTCGCTTTTCAGTGCATAGCTCTAGCACAAGGTGCAAGCTAGCTCTTCTGTAAGCAGAATATACGTAACATAAAAAGAACATCTTAGGATAGCACCCCTTGTCTATGGTTTCCTAAGTACCAATAGTCTCTTCTGCTTTTCCATTTCTTTTTCCTGAGCTATAAAATGTTTCTACCTCTTTGTGTTTATTTCCCCCCAAGGACTATTGTTCAACATTACACTGTGCTGTATTTTTCACTTTTCAACAGCAGCTGACTAAACCAAATTTCAGTGTATCTCAGGGAAGCAGAATGACCCCAACAGTGCCATGTGCTGTGTGTCAGGAATGCTTTCATGTGCTTCCCTGTAACTGCTTTTGTTTGAAAAACCATCTAGGATTTTTTTACCCCAATATTATAATTCTTAAGCTGAAACTAAGATAATAACATAGGTAATTTGGGGGGAGGGGGATGTTTTACTATCCCAAGTGAAATTCTAATATGCATCTGGTAAGTAAAATGTTCCAAAACAAAAGCAATGTGTTTTCTATCAGAAGAAGGGCACTTATCTGCTTCCTTGGGTTGATTTTTGTTTTAAAAACTGCATGGTACATTTGTTACTCCAATATGCTAACAGTGGCTGAGACAGAAAAAGCACCTCAGTGGCAGAAATCAATAGATTTCACAGGTTTTTGTTGTTGCTGACAGAAATAAAACTTAAAGGTTGAAATTTGGGAGTACCCTGGGTAGGTGACAACTGTGCAGATGATGATATATCAAGAGGGACTACTTAGGTGTAAAGAAAAGTATCAGTGGGGTAAATTTTAACCACAATTGGAGGGAAGAAGGTTTTTAAATAAACTAATTGTTTGACTGGCAATTTTATACTATAATTATCATTTTATTTAAATTTTTTTGTGAACTGCTTTGAGCACAATGTATTTGTGAAACATATCAGTATTATTTGCACAGTATATCATGACTATTATTCCTCTGCATGTAGTAATTTGACATTTCATCTCTATATATGCAGCTGAAAACTGTCTGTGCTTTTAATACTTTTTTAAAAATGATATTTTCTGTGAGCCTTTCAAAGAGTAGAATATTCAGGAAATTCTGCAAGGACTGAAGTCCTAGAGACAGAAAGAATGCTACATTTTTGCCCTTTTTGTTCCTATTTGCAAACAAAGGGATCTATGTTACCTTATCATTTTAAGATCACGCAGTTCTGTCAATTACCATAATACATCAATAAGGCAGTTTTATTTCCTACTGAGGAAATTTGTTAGCTTTCAAATGTCAGCAGAAAATCATGAAGAGTAAACCTATGTTTTCATCACTGAACTCTGGTGGCTCATATCCTTTGACCTATATACTTTAATATCCTCTAAACACGAGTGTGGTAAAATAATTAAAAGTGAAAAGATTCTACAGTATGATGGCATTTAAATGATTTGATAGCTTGGAAAAGTAAAGATGGAATTATGTTTCTATGTCATTAAATCAACCAATATTGTTTTGAGTTTTATTGTACAAAAATAAGTTTAATTTATGGATTGTTTAAATGCCACTTTCCCTTCAAGGATGATTAAATGCTTTAGCACAGAAGTAAAAATAAGGAGACAGCAATGTAAAGAAAACAAACATTTTTGGACAGTCATATGCCCTAACACCTACCACTTGACAGGGGCAGAGAACAGACCCAACACTGGCCTGATTTGCACAATAACAGTAAACAATGGTTTAATAAAGCACAAGTTGTCCCACAGAAGTTCAAACAAACCATGGCTTGTTTCTCCAAAGTTTGATATGTTTCTCTTTTGCCCTGTGCCTTTCTGGTTTGGTAAGCACCTGATATGGGGTGGCTGAACAAACCATGGCTAAGGAGGTGTGGCAGGTTTGCAGGTTAACACAGTCATAGTTAAACTAAGGTTCACAAGTCAACAATAAGCTTCTGATCATGTTTTTTGACATAAAAAAATCTCAGTAGTGTACAGGGTTCACCCATAATAAATAATTTATTAACATATGTGAACCAGACCACATCAGTGTACTTCAAAAACCCTTTGATAGGAAGAAATATGACTGGAAATGTCACTCTCAGTATTATTAGTTTGTAACACAATTGGCCAGATTCAACTAAATAGCTGTGCTAGCAGAAGCCAACACAAGAAGTCCAGCTGGTACAACAAGGCTTTCCCTTGACACCTTCCCCTTTGTGCCCCATCAGCTATAGGGGGTCAGGAGAGTCCCCAGAACAGCATGTGGCGGGAGGACAGGAGAGATCATTCTGTCATGTAAGTCATGCGAAGGTGATAGCTATGCCAGCACAATAATTCTTGTGCTGGCATAACTGACTCTTCTTAGTGCTACTTTGAATTCCACCATGGTATTTTTTTTTTATTGCTTTTGGTAGGTTATCTCTTGTGCCTTTCCCCTCTTCCTCCCCATAATTCATATTTGGGCTTAAGGCTTTATTAAATTTTGAACATTCTCTCCTAAAAGATCATACACTCCCTTTGCCAGGTATATGGAAGATGGCCAATGTAAAGCCAAGTTTTAAATACACCCAGAGAAGATCCAGAAAACTCAGATCTGTCAACCTAGTTTCTGTCTCAGAAATGCAAACTGGAAGAAAGCGCCTATTAACAATTAAACATTCAGAAAGCATCAGTTTAGCATGTTTAAAAGGGAAGTCATTCCTCAGTAGCTTTCTGGAGTATCACCAAATATGAAGATAAGGACAACCTGGTGAAATGAATTCCAAACCTTTTAGAAAGGAATCCCCTATCAAAGGCTTCTAAAAAATATGGTTATCATGCAGTAAGAAGGAAGGTCCTCTTATATAGACTGGCAACGAGCTAGAAGGAAACAAGCAAAAGTAGGAGTAAATGGCCGTTTTTTTTATATATATATAAAGGAAGATTAAAAGAGTAGGCTCTCCTCCGAGAACTGAGATCATTACTATCATAGAACATCTTTCTAGTAACAATGAGAGGAAATGCTCGGTAAGGCAATATATTTGTTGCTTGATACTGAGCTTGTTCCAGTAACTTGCAAAAATATGTTTTTGGGCAGAAGAGGCTGGTTTGCACATAACGTTAAACCATAGTTTAGAACTATATACATGATCTAGAATAAGCCTGAGCAAAGTCTTGGCCTCATGTACTCTGTCCCCCCTCCCCCCAACTCACCCTGTACAGCTGGGAATAGAACTGGCATGTTTACATTCAATTTCCATGAATCCTGGGCTTCTTATTAAACACAAATCAGGGGCAATGGTTTAAGGTTAAATTAAACAAGTCAGCTTCACAATCCATGGCTTGAAGTTGGCTTGTTCTGAAACTTAAAGCGTTTGTTTTATGCCATAACTGACAAGCCAGTATTTGTAGAAATTTGTAGTCTACATGCCAGAAGTCCTTTTCTTGGTCATATGGGAGGAGGTGAGGTAGCATATTAATCTGAGGCTTCACTCTGCTCATTCTAGTTTGTTCATGTAGTCATAAAACATGTTTAATGTGTCCAAAGAGAAACAACAACAACTATGATATCAGCACTTGGCTTCAGAAGGAACGGATTCTAAACAAGGCTGCAGGAGCTATGAACCAGAACACCAAGAATGACAATTGGCCCTTGAACCATTTCATCTTTGCCTCTCTTTTAGATATGTACTTGCAGGGCCAAGGACAGATGACTGTTTTGCAACGTTTCCAAGGACTACCTGAATGAAGTGTGCAGACCATATTTTGAGAAACTCTGGTTTGAACATAAGCCAGGACTCCCAAGTAAATCACACACATACACAGACACAATGTTAACTAGTTTACGCTGGAACCTTGTAACCAGGCAGCAACATTTCTGTATAATATATCACATATGCTTTAGAAAGTCATTTGAAACTAAGCACATTACTTGGAAACCATCATGTTTAGTTGGGTCAAGAAAACAAACATTGTTATCACTCTTACAAACAGGCCATATTGTTTACACAAATAATTAGCTTTCATGCTGAGTCCACCTTTATAGCTGAAATCACTTGTCACTGTAAATCAATTTCAAATGAGAAACATGGCTGTCTGCAAGTAATACTGAAAACTCTGCCTTGTGTCCAATATTTATATAAGCAATAGAACAGATTACCATGAGAATACAAAATGGATTGTCAGCACAGTGCATCTGTGAAAAATAAATACTCCTCTTTGTTTCTTTTAGGATTTGTAGCTGCTTAAAGAAAATAAACCAAGTTAAGTTTATACCCTAGGATAACATATTCCTTTACAAAACATGTGTTACAGTGCACTGAACCATCATTAACACCTAAGCCATCCAAACAATAATTAATTAACTAATTAATAATAGTAAACCTGCTGTTTCAAGAACAGAGTTAAGAACGGGGAAATTGTAACATAAAACAGGACCGGGAACACCTTGACTTTTCCTCATCCAAAGTAGCCAAGTTCAGCTAAAAAAACCACACCTTGGTGCATTCACAGTATGTACAAAATTATGTCCTTTATTTATTGGAAGGATCTTGGAGCGAAAGGACAGATATCATATGACTGCAGACATTATTATAATAATATGCACATCAGGGTAATGTTTGCAACTGTTGCCAGGAAAGAGAAGATAAAGGAAAGCTATTTCAACAGAATATAACAACTTTAAATCAAGGCAGTTACTAAATAAGCCAAATAGTTAATGCTCAACATGAGAAAGCAGACAGCTTTCCATTTTACATGCAATATGGATTACAGAAAGTTATGCAAGTCTCAAAATTATCCCCCGTTGTATTTTCAAATGCTAAGTTTTACAAGACTTGGTATTTTCATAAAAAGTGACATTTTCAAAAATGGAAGGTTTTTTATTTGTTTTTTTGCCTTAATCTCAGTTCTTTCCTTTGACAGGATTAAAGACTGAAATGGCAGACTTCAGTAAGCTCACTAAAATACTATTACTGAGAGACATTTGACTGAGTCTATTTACACTATTATTTCACAACTACTTCAAGTTTACCAAGTAGTTGAAAAAATGGCATTTTATTAGAGTATGTATCATGCCACATCTACTGCAATTTCTTGCAATGGGGAAAAAAAACTAAAGGAGGACCCAATAAGGTTACATATTTTGATATGTTTATTACATTGGGTGTCATGAAAATCCAGCTCAAGCCAACAACAGAGTTCCTTGTAGTCATCTACCAGTGAAGTAGCAGCATAATGGACCCCAGTTGTGTTCTCTAGCCATTAATGCTAATAACCCTCTAGGAATGCCATCAATTTTGGTACCCTCCATTGTTGGCCATTTACTGGATGACATTAATTCAACCATATGATTAAGTTGGCTTGTTTTATAATAGCTACTTAAATTCAGAATGCCTCATCTGCCAACCAATAGGTAGAGATATAGTAAGACTGTTTTCTTTAACCCAGTTGGCACATAATGCTAAACTATGTTTCAGCATTATGAGAGAAAGCAGTATGAGGAGCTTGTGCACTCCTTCCTCCTCCTCCTCTAAAGTGACCAACTGAAGATCAGAAGCATCTACTTCTGTTTAAGATTAGCTACAGTTTGGCTTTGTTGAAACCTTAAAACGTGACTAACCTTAACTATGTTTAGCATAAGCAAGTCAGCTGCATAGCCCAGGGTTTAAAGATGGCTTGTTTCTACTAACCATAGTTAAGGCCAGTGCTTTTTTTCAGGGGGGATGTAAGGGTATGCAGTACTGGCACCTCTCTTTTTTGGTTAAAAAGTGTGGCACTTACTCTAACAACTTCATGGTGAGCACTGGCACCTATTTTTATGGGGGGGGGACAGTGGTTAAGGCTAAGCATGACCAATTGCATTTAGTCTAAAATGGAAGCAAAACCATCTCTTCAGAGCAGTGCGAGAAAGGAGAGCAGATAGCAGGCAAACCCAAGGTTTACTATGGTTCATTCTGTTAATGCTAAAACATGGTTTGGTATTCAATGAAAATGCAGTCTTTGTTAATCGGAAGACTCAACAATTTGTTTGTTTGGAAAAAAGACTAACACTAGTTTAATTTTCCAGGTTTCAGTTTTAACAAATAGTTTGTTCAATGTCACTTAATGGAGAACATCTAAAGTCTAAAGGAAAGTCCTGCCTTACTTCATATCCAACTACTGATTAAAATGAATCTAGTAATGGAAAATTTCCAACTACAACAACTACTGTATATTCCACAGCCAACAACATATGAAAAGGGTTGTAGCTTGGTACAGTGGTGCCTCGCAAGACGAAAAGAATCCGTTCTGGGAGTCTCTTCGTCTAGCGGTTTTTTCGTCTTGCGAAGCAAGCCCATTGATGGGATTAGCGGATTAGCGCTATTAGCGCTATTAGCGGCTTTTAGCAGCTTATCAGCTTATCGGATAAGCAGATAAGCGGCTTAGCGACTTAGAAAAAGAGGGGGAAAAGGAAAAAAAAAACCCAGGAACTCGCTAGACATTTTCGTCTTGCGAAGCAAGCCCATAGCAGATTCGTTTTGCGAGGCACCTCCAAAACGGAAAACTCTTTCGTCTAGCGAGTTTTCCGTCTTGCGAGGCATTCGTCTTGCGGGGCACCACTGTAATAGGTTATGTGCATTGCATGGGAAAGGTCCAAGGCTCAGTTCCTGTCATCTCTAGGTAGGGTTAGGCAAGACTCTGGTCTGAAACCCTGTAGCTGCTGCCCATCAGTGTAAATACCAAGCTGGATAACTTGGTGTAAGGCAGCTTCATAAGTTCACCTACCGTATTAATCTCAACTTTGAACTGGATAAATAAATCCAGAAATCCCATACGTACTGACCTCTCATATACAATATTTTATCTGAAGTATTTAACTTTTGCAGAGTTGCATAATAGTATTGATTCTACATGCAGTTTCACTATTACCATGCCCACACTATCTCAACAGCATCCATGTGCAACCACAACTATTTCCCATTAATACGTTTGTACATTTGGGTTCTCCATGTAATGGTTTATTTGCAATGTTAGCATATTAGGGGCAATGTGGAAAATTGCAGCCCATGCACCATATAAATTTGCTTGAAACAGATCCATCTTCCATTGTAAGTGACATTTGAAGTAATGTACTAGACAGGTTTAATAACCTAGAATCTTTGTTCAAAATCAATTATACACCAATATGTAAAGGGACATGATTTGATTAAAGCCTCACTATTTTTAGTTATTGTGCATCAAGCTGTCTAATTTATCGTCATTGCTTACATAACAAAAGTATGAAAGCAAGACCTAAGGTGGGTATTTTGCAAGTGGAAATAATTATAGAGGGCAATTTATAGTAAGAAAAAATTTATTGTAAGTTTTGTCAACTGCCCATGAACAAATTTAGCTCTTTCTTTAAACTTGCAAAACAAGAAATTGTTTGAAAATATCCAGACTTATGACATTTTAATTCCCTATACTGTGATTTTGTTTCTAGGTCACAAAGGACCATTATTCACATGCTAATCCATTACAATTCATTTATTTCAGTGGGATCAATTTCTACATAAGCGTTTATAGGTGTACATTTCAAAAAATAGTAGTGGTATGGGGAAATCAGAATGTTCCTCATTACAATGGAGGTTGTAATGATTGAACCAAGGATCTTTGATTTACAAAGCATGTGCTCTGCCATGGAGCTATGCCGCCCATCCTCGCCATTCAAATATTACTTTTGAATGGAAGGGCTGTGGCTTCATCTGATCCTGTGGATAGTCTGTGTAAGATATCCTACCTCTCTCTACAGCGTTGTCACTGGCTTTGCCACCACAGATAAGGCTCCTTTCTCGTGTTGCCACCCTCGCAGCACACAAAGAAGGGGCCTCAGATGATGATCACTGGGTCTTGGTCAGTTCATATGGGGAGAGGCGGTCCTTCAGGTATTGCAATCCTGAGCCATTTAAGGCTTTATAGGTGAAAACCAGCACTTTCACCGGGACACAAAACTACAGTGGTGCCCCGCAAGATGAACGCCTCGCAAGACGAAAAACTCGCAAGACGAAAGGTTTCTTCGTTTTCGAGTTGCTTCGCAAGACGAATGTCCCTATGGGCTTGCTTCGCAAGACGAAAACGTCTTGCAAGTTTGTTTCCTTTTTCGTAAAACCGTTAAAACCCAGGGTGCATTGCTGGAAGAGGTGCAGTTGCGACTTGACCTCGAGGAGCAACACATTGCACGCGGTGTGGTGGCCTTTCTGAGCTTTTTAAAGAGTTTGCTGGATTTTTGAAGCTTTTCCAAAACTTCTTCTGCAGCTGTTTGGTAAGTTAAACTTTTGAAACTTTTTTGGGTTTTTTGGATTTTGGGTTGGGGTGTTTAGAATTCAAGGACTTGGTGTTGGGGAGGGGTTTGCAAGAATCTGGGAGCTTGTGTGGTTTTTTTCTGCATTTTTATGATTTTCTGTGACCATTGGGTCATGTTTATTTTTTTTTTTAAAAAAAATCTGGCTTTGAATTTTTGAATTTCTGTGTGCTGGGTGGATGGGGGAACAGCTGGGGAGGTGTTTGCAAGAATCTGGGAGCTTGTGTGGTTTTTTTTGAATTTTTATGATTTTTTTTGTGACCATTGGGCCATGTTGTTTTTTTTTGAAAAAAATTTCTGGGTTTTAAATTTCTGTGTGCTGGGTGGCTGGGGGAACAGCTGGGGAGGGGTTTGCAAGAATCTGGGAGCTTGTGTGGGTTTTTTTGAATTTTTATGATTTTTTGTGACCATTGGGCCATGTTGTTTTTTTTTGAAAAAAAATTCTGGGTTTTAAATTTCTGTGTGCTGGGTGGCTGGGGGAACAGCTGGGGAGGGGTTTGCAGGAATCTGGGAGCTTGTGTGCTTTTTTTTGAATTTTTATGGTTTTCTGTAACCATTGGGCCATGTTGTATTATTTTGAAAAATTTTCTGGGTTTTGAATTTCTGTGTGCTGGGTGGCTGGGGGAACAGTTGAGGAGGGGTTTGCAACAGTTGGGGAGGGGTTTGCAACAGTTGGGGAGGGGCTGGGGGAACAGTTGAGGTTTTTGAAGACTTTGGTGATTTTTAAAGCTTTCCCAAAACTTCTTTTGCAGCCATTTGAGGATTTTGAAGACTTTGGTGATTTGCAGCCATTTCGTAAGTTAAACTTTTAAAACTTTTTTGGGGTTTTTGGATTTTGGGTTGGGTGTTTGGAATTCAAGGACTTGGTTCTGGGTTTGAATTGCTGATTTTTTTTTTCTTTTTCTGAGTTTACAAAGGTAACAGCTGTGCTGCCATGGGACCCAAGAAGGCTGCTGCTGCGGAGGCCGGCGAGAGGAAGAAGGAGAAGGTGACGCTGGAGATGAAGAAGGAGATCATCCGGAAGCACGACGGTGGAATGCGTGTGACGGACCTCGCCAGGGAGTATGGCAGGAACCCATCGACCATCGAGACCATCCTGAAGATGAGAGAGAAGATCCTTGCGACTGATGCAGCCAAGGGAGTCACCAGGATCGTGAAGAACCGCCCAGCTGTTCTGGAGGAGGTCGAGAAGTTGCTGCTCATCTGGTTAGAAGAGAAGCAGCGTGCAGGGGACACAGTGACTGAGGCCGTCATTTGTGAGAAGGCCAAGGCCTTGCACGCAGACCTCATCCGGGAACAGCCAGGAACCTCGGCCGAGCCAGAAGTCTTCAAGGCAAGCAGAGGCTGGTTTGACCGGTTCAAGGCAAGATCCGGAATCCACAGCGTGGTCAGGCATGGAGAGGCTGCCAGTTCTGATGTTCCTGCGGCTGAAGACTTTGCCTTGGAGTTCCTGGAGGTTGTGAAGACGGAGGGCTACGCTCCACAGCAGGTCTTCAACTGCGACGAGACCGGGCTGTTTTGGAAGAGGATGCCCAAAAGGACTTTCCTCACACAGGAGGAGGCCAAGTTGCCTGGCCACAAGCCCATGAAGGACCGTCTGACCCTGCTCTTCTGTGCCAACGCAAGCGGCGACCTGAAGATCAAGCCCCTGCTGGTGTACCACTCGGAGAACCCACGGGCCTTCAAGAAACACAAGGTCGACAAGGAGCGGCTGAGTGTCATGTGGCGATCCAACAGCAAGGCTTGGGTCACACGTGTGCTGTTTGTGGACTGGGTCAATCTTGCCTTTGGCCCTGCTGTCAAACAGTACCTGCTGGACAACGACCTGCCGCTGAAGGCTTTGCTTCTGATGGACAATGCTCCTGCTCATCCTAAAGGCCTTGAGGTGGACTTGTTGGAGGAGTTCAGCTTCATCAACATCATGTTCCTGCCGCCTAACACCACGCCACTGCTCCAGCCGATGGATCAGCAGGTCATCGCCAATTTCAAGAAACTCTACACCAAGGAGCTTTTCAGGCGATGCTTCGAGGTGACTGATTGCACCACCATCACCCTGCGGGAATTCTGGAAGGACCACTTCGACATCGTCACCTGCTTGAAGATGATCACCACGGCCTGGAAGGGGATCAGCCAGAGGAATTTGAATTGCGCTTGGCGCAGCCTGTGGCCGGACTGTGTGGCACCAAGTGACTCTGATGCACCAGAGTCGACAGTGGTGCAGGACATTGTTGCCTTGGGGAGGACCATGGGCCTGGAGGTCACAGAGGAGGACGTCTGCGAGCTGGTGGAGGAGCACGACCACGAGCTGACCACCCAGGAGCTGGTTGAACTGCAGTCAGAGGTTGCGCAGGAGCAGGCCTCGCTGGAAGAGGAGGAAGCAACTGAGGAACGGCTGTCCTCCAAAGAACTGAGGGACATTTGCCAGAAGTGGAAGGAGGTGCAGGCTTTTGCAGAGCGGCACCACCCTGACAAGCACGTGGCACATGACCAAGCGAACATTTTTGATACGACGGTCATGTTGCCTCTCAGGGAGCTGCTGAAAAGGCGGATGAAGCAGCAGACCATGGACAGGTTCCTCAGCAAGAAGCAAAGAGTGGAAGAGGAACCTTCTTCGAGTGGTCCCCAGAGTCTTAGAAAATGTAATGTACCCTTTTTGATTTTTAAATGTTGTTCCTGTCATGTTTAGAAACTTAATTTATTGTTCCTTCAAGTTTTGAGATGCTCTTTAAAGTATGTGTGACTTTAAAGAGCAGTTAATAAACTCTTGTTGTACCAAATTTGGCTTTGTTTGGACTTTTTTTGACCATAGGAACGCATTAATTGAATTTCAATGCATTCCTATGGGAAACCGTGCTTCGCAAGACGAAAAATTCGCTAGACGAAAAAACTCGCGGAACAAATTAATTTCGTCTTGCGAGGCACCACTGTAATTGTCGAGCCAGGATCAGTGTAATATGCTCAAACTGTCTTGCCCCAGTGAGCAACCTGGCCGCCAAACTGCACCACCTGAAGTTTCCAAACCATCTTCAGAGGCAGCCCCACCTATGATGCGTTCCAGTAATGTAAACTAGAGGTTACCATAGCATAGACAACAGAAATTAGGCTATATCTGCCCAGACAGGAGCGCAGCTGGGCCACCAGGCGAAGCTGTTGGAAGGTGCTCCATGCCACTAAGGCCACCTGAGCCTCAAGTGACAGCAAAGGATCCAGGCGTACCCCCAAGCTACATACCAACTCCTTCAAAGGGAGTGTAACCCCATCAAGAGCAGGCAATTTCCCATCCATCCGGTCCAGGGAACCACCCACTAACAATGCCTCTGTCATATCTGGATTGAACTTCAGTTTCTTGGCTCTCATCCAGTCCATTAACAAGGAAAGACAACAGTCTAGCAAATCCACTGCCACATCCACAAAAGTAAAGGAAAAGTAGAGCTGTGTGTCATCAGCATATTGCTGACAACATACTTTCCATGCACCACCTTCTGGACACAACCATCCAAGTAGGACCAGAGCCACTGCAAAGTGGTGCCACCCCTAACTCAGAGAGCTGCTCCAGAAGGATACCATGCCCAAATGTTATCAAAAGCCACTGAGAGGTCAAAGAGAAGTAACAAGGACACATTTCCTCTGTCTCTCTCCTGACTGATGTCACCACACATAAAATATTTCCTTAAACAGTACTCATCTAGCTTGAAGTCTCTCTTCCTTGCAAACTTAATCTTGTCCCCTGCCAACTCATGTTCCAGACTATTGTTCTGCTCGTAAAGGAGAATCTGAGTATTTTCACTAGCAGCTTGAGTAAGTTTTAAACAGGGTGGATAAAAATCAAAGTTTTTTTTAAAAAATAATAATTTAAAAATAAGTTTTTTAAAAAAATTAAATTGGATTTTTAAAATAAAATGCTTTTGGAGAAAAAATCTTTCTAAAGATAGTTTTCTATTTAAGTTACATTATAGCCCAAAGGCTATTCATCAGGAAATGAGGATTTGTTTCAAGTTTTTCATGTGTGCTAAAACTCAGTCTAAGGTGTTTTTTTAATTGTTTAACCACATCGGTTAACAAACATAGATACATATGCTATAATGTTATTGTTTTAGTTAAATAAATTGTTTAAATTGTTATTAAGGAAATGATTATTTTTCTCCTTCCAATAAAGTACAGCAGAAAAGTTGTCCAAATATAAACAATAATTTCATAATTATCTATGTATTTCTGATAGGTATAACCAAATCAGTAATTTTTTGATGTAACTGTAAAAACTACGCTGAACATTTATTATTCCAAAAATGAAACCTTCCTCTGGTTGTAAATATTAAGAGGATGCCAGCAGGGTTGAACCTTTCTGTAAAAAATGATTTAAATCAAGCCTTGCTGACTAGTGATTTAAATCGTTATTTAAATCGATTCGATTTAAATCAAATCCACCCTGGTTTTAAACATTTTTTCAATTTGAGTAATTGGTTTCTGGTATCACCATAATGTCAAGAATAAACATCTTGTAGGTTAAAACACAACACACACATCATAATCAGTTTTTAACTTCTTTTAAAACACAGTTCTCTCTTTCCTGCTGGTCTAATTCCTACTCTGCTGTCTAGTTATATGTGTAGTAATACTGCCATCTGGTGCTGAAATGTATGTAACTACTATGTATGTTAAGGGAAGAAACACATATTTACAAAGTACGCAATTGGGTTGTGGGCAGGTGGTATTTATTTGCAAAAGAAATCCTGCAGAAACCTCCAGATGTATTTAGATTGCTTCCCCTTACTGGCCCTCTGTGCAAAAAGGAGCTGATACACAGAATAGGGAGACCAATGCGACTCCCGCACTTTCACCAAGTGTTGCTTATTTCCCTTGGACTTCTGCCCACCACTAAAGATTGGGATTCAAGCACAATTGTACCTTGGAAGTCCAACAGCTTAGTTCCCGAATGTTTTGGCTCCTCAATGCCGCAAACCCAGAAGTGACTGTTCCAGTTTGCGAACTACTTTTGGAAGCTGAATGTCCGATAGGGCTAACGCTGTTTCCGATTGGCTGCAGGAGCTTTTAGAAGCCAACCAGAAGCCGCATTTTGGTTTTCAAACATTTTGGAAGTCGAACTGACTTCCGGAATGGATTCCATTTGACTTCCAAGGTATGACTGTAATTTGAAGGCCAGGGGCCCAGGGAGGAAAACAACAACTGTATATATGTACAGGAAGAGCACAAGGGCCAATCCTTATGTCCATTAGCTGGCCCAAGAATTGACAGGGGAGATTTCCATTGGGATCTACAGAAATCTCTCTCAAAGAATGTGGGGAGCGGCGTAGGTGAGTGTGTGAGGAATAGATCCTGCCCTTAATATTCTGATACACTGTATTCATAGTAATATTTCAGTGCTATTTATTTAAACAAAATTTTTGATGTAATTGGGTAAAAGGTTACATAGCTACTTCATGTGCATATTCTTAAAGGTGGAGGGGTTTCCTATTGGTCTTATCTCATGAACTTCTTAGATAGAGACAAGAAGTGAGTACTTTGTATTCAATTGTGCTTGCTTGTCAAGTTATTAAGTGAAATGAGGGGAAATATGAGCCATCACATAAAAATAATATAAAATAGCACATATATAATTTACCGTCTTGATAAAAGATCTTTCTTTTTCTTCCCAAACTTTTTCACCCAATTCAAATGTGCAATGAATAGATACTTCTCTCTCATAGGATCCAAAAATAAGTAATCTGCAACACAAGAATATCAGTAGCATTAACACAAACATATATTTTAAGCCATCATTCATTGTTTGTAATTGGTTTAACATTTGCCCATATTAAGGAACTGCTTAAAATATTAAATAACTTGAATGTATAGCTAAGCCCACATGATTCTACTTGACAAATGTAGCACAAGTAACATCAGAAGTTTTATAAAGCACTTGCCCCCTCTAGTGGGAAAGGAGGATACATGAACTTGTTCAGATGCAGTTTCTCAATTTCTCAAAAACTTAACATGCACACTGAAGTAGGCAGAAAGTTGAATCTTGCACTATTACTACATATGTAACAGTGATAAAGAATGAAGAAAATTGATCATATTTTAATTGATCAATTTTGTATTAACAGCCTAGTACTCAAGACATGCATGCTTCCATATTCTGGCATGCACACCTAACACCATCACAGAAGTGGTGTGATAGGAAGAAAAAATAATGATCATATTTAAAAGCCGGACCAGGATCTACCAGATCCCAAGTAAGTCTAACTACCATATCACAACAGCATCATGCACAGTCTACAGCCTAGAGCTGGCAAAAGGATCAGGCCCAATAGTCCTTCTCAATCCCATTGCCATGAGCTGCTGGGCTGTAGCTCTGCAAGGACTCATCAGCAAGGAGGACGGATTTGTCTTGCACACTAAAATATTAAAATACCAGCGGATAAAATGTAATTCATATACTGCTGTCTGCTATTTTGATGTTATACTTTACATTACTCTGTCAAGAGAATCATCTGTATTTCATCTGCTTGACAGCTCCTATCATCGGTTCTGTTTTTAGAATCTTTCAACAATTAAAACCTTGCAGATATCAGAGGCAGGGAGCTATTAGTATTATAAACTTGATGTTCTAAGTGCAACTGTCAACAAGTACTCTGAATATTTGTTCTGTTATAGAACCCACTAAACAAAGCTGTGCTCATAACAAAAAGCTAATCATCCCCGGCCTCCAAATCAACCACCCTTAGATTTCAGTACACCAGATCAGTAATTGCAATTGTCATGAGTTTTAAGGGTTGACAATACATTTTAAATTTGAATTGCTATCTAAAGATCTGCTTGACAGAGTTACTCATTTTTGCTCAAGAAGTGCTAAGGCAGTACTTCTATACAAATTTACATGGCAGTAAACCACACTGAACACAGCAAGCACTTGATTGCACCATTAATACTTATGCATGAAGCAGTGTTACAGTTACAGTCTATTCCTACTCCATTTAGAACACCAACAAAATGAAAAAAGGTATTCTTCATTTGAAATACATTTTCGAAGATACAAAAAAAAAAGAAGATACAAAAAAAGAAGAAGAAGAAAATGTGCTAATAGAAGCTGCGAGCAACAGCTCCTAATCGACTTTGTAATTAGCAGAGAAAAGCAAACTAATGTAAAGGAACACATATTTAGGAATTAATTTTAAATAGTGTTGGTTAACAAACTCATTTTATTTTTAAGAGCTACAGTCCCATTCCACAATCCACAAGGGAAATCCAATGGAAGACATTCAGTGAAACCAGACATGCAGAGAGTACCAAGAACATACCTTGAACATTCTATTAAGGAAACTTTCAGTCGTCCTTCAGTTAGTGAAAAATTTTGTATACTGAGATTCCAATCTCTAAATTCTTCAGGTGGCACAACTTGAAATGGAAAAAACGGCTTGAACCTAGTCAAAATATATGTATAAATAGGTTAAAAACTTTCCCCCATAGGTGAAAAAAGCATACAAAATTTACACACTGCAACGAAGAGATGAAAGGTCTGATTGTAAGAACAAAGCAACTGCGTAAGTAACACTATACAATACAGTGGTACCTCGGGTTACATATGCTTCAGGTTACATACACTTCAGATTACAGAAATAGTACCTCGGGTTAAGAACTTTTCTTCAGGATGAGAACAGAAATCGTGCTCCGGCGGCGCAGCAGCAGCAGCAGGCCCCATTAGCTAAAGTGTTGCTTCAGGTTAAGAACAGTTTCAGGTTAAGAATGGACCTCCGGAACGAATTAAGTACTTAACCCGAGGTACCACTGTATGTTGAATTGAAAATTAACATGATTTTGTCAGATTTGTTTAAGAAATATATGAAAGTTATCAATTGGAAACTTGATTTAAAACAGTCTTTTTTCTTGCCAATTTAAGTCACTGATTAAAATTAATCTACCCAGCCCCTACCCTCTTCCCAAACTTTCCCCCCATAGGTCACTTGAAAATTGCTGAGCGTCTTGTTGGACCATTTGATGTTTATTCTGTCTGTTGTAGAAATTGTAATGTGCTGTGCTAGGTGCTGTATCATTTTTAATTGTATTTTTATTACTTTTTAATTTCTTATACAGTGGTACCTCAGGTTACAGACGCTTCAGGTTACAGACGCTTCAGGTTACAGACTCTGCTAACCCACAAATAGTACCTCGGGTTAAGAAATTTGCTTCAGGATGAGAACGGAAATCGTGCTCCGGCGGCGTGGCAGCAGCAGGAGGCCCCATTAGCTAAAGTGGTGCTTCAGGTTAAGAACAGTTTCAGGTTAAGAATGGACCTACAGAACGAATTAAGTTCTTAACCCGAGGTACCACTGTATTATATTTTATTGTATTACAATTTGAATACATAGAAGTTCAAAAAACTCAAATATTAAGTGTTCTTCACAGACACACTGTGGACCACTGTTTGCCAATCCCTGCAATAAAGTATTTGCCTGACATGCGGATTGGAACTGAATGGCCATGTCCCTATCGCCAGATGTTGAGGCTGGTTTTTGTTGCAACAGCAAAAGCCACTTTTTACCCTACTGAAACTAAAGTCAGCCAGCCTATTCATGTTATAAATTAATGATTTGCAAATATCTGTTTCTTCCATCAATATATTTTGGGATCCCTAAAATATCCGTTGGGCCTGGAAGTTCCAGAGGCTCAGACAAAGTTTCCAAGTTATCCACAGAAGTTCAGTTTTTACTGAGTAACAAGTTGCATATGGCTTGCCTCCTCAAGACACCTTATTCTTTATACTCTATGGTTTGAAGTTGGCTTGTTTCAGTAATCTATCTTTAAGACTAACCACAGTTTAGTTTGGTTCAGACCCACTCTAGTCATGGTTCGGCACTAAAATTGCCCTGGTTGATGACTTATTATGAGAGAGACAGAGAGTGTGCAACCTCATTTGTCTCTCAAAAGCTTTTTGATACCACTGACCCTAAGTGTCCCTTTGGAGGTTGAGGATTGGAGGCACTGTGATATGGTGGGTGTTTTTCCAGCAGGGCTGTCTCCAGACAATAAACATTGGGGGACTACTTCTAGGTGCCTTGACAGTTAAGCAGAAGAGTCCTGCAGGGTTTTATTCTGTTCCCACTGCTGTTTAATGAAACCATGGTGAGAGCTATTGAGGAAGTATGGAGCATAGCATCACCAATATACTGATGAAACGTGACTCTATTTTTCCATAAGTCAGATGGTATAGGTGCTGGTGTGTGTGGCTTCAATGGCTAAGAGTGTCTATCAGCATTTATGGCTAGTTTGCCAGCTATGGTCATTCCTAGACCAGGATAGCCTAGCAGCCCATGCCCTAGTAACCTTCTAATTAGATTACTCTAACATGTTCTACAAGAGACTGCCCTTGAATACTTGAAAGCTGCAGCTAGTGTAAAATAGAGCTGCAAGGATTCTAAGTGGTGTTGCACTTATTGCCAAATGTTACTGGGATCAATTCAGGGTGTTTGTTAGCTTATAAGCAGGCTTGTGCAGAAGTAGAAGCAGCCGGGTACACTTGCTCTGGGCCTCAGAGGGACTAGGGACTGGCTGCTTTTTTGAGTTTATAAATTTGTTCTAACAAAATTCATGCCCTGGGCCTCAGACGTCTGCCTATAAGTCCTAAAGAACTTGGAACCCAAATACTTGAAGGAGTGCTTCTGCCTATATCAGCCTGCCTGAGCCATTGGATCTCATTGAAAGCTTAGCTCAGCAGTGATTCTAGAGAGGGCTTTCTCTGTAGTGCACACATTTATTGAACTGCCCCCTCTGAAAGGTGCATAATGTACCTTCACTACTGTAATTCTGGTGCCATCCAGACAGCGTTTTGCCAGACCTTCATAGAATACTGAACAAAACAGAATCTCTGGATGAGATCAGCCACAAGAAAAGCAATCAGTTTACTGCAGCTATACATCTCATTTTAATTGTGTAGCTGTATTAATTATTTGGAAGACTGATTTAGAATTTGTTTTATTGCTGTTTTAATGTGCAATTGTAAACTGCCCTAGGATTCTGTCACCTAATGGGCAGTATGAAATTGGGTTTTTTAAATATAACAACAACAACAACAACCACCTGTGGTTAGTTAAAAATGAAAGTGAAAGCTTCTATTCTCTTTAGAACTGAACAGGCAGTTGAGCAAGGAGTACACAAGCTGAGTTTCACCTGGGCTTGTTCATGTAATGATAAATCCAGTTTTTAACCATAGCTTATTGTTACAACCAGATGCAGCCAAGTAAATGCCAAGATAAAATTACTATAGACTTCTATCCTTCTAAGCGGAGTTCACATTAATTTGCTCACCTTTGCATACATAAAATGTTAATGGATGCAGAAACTAGCATGCTAGTATCTTAATGGATACAATACTAGCATGCTAGTATTGGAATAACTGCTGAAAAATAGTTTTCTCAACAGGAACAGCATAAAGAAATAAAATAACTCCTAACACATTCTAATCAGAACTATCTGTCAATGTTGTGCCACTGAAATTATGAGTTTATGTGTGTCCTTTCACTGACCTCTATGACAAGGGGAATATCAAATGACAGGATTGCACAACAAACCCTTATGATATCCAGAGGGACAGCTGTGTTAGACTTAAAGACTAACAAATTTTACAATGGTATCATTTTATTATGCCATTCAGAACAATTTCCTCCTTATCATGTGGGATAGTGTTTTCCGAAAAGCAAACTTGTACTGGAAATAATCAGTACAAGTTATTTTTGTTAGAAGCTAATGTTTATACACTATTACCAAGACAGTAAGTTTATAACACAGACTTCTACTATGGCCTAGCATATACAATATAACTATTGCAATACATTTTACACCCTGCAGATCTGATAACTGATCATATGGCTACATTTGCTGCAGATAAAAATTTCACCAGTGCTGCAGAACTACAGTGCTCTACTCAAACATGCAGATGTTTGTCTGCATTCACAATGCAGTTTACAGAACCTTGTCAAGATACCCATTGCATATTATTTAAGTTTAAAAGCAAAGAGAGCAGAATGGAATTTGGCATGTTTTTCAATACGGAACTCTACAAAATAAATAACTGTCCCCATGAAGCAGCTTGTGAATTCAATTTAAAACAATTCTCAAGCTCAGCATAATTTAAAATTGGATTTTCTTGAGAGAAAGAAGATTTGCAACTTTAGGCAGATCCATTTTCCACCAGCAAAAGATACAGAACCTGTTCTACAGCTAGGTTTAGCTGAACTGTAGCGCTCCTTTTAAATTTGTAAGATACGACCAGTCAAAACTTCAGTAATGTGTGTCAATAATATGTTATATAAATACATGATTGCTTCAAGAATAAGCAGGCTTCGACAAATCCACTTGTCATGGTGAGTGCGGCACCACCCCTGAAGAGGATGACAAATGGTTAGTCTTTGTCATCAACTTCAATTTTCACCAACTTGAAAATTCTTTAAATTTGCCCACCCTCCTAGAAGATTAATACAATTTTGGGAAGAGGTTAACCCAGCTACCATCTGCCAACCCTACAAAACTGGGTAGGGCTGAATACTTCAATCAAGCACTATCTTAAATAGAATAACAATCTATAGCTTATTATTGCATTTTTATCCCATCCTTCCAAAGTGATCAGACTGGTGCGCTTGAACTAACGTATTTTATAGTCAAAACAACCCTGTGATGTAAGTTAGACCTCAATACAATAACTGGTCCAAGGTCACAGAATGAGCTTCATGGCAGAGTAGAATATGAAAAGAATCTCTCCAGCCCTAGTCCAACACTACCCACTAAACTACACTGCCTGACCTGCTTTGGAAGTCCCTCTAGCGAATACATAAGACAGATGTTGCGCAATCCTCTTCATATTTATTTATACATGAACGTTATACTCAGAAAGTTCTGAGTTAAATAGAGCTTCTTAATTAAATGTACTTATGATTGCTTTCATTTTTAATTTCTAAGGTATGACCAGTTAAAACTTCAGTAATGTGTGCCAACATCATTATATAAACAAGCATAGCTTCCTAAATATATCTGTTATTTTTAGCTGCCACCAGGAAAGATGCTTGCCATCATCAGACTATAAAAATAAAATGATTTCTCTTATCCTTTTGAGACAGAGATTCAGCATTAAACTTTCCACTATTCTGTCTCATATTTTCAACACACAACACCTTTGAAAACCTCTTAAGTTGTTGAATTCTTAAAATATGTCATCGAAAACAGTAATTTAGTGCTGCCAATTTAACTTTAACGAAAGGCTAAAAATTGAATGCATGTGTCCCAATGAATTTAGTGGTGTTTATTCCCAGGATAACAGGAATAAAATCAGGCTATAATAACAGTTATTGCAGTTATTAACTGTTGGCTAGCTGCTTATATATCCTACCATAGTGAGGAAACATTGCAGAAGCAGTATGTAAAAACACATAAAACTTAAAATAGACTCTTGTTACTTCTTCTTTCACACAATCTTTAAGAAACATATAGTAAAATGATCTGTGTCCTTGACTGACATCCCTGACCATTATCGAGTTACAAAGATGTTTCTGCTGAACAGAAGTTTGGAGGTTTGCTGAATGTATCTTCTAAACGTTCGTCTGACTACTTTCAAGTTATGAAAATACTATCGTCCCATTACTGTCATAAGAACAAATGTAGGAAGAAATTTGAAACAGCCCTAAAAAGTACATACACAAATGCATGCGAACAGGGCCTTATGTGGGGAGGAAAGAAGCAGCCACAAGGAGCTGCTGTTTTGAGCGGAGAAGTGGGGGAAGTTTAAAACAGAATTATTACAAAATCTCCACACACACACCCCTCCAGCAGCTTTCCCTCTTTGAAAGGTTCCATATAAAAGTTTACAAGAGTACTTAGGCATTGCTACTCACACTTCCATGGTGGAAAATAAGTTTGGAGGAAGATACGATTTGGAGTAGATGGCTGGCAGGGAAAGGGGTTAAGTACATACACAAACACACCCCAGTCAGATTTCAGAGGGTGCTTTTCATTTTTAAGAACACATATTTGCATGAGATATGCAGTTGCCCCTCACAGACAATAAGGAATATTTCCCCAGTTTTAAAAGATGTGTTGTGACAAAGATGTGAAGTAAAATCAAGTACTCCATTACTGCTTTTGCCATCTCAATTTAAAATGCTGCAGTGACTATAAGCAGTAACTGGCAGAATTCTCACTTCAATGCAGTTCTCAAAGCCACAGGAGTCCTCTCAGGACATAGATCTGGCACCCCATGACCTCTTGGCTCCCTCACCCACATCCCCCATGCTTTTCCTTTGGCCTCTTGGCTCCTATACTTGCCTTTCCCTCAGGATCATATATTTCACCCTTTTCTTCATTTGCCTAGCCTCTGGGCACTCTACTTCATACATTCCCTATCTTCCCAGGCCTTCTCCCAGTCAGCTTAGCTCACCCCATACAGCTTTTCTTTCAATAAAGTCTATGGGGTTCTATACCCAGACAGACAAGTATTCCTTTCTATAACTTAGACAGTGAACCTTTTGTTGCCAAGTTCTTGGTTCTCTGAGGAGTTAGAATGTTCTGTGCCATCACACGAGCTCATCTGATGTCCAAGGCATCATCGCAAGAATCACATTATAACAGAGACCAATTATGTTCAGTTTAATTTCTATGATAAAGAACTGTCTCAAAGTAAAAAACGTAAACTATATTTTTAACTTATGCTTTCTGAAATATACACTGGCAATTTTTAGAATGCAGGAAGATAGAGGATTAACATAATGGTTCCCAGAAAGAATATTCTCCAGTTACCTAGAGTTTACTTGAAAATATTAACAATTGTTCCGCACAATAATTACCTTTTACTGTTGTATCTGTGATGCGGAAATGTTACAGAAGCTCTAATAAAGATGGTTAGCTATTCAACAAAGGCAAGGGAGAAACAATATGCAAGAGTATACTATAGAGATAGACAAATCTGAGGAAATATGTTGATAAATGGTCACAATGAGGATTCACATTATTCATTCTTTCCTAAACACCACAGGTGCCAAATAAAATGGTTATGTCATATTCCGAAAGATAAAGAATTACACTGGGAAACTGTTAGCATCCTGCAAACCTAATCTAAGAGCCAAATTGCAAAAAAAGTATATTTCAATTTAAAATTACCATACCTGCACGTTAAAATCATATTTCTCAAGTGAAACAAAAAAGTAAAGAATTCCACTCCTTTTATGTAACAGACTAATGTCCTTATTATATACAGAGCTCCCTTACTGATTTAGCTATGTTAAGCAGATTAGGTATCTAATGGATGAACTCGCAAGACCTTGAATTAGGAAACACAGCAGCTGGCAGATTTTTCATATTACTTATGTGGAAATAACTTCTCATAGAAGCAGGTGTGTGAAAAGCAGAACTCAATGCTTTAGTTGCAAAGCACTTTTTGAAATGCACGTAGCAAATATTTTTTATTATTATTAGTGTAAACCAAGTTTCAATAAAAGTTCCCCAGGCAATGAATAATATACAATAAACCACAGAACTGTCCCCCCAAAACAAGAAACAATACAACTATAATTGTCATAACTATGATAAAAAATAACCACCAGCAGCTTAGATTATCATTATGCAGTACTGATGTGACCATCTCATAAACCTCTGAAGGCCAGGTGGAGCAGATGCTTCAATTCCGTCTGATGTCTTTTCATCACCTGAAGATGTATCTCCAATTGGAGGAAAACCCATAATCAGGGAGCCATATTGAGAGGTTAAGTATGAAGGGTCTACAAAGATAGGCCTAAGAAAGGAGACAGAAACAACACTGCCTATATGGTGGCCCTGGACAAAACAGCCATAGTGACAGAGGCTGCAAAATTACCCATACTAATTCAAAACAAATAGCAAGCCTCTACTATAAGCTTTGTAATAGTAAAGGTAAAGGTAAAGGACCTCTGGACTTTATAGCACATGGATGGATGCATATTGTAAGATCTGAGTGCTGGAAAACCAAATGCAATTAGGGAGGCTGTTTTCAAGCATTACTCTTCTACAGGAGGTCCCACAGGCCCAAGGGATTGTTTCTCAATATAGGCATTCTTGCTAATTATATATACTTCATTTCCACAAGTCTTTTTCCATGGGACTGGAGCACCTTTGCTAAAATTAATATTTAGATTAATTTTTAAAAAGTAACCTAAAGGGAGGGCATGATGAAAGTTATTAAAATTATGATTTGTGTAGGCAAAATAAAACAAGGTAAGTTTGTCTCCTACCTTCTTAAAACTTGGATGAACTTAGGATCATCCAAAGAAGTTTAATGGTGGAGATTCAGGAAATAAAAAAAGAATTTCTTCTCACAGTGTGTAAGAAATTAAATGAAGTCACTGCTACAAGACACTGTAATGACCAGTGTTAAGCTATTTTGTAAAGAGTATTAAACAAATACATGGAAGGTAGCTATCAAAGACAGGCCTCCATGTTCAGATGCAGTATGCCACTGAGTATCAGCAGTTGTGGAGCAACAAAGGCAGTGCCCTATTCCCTTCATACCCTACCTGTGAGGCACAGAGATGCACTAGGTTAGCAGCTATGGGAAAGTGGATGCTGGACTAGATTAACTATTAGTCTGCTCTAGAAAGTATCTACTTAAACTCTTAACTTTTCCTTCCACAGCTAGCAATTATACCCATCCACTGATTTATTTGTGGAACCCTCTTGTAGAACTGCACAAAGCTGGGGAGATTGTCTTTACCTGCAAACATCTAATCAGTAACAGCCTCAAAATCTGTGTTGGCTGCATTTGTGTATCTACCACTTGAATGGACATCATTCAACATGCAAATTCACAAAACAGATGTTAGAGAGTAAACCAGTCACCTTCAATGCAACAGTTGTTTGCCCCAGAGAATTAAGTGTCCCAATTAAAAGAATGTTCTAATTCTTTTTTAATTGCTAATACTTACTAGAACAAAATGCAAAACAAGGAAGACAAGCAATAGACTATTTACTGTTTTATGTCCATATTGCCACTTAATACCTATATTGTTTGTTTGTTTTGCTTATATACCACCCTTCAGACAGAGTTGGTTTTATTCTGTAAACCAATAAAAACACAAAAACCAATAAAAACCAATAAAAACACAAAAAAATACATAACTTAATAACAAACAATGTATCTGCAGCTTGAGGTCAAAGTTGCCTTCCCCAGTATGGTGTCATCCAGACATTATGAGCTACAGCTCTCATCATTCCTAACCATTTGCCATGCTTGCAGGGATTTGAAGTCCAAAACAACAGGAGAGCAGCACATTGGGAAAAGCTTCATTACCTGAACCTTATTTGTCCTACGCATGGGTGATTAGAAATGTTAAAGTACCTTGTTTTTGTACTCTACATTACTTTATCCTTTCCAGGACTTCCAATTCTCGACATACTTTAATAGCTTTTTTTAAACAATAGCATTTCATACGCTCTTTGAGCAAAACAGCGATTTTTCTTCATCTCTGAAAGATCCCTTCATCGTTTCCATTTAAGTACCTCTTTGAAAAGGAGTAATTACCACACCACTTCTTTTCAAATCTTATTAATTAGTAAATAGGCTGCCTATTATTATTGTTCTGTCCTTCAGTCATACACTGGTAGGAAGTACTATTCCCAAATATCTGGAAATGACTTGACACCAAGGTGACACCTTGCCAAAAAAGAGAAGAATAATTTGGACAAATGTCAAAGCCTTGGGGTTGATCCAGCTGGGTCAACACATTACAACTCAGGCATACTTCTTACTGAGAAGATTGATCAGCGTGTATTACTTCAGCCTGCAAGAAATACCATAAAAAATGTCTAGCACATTTATGTTTTAGTCTAATCTTTATCCCAATATGTTAGTTTTCTAGTTACCAAAAGCAAGGCTGCAATATGTAATTATCCAGTTAATCAAATATCCATTTTGATTGGCTGAAAAAGGTGCCCATGATCAATAAGGCATCAGGGGCCAAGTCCCAAACCAATGGATTCAAGTTACAAAAAAGGAGATTCTGACTAAATATCAAGAAGAACTTTCTGAGAATAAGCGCTGTTTTGACAGTGGAACATACTCCCATGAGAGGTGGTGGTCTCTCCTTTCTTGGAGGTTTTAAAGCAAATGTTGGATTGTCATCTGTCAAGTATTATCTAGTTGAGATTCCTGCCTTGCAGGGTACTGGACTAGATGACCCTCGGGATCCCTTCCAACTCTACAATTCAACTTAGAATCATAGCATCATAGATTTGGACAGATTCTATGATTACACAAACAGTACTTAAAACCTGCAAATGCCCCCTTAGAAAAGGATTCCCTCCTCTTTAAATATCTAGTTTGATTATCACTTTAATACTATCCAAGTTCAATATTTATATAATTAAATCAAGTTTAACTAAATCTAGGCCACAGCATCAGAATACACAAACATACAAAATCAGGAAAACTTTTAATCAAGGGAGAAGTTCTATCAACAGAACCAACTGAAGGATATAAGAAAAACAAAAGAAGCCAATTTTAGCTTCACTTGATCTAGAGATGGAAAATATCAAATCAGAACCAATATTGTTACGAAGCAGCTATTAATATTCTAACTCCTTTTTTTCCGTCTAGGGAGAAGCTGTTTTTAAAAACAGATATGCACTAGATATGTTTTTAAAATACAAGATGTGCCATGTGAGAAAAGGCTCTTATAACCACAAAGTTACATTTTTAAAACCTGTCTAAATTTGGGATTATAGTTCAAATTAGAGACTTGCTAGCTGAAACAGTACATCATTCCAGGAGGGGTTTATTAATACTTCAGAAAGCACCTGGAAGATTGCCTCACCAACATCAGATTATAATAGATCTGGAATCTGCATACTACAAACAGGGAGAACAACAATAGCTAGATCTGTGAAAAATTAACTTTTAACCTTTGGTACTAGCAAAACTTATTAGACCCAGTGGCCATATTTCAGTTAATGAAAACACCAACATATGTAATAATCACAGATCAATTTTGTCACCAGGAACAAGATAAACTCCTATGAGGAACCAAGATCTGTGCTTTCCAAAGTCACTAGGAAAATAGAAAGTTGTATCATAAAGGAAAGACCAGAGTTGTCTCTCCCTTTTCCATTTCACTCTTTTTGGCATTTAATTCAACTGTGAGAATGGAAGTGGAAAGTCTTTTTACGATATTTCAGTGTTTTGGGTTCTTCAGCCAAAATTTCCAGCTTAAGTAAAAAAAAAAAAAAATAATAATGAAGCAAGAAGGAACAGAAACCCTAGCCACTAATGTCCACTTATCTAGAAGCAAGTTCCACACACAACGGAACAGACTTCTAGGTAAATATGAAAAGGATTAAAATTTTGAAAAATAAAATAAAAAGCTCTCTATTTTCTGTCTATATTAAGGTATTATCTGATGAATAAAGGAGGTCACTTTTATACTGTGGTATATTCCAGGCTGATTATGGAATAGCCATGCCTGTAAAGTTTAGCTGTTCAACTGTGGAACAGATTCCCATGAAGGGTGGTGGACCCTCCTTCCTTGGAGGTGTTTAAGCAGAGGTTGGATAGCCATCTGTCATGTATGATCTAGTTGAGATTCCTGTAATGCAGGGAGATGGATAATGATGGGGTCCCTTCCAACTCTAGAATTCTATGATTTTATAATTCTGTGGTATCAGTGATTTACTGTCAGTTAGGCCCTACTAAATTTTCTCTACCAATATCCATTGGTTAAAATCCACTGTAATGCAAGGTGTTCACTCACACAATGGGGCTTCTCTCCTCCCTCTGCACCCCCCACTCAAAATCTTCCTGAAAGTTCCAATATTCAGCTTCATTAGATATCGAAAAATTCTGGCATTATGAGGGAATTTTTTCCCTCTATCGACTTTCTATGTGCTATGCATAATTTTATATGCTTATTTCATGTTGCCTCTTACTCATCTACACTGAAATTCCCCAAAAGCAAAACTTACACCATTTGTTCAATTGCAGAATACTTTGTAGTGTGCAAACAACACAATTGCTCCAATGATTAGTTGAACACTGCAAGGCACTCCCACCCCTGAATGAGGGAGTCTGCTTCCTCTCTAAGGGGATCGGGCTGATGGAAACAGAATCTTCTAGTGCTCAGGAACACATGCTATGTGAAAAACTATCCAACATCTCCCAGCGCCTTGCATGGTAGCTACTATTGCATTTAGAATAAATCCAAGTACTTTATTATTATACATTATAAAGCTCTAAACTTAGTATTTGGGATTGAGATATGTAGGATATCTCAAAATTGGTGTTTTTAAAATGTATGGGCACACATCCACAATCTAACGTTAAGCTGAAACACCCTGTACAACTAATGATAAAGATGGTAACTGGAAAGGAAGGAAGAAGACAAGTAACCACTCCTTTCAGGACAAGCTCCACACAGAAAAATAATTTCTACCTGCATTAGTGGTTAAAAGACAAAACCAAAAACTGTGAAAGGCAGCTGATCTGGACTAAATATCAACAGAGTACATAATCTTTTGAACATGGTGTGGGTGTTTTAAAGTGTTAGAAGAAAAGGGTGTAGTCAAGGGGTGTCAGTGAACAGACAACAACTTTTCTCTTTCTTCTGCTACTTTGTACAAAGTCATTTTGCCAACAGAGACTATCTACAAAATAAGAGAGCATTAAAACCATGCCTCTTAAAAATTCTAGCAAGTTTATGTAGTTTACCAAAACAAAAAACAACACCCCCCCCCCCGCATGCTTCCAATTTGTAAACAGGGTTCCATAAATACACTCACCTGTTTGCCAGTTGCAAGCATCCCTGCACCAAACACCCAGCACAAAAATATTCCCACCCCAGGTTGTCCATAAATAGAAGAATATCAAGAGGAAACACAGAGAGTCCTCAATTCCCAGAGTTCTCTGCAGGTCAAAGAGTACCAAAGAGTGAATGAGATGTTATTTACATCTCTTGCAAGAGAGAGAATATTAGTTATTTTCCCTAAGTAGAGAGGAAAGAAAGACATGAAGTTTCTTTCCTTCCAGAAAGGCTTTTGCAAATCAGAGTAGAAAGGGATTTCATAGGCCACCTAGTCCAACCCCCTGCTAGATCCAGGAAATCCAGAGCAAAGGCATCCCCAACAGATGACCAGTCTCTACTTGAAGACCTCCAGCAAAAGAAAGCCCAACCATATACCCCAGATAACTGATTATTGGTTTCATGTTCTTACCACTAAAACGTTTTTCCTAACATGCAACCCAAGTCTAACTTAACATGCAACACTCTGGTAACTTAAGCCCATTATATATGCTCTTGCTCTGGGATAGCAGAGAACTATGTAACAGCCCTTCAGTATTTATGCTTGACAAATCTATGTTGGCTTCTACTAACCACTGCGTTTTGTCAAGATTTATGCTTACAAATTTGTCCCTATCTAATCTGTTCCAAGTATCTTTCCTGGTAGCAAAAGCAGTCTAATCTTCCTCTTTTCTGCGTTTTCTGACCAATTCCTCTTCTATCTTAAATTGCAATCCTGACCCTTAACTACTGTCGCAAGGTCACATACAGTTCCCCTTTTAGGAGAAAACAAGAGGCAAAAGTAGATCCTTCTCTTTATTACCGGTACATACTAACATTTCATCATCCTTACAATGAAGCAGGCCTGGTTACCTTCCTCTTCCTTAAACCATACAATCCATTTCATTACATAGTATGCCAGCCTCAGTTTTCCTAACACTGTCCTAACAAGTCTGGGTATGCATCTGTATTTGCCCTCTGTGACGACCTCTCCTTCCTTTCATTTTTTCTAAGTCTCGGGGGGGGGGGGGGTTAGTTCATCACCAAACTTTTTGGTCAGCAGCATCAGCTCTTTACATTTTGCCTCATATTTTTCTCCCATTAGAATTGTGATTTGCCTTTAGTAACTTCTTCACTTCATGAACTCCCACAAGTCTTGGGCTCCTTTCTTTATTAGTATATCTAGCCATGGAATCCTACCTAGCATTTCTCTGAGCTGATTAAATCCAGCTTTCCTGAAATCAAAGGTACATGTTTGGCTCTATTCACCTTAAGCTTTCCACATGATCAAGATTTTCAGCAGACTGGAAGAAAACAGCAGTGAGTTACTGCTTGCACTTTCTTCAAAAAACAACAACAGAATAAGGGGCACCATGAGGTGTGGAATGGGGGAGTGGGGTCAGTAGTACAACTAAATAATGGCTTTGATAAGACAAACCAAAAATCTGTGGACCTATGCATATGTATACAAACCATTTCATCTTCTAAAAATGCCACCTTCAGAAGGCATTTTTGCGAATGTTATCATCATTGTTGTTATTACCATGTTTCAAATACTACTAAACAGTGTTTATTAAGAATAAGTCAATAGAAAGTTTTCCTTCCAACAATTCCCCAAACTATAATGTGAGTAAAGTATAGCTTTGCTCCAGTTAAACCCAAAGCACCTTACCTGATTTTATAATGAGGTAAAGTATGTTTGCGCCTAATGACTTTCTTGAACTGGCTGACAATGATGGAAGTAAGTTGTGGCAAGGGCCTTCCTTCGAACTGTGACTTGACTTCAAGACCAATCACAGGCTCGTCGACAAAGGCGAAAGACCAGTGAGTGAAGGGCAAGCGGGTGAAGACCAGCCTCACCCGACCCACCACCCTAGAGATCTTGGCAAAGAGATATGCCGACTTGCCAAAGACAAGGTCGGCATCAATGGCCAAGTGGAAGCCACCGTTGTACTCAACGTCCACCTCAAAGTCTAGTTCCTCGGGGCATCCTTCCTCGCTACAGGTCACCGGCCTCAGGATCTTGATGTTCTTGAAAACGGGCACAACGTTCCCGAAGGCAACGTCCCTCAAGCTGAGCCCCTCCAGCACCTTGCCTGTCACCTTTGTCTGGAGCAGCTCCTCAAACTCCACCTTGATCTTCCTGGTGACCCAGTGCCTGACAAAGCCAGTGTCCTTGAGCTCCCTGAAGAGAAAGAGACAGATGGCATTGAGCCAATAGAGGGTCTCCTCGGTGAACTCCACCACCGAGCTAGAGGAGTCCGAGTGGGTGCCCTGGTCATTTTTGGAAGGGGACTGGCTGGGGGGCACGCTGCGGGAGCCAGCCCCCTCTTGCACCCCCCCGCCGCCGCCGCCAACGAAGCCGGCGAAGTACTCCTTGAGGCTGGTGTCGGGCACTGCCCGGGTGGTGTAGATGCCGGTGTTGGGCGCCGAGGACGGCCCCTCGGGGGCTTCGGGCTTCCTCCGGTAGAAGAGCAGGATCTGGCACAGCAGCGTCAGGCAGGAGCCCAGCAGAGCCGACAGCAGCATTCCATACACCGACAGCATCGCCTCAGCGCCTCTCGCCGCCCCTCAAGCAGCCGCGCCGGCTCCCTGCGAGCCGCCTACCCCGCGGCCCTCGCCGCCTCACGCCGCCGGCGCCACGGCCAGCCCCGCTACCTCCATCTTGCGGGCAGCGGCTTGAGGGGAAACGGGCGCCGCCGCAACTCCGTCAAAAAACAAAAGCAACAACCCGGGGAGCTCGCGGTCGACGACGCCCCCCCCAACGCTCGCTCCCCTCAGCCGGCCCCAGACGACAAACCGCCGCCGTATCCACAACTCCTTCCCTCTGTGGCCCGCTGCGCCTCACACAGCAGCAGCGGCCGCGGCATCCGGGTCTTTTCTCGTCTTCTCGTGTCCACCGCCCCCTTCCTGAGGAGAGGAGACCAACTGCCACTTCTCTCCCTTTGGCTGCCCCGTCCCCTCTTCTGTCTGGATTGTAAAGGCTGGGGAGGTCCGGGAGTGGGTGGGTTACGTCATAGGCTACGCCGTCCCATGCGCTGACCTCATAATACTGCGGAGGGAGGAGGGAAAAAAAAGTAAGGCGGAAAAAGGAGATAGGAAGTGCGCATGCGTGTTTGTTTCTGGCCCCTCCTCCTCCTCCCTTCTGTTGCTTTTGGTTCCCGCTACTCCCCCCGCGCGTCCGGCATGTTCTGTGTTCAAAGCTAGTTGAGAGGTTGGTTAGTGTTTGTAAGGCAAAAGGGTTGAAAGTGTGAGGGTCCTTAAAGGCACCGCAAGAAGGAAACTTGGTCGAAGCCTGTTTCGAGGGCAGGCTCGGGCTGAATCCTGTCTCCACCAGGGGGATTGCGGGAGCGGTGTTTTCTTTATCAGCATAGGATGCAAGCTGTGTTCTAAGAATAACAACAGGGATTCTGAATTCGGACACTTGGCACAGGCGCGCGCGCGCATCCGCACCCCGCTTTGCTGGCCTGGATTTTATTTGCTCTCTTCCCACCTGGCCCACCGACAAAGCAATTGCAACCGGCGCATTAGTTTATTGAACGTATAAGCCGCTTCCTACAACAGAACGTCCCGAAGCGATAGAGTAAAACATACACAAGCACATCAAAAATATAATTAGAGCAGAACCATCAAATCCTTGGGTGCTACCCGAATGCCGTGGGAAACAATATGTGTCCTTTTTTTGTTTGCACTTCACCGGCATGCTCCTCCCACCCGCGTAGTTTCCCGATCTCCGTGAAAATCACTCCCTTTCTCCTGCTTTTGGTTCAGACTTAGGCAACTACTACTGCCAAGAAAATGAATGAAAATATTCTATCCAAGATAACATTGGCACACAGCTTATACTTCACTGAACATATCAGTTTCAAGCAAGAAGGTAGCCGGACCTTGAAGGATTGCAGTGACTTAAATATGCCTAATCAACACGAAGGATGGCTTTTGTAATGAAACAGACAAATCGAAAGGAACCTGTAAACTTTTCCCCCCATGCAAAAATAAGGGGAAGAGGGAGAGGAGCGGGTGCGGAGAGGGAGTGGGTATTGGGTGTGAAATTAGGCTCTTGTGAACATGACAAAATACCAAATCAAAGTCCAGGGGATGGGGGTTGCCTTTATTTACCTTTTTAAAACAAGGCCTTTAACCTTAAGAAACACACAGAACTTGTATATTGCTTCATATATGCTGTTTACGGACCAATTACACAATGCAATTGAATTAGGCACAGATTTCATGATGCTAAAGGGAAACAATAAAAACACAGGTTTTCAGGTTTTCCATTAATGTTATCCAGATTCAAAAGTGCAATGGAATATAAATTATTCAGAGTCACTGTTGTCCCTCTTTTCCTCTAAAATAATGGTTATTGGATGGTATGAAAAACTACATGTCTCTGAGTGATGCTTTAAGATTTCAGTCCAAACAGCACCTACTTGAAAAAGCTGAGCAACAGCAAGATTCCGGGGTCTTGGCACTTACCCAGAGTTTGTCTTTGAGGCAAAGCTGAGACTAGTGTCTTTGAGAATAAAGGTTTGTTTTATACATATTTACAACCTGAGTTTTGATGGAGGAAGTGCAGAACATTACACTCCAATAGTGGCTCTCATTGCTTCTATCATAGCTTGAGCAAGCTTGGGTCTATAGCAGCAGCCAGTCATGTCTCCATCTTTGTCTCGATGCAGCCTGTTCCAGCCAGCGCACATTCAGTTTTGGCCTTCTCCTTTCCCCCAAACCCTTGCTCAGTTAAAAAGACAGGTGGTGATATCACACCTCAAGTTACCTGATAAGTTACCTAGAGATAGGTCAATTAATCAAGAGTCTAAATTTAATCACACTGTACAAAGAATTGATAATATTGTGTCCTTTGTGACCTTACTGCACAATGCACTTCTACATTGTTGAAATAAAATAATAAATACTTTTATGTTAAAATTGACTTAAAAAAAAAACCCCTTTTAAAAACTCTTAGACATGTCTTCTGAATTGTTTTGGGGATGGATCCAGGGCAGGGATAGGTGGGAGTCTGACCTGCCCCCCCCATCAACGTACTGCAATGCATTGTGGGGGTGGGGTTTTTTGTTTTTGTTTTTTAAAAATACGTCTGGCAATGTTTTGTTGGGTGCCATCCATCACCAAACACCCTCAGTGGGCTGCAGCTGTTCTGAGCAAGTCTGGTGTTCCACAAAATTTGAATAAAGAAAGAAAGAAATTACCTGCACCGGCAAAAGGATGCATGCCCAAAATGAAACCGGGCTTTCCACAATTCAGGGTGGGTGGGCTGCTGGTGGGGCAGGCAGGCAAGAAGACACACACACACACACACACACACACACACACACAGTTTAACTCACTGTTTTGCACAGGTCTGGTAGATAAATATTCAGGGTGGGTGGGAACACATATTTCAAATACATCCCATTGAACACTGCCACCTTGTGTTTGATGGAACTGCCCCCTTGTGTTTGATGTGTTTGTTTTCCATTGATGGAAAACAATGAGATGATGATTTTAATTGAAAGGGCTCGTGTGTGGACATACATATACAAAATCACGCATGAAAAAGTTTGATGTACGTAACGCACACACTCATTAGCACTTGGGTATGTATATAGCCCTAGTCCTAGGACCTTCTGGGAAGCACAGAAGCACATGAAGGCAACTACCCTCTCCTATATCTTACCCCTCAGTACTTGGCATTCAGAGGCATATCAGCACTGAAATTATAAAGCATTTCCTTTGTTTTGAATGACTACCCTCAGTTCACAACCCCGTATTTCAACCTAACATAATGTGTGTTCTTTATTTCCAACACAAGAGCTCTTGTTTTTGAAACTGGATCTGGCAACCCTGCTTTTGCATAACCACTTTATGGAAGGGAGGCTGAAATTGCTGACAGGTGCAGCTGTCTAGCCCTCCAGTGTCACATAACATATCAGGATGCAATTGGCATGTGGCACATGGACAAAAAAAATGACATTAAGGGATGTGAATAGATCCAACCTGGCCAGATAATGCAGGACACATTGCTGCAAAGAGGAGGAGACTGGGCAGATGGCTTTTTGTCCTCTTATTCATTCTCTCTCTCTCTCTCTCTCTCTCTCTCTCTCTCTCTCTCTCTGTGTGTGTGTGTTTTAAAGGGAGCTAAGGCAATTGTCACAGATAGGTAGCAACTTTAATTCCGATTTGTTATTTTTGTACACCAAGTATTTCTGATTCCCAACACATAGATTCATCTTGCAACATAAACACTGGCAGATTTCCAACTATGTGTCTTTCAGCAAGCTACTTTTTTCCATTGTGTCTTTTGTGTGGAGAAGATGGATAGGGAGCAGTAGAACCTTGCCCTCTCCAATGACGCAGGAAAGTTGGAAGATTAAGGAAAAAATAAAGTACTTTTATACTTTACATAGCGCATAAATAAACTGGGGAATTTGCCCTCACAAGAGATTGTGATGGCCACCAACGTGGATGTCTTTAAAGAGGCTTAGACAAACACAAGGAGAAAAAGGCTATCAATTGCCACTAGCCAGGATGGCTGTGTTTTTATCCCCACTATTGAAGGCAATATGCCTCTGAATACCAGTCGTTGGGAATCACAAGTGAGGAAAGTGTTGTTGTTCTTGGTCCTCCATGCAGGCTTCTCCTGGGCCACCGTGAGACCAGGGTGAACCTTTGGCCTGTTCAACAGGGCTCTTAAGTTTTTTCCTTTGCTAATCACATTACATGTATAGTTAGGGACTATTACATTTACATTATATGAGATCAGCAGAAAGCCAGGAATGTGAAGCCCAGTCAAGCAAAGTGTGTGGAGCTAAACTAAATCAACAGCTATGTTTACTGTGGCAGTTTGATTACTTACCAGAAGCAACATACAACTCTTTGATTTCAAAGTTGCCACACTTCTGGGATTAATATTCAGGGCCATTAACATGATTTATTTTGTCCACAGCTCAGCAATAGCACAGGTATTATATGCACCACAGAAGGAGCCCACGTATTTTTCTGTATTAATAATATATAAATATGAGCTAATGAAGGGGGAGGGGGGAGAGAGAGCAAGAGAGACAGTTGTGTTAATTGACTTTCCGAGATGCTAATCTATGGCTCATTAGCTTTAAACATAGGTCTTGCAGCATGGTGCCATGTAGAAATAATGTACTTTAGCTGGAAACACAGCACAGTAAATGCAGCATGGTGTTCATCCATTATTCAGCTTATAAACACACACACCCCTCTATTTGTTCTCCGGAGAGTTTTAGGAAGCAGGATGATTAAAGGCACAGGAAGAGAGGTCTGCAGATAAACATGCATAATAAAAGCCTGGAAAGGAATAAAGAGCTGGTGCTTAAGTATGCAGGAAGAACTGTTGCCTAAGCTACATGCTGTGGTGGTAGTAAAAAAAAAAAGGCATCTCAATCACAAAGCAGAGGTGGGGAACCTACAGCCCTCCAGATGTTGCTGGAATTTGGCCAGAAGGTCTCATTCTGAAGGATCCCCTTGGCCTTTTCTCAGGGTGAGGCGAGGCAATGAGGAGGTAGAGCAGAGAAACCACCACTATTGCTGGTTAAGGGGGGGGGAGCATAGTGTGGAGAGACACAAATGTCTCTCCAATGGCTGAAATCTTAAAGATGCAAATACTCAATGTAGGGCAGAAACGCAAACCAATGATTTTTTATTGAAACCAAATATAGTGACATGGCAGCCAGCCACCTTATGATTCAAACAGCACCCACACCTCATTGCCAAAAATACACTAAATTCTATTTTGAAGCACAGGCACAAAACCGAACCTTAGCCAAAACACACATATTTTCTCATCCTTCTATTTAATGCCTCCCTCTAGCCCAGGGCTGAGAAACAATGTTGGACTACAGGTCCCATCATCCCTAACCATTGGCCATGCTGGCTGATGAGATTTGGAATCCAACAAATATTTAGAGGGACACAGATACCCCACCACTCCCACAGCCCTCCATGCCCTGGAGAGTTAACTTCTGCAGCAAGGCTTTTCTATACATGTAGGCTCCCAAACAGTTTAGAATCCTAATATTCTGGGGTTCTAGATCATGCAAGAAGCTTTCAGGACTAGAACTGGCTCCCTGCTGCAGA